CTTCACCTTTTTTTTCCGTGTATGTCATCACTTACTTTGACATATTTACATTCAGCTATCATAGCCGCGTAATGCAACCAAAGTTTCAACTTGGATATTTTCGAATATTGGCATGGCTTTTGATTGATTACTTTCCATTGTATAAGTTTCCCTAAAGACTTTATTTGGAGTTTCTATCGAAGACAAAGTTGAATAATACATGATATATATTTGATGTGATATAGATAGCTTATGTAATGTTAATATAAAATTTATTTCAGCAGAATACATCTGGTCAGTACATAAAGTGTCGCCTTTTGCTTGTGGCTACGTAGTCGTCTGTTTGTATAAACGATATGGACTGAGTTCCGGTTACCAGGGAAACGAGGAAAATACGCCAATATGTTCGTATGAAATAGCCACAATCTCAATAACTAACTGACGTCCTTGCAAAACATGCAATGCTGTATTTAAACCCCATCTATTTCTATAAATCATCGACATTGTTCGACTAGTTGACTGACTTATTGTTGGATTTTGTCGTTTCAATAATTCTGTCTTGTGCCACATGTTCACTTTAAAAATCCTCCTAGATTGAATGAAAATTTAATCATCAGTTTGATTACATTTAAATCTAATTCGTTAACTGTTTGAAATAGTTTCAAAATCAGCTCTCGTGAAAAAAATTAACAGTATAGTCGTTGAGACGGTAATGACATTGATTGATTACTTGAGATCGACTAAGCTTCCTATCTTGCTCTGATCTTGGTGGTCTTTGTAAAGAGTTCGCGAAAGGAGACGGGTGCAAAAGTGATAAATGAAAGATCGAATCACGTCTCGATGGCCTCTCGCCCATTTCATTCACACTCGTTTTCTTATTTTTTTAGAACGATTCCCACTGTGCTATCTCCATTTTTTTCACACTTACTTTTTCAATTTTTTTTATTCTTTTCCATCGATAAAGAGCAGATTGCAAACATATCTGGCACATTTTTCTCCATAAATTTTGTCCAAAATTGTCTGATTTATAAAATCCATTCAATATATCAATTTATTTCATAATATTATTTTTATAAACTTTTTATTTGTTGTTGTTATTATTATTATTATATATTAATAAAATTAATTATGGAAAAAAGAAATGAAAATATCGTTGACGACGCGTGTACTGAATGCTCTTTTTAATTTCTTAAGGTATATCCACTTGTAGAAAAAGCTTTTTCACTCTCAACGCCTTCTTAACATCCTTAGAAATGGACGTTGTACATTGCAACGTAATGAGGTTGCCGGAATTGCATTTTTCTCTGTCACTCTTGGATGTGACATTTTTTCTTTCATTTTGTCACTTCTTTTCATAAAACCACGATTCAGATTTATCGTCTTATCTCTTGACTTTTGTCGTTGAGTAATGAACAATTAAACTTTATTTTCAATAGAAATAATATGTTTATGTGATTCAAATAGAATAAAATAATCAATTGAAAATACTTTGGATTTAAAAGTGTCACTTTTATTGGTAGTGATTTAAATAATTGTTGGAAATGCAGAATATGTAGATAGTAATGACAATTAGAGATAGACAGTTGAATTCGTCAAGTAGAAGTAATCCGAAATAAGTCAGCCAAGAGATAATCTAACAATGAGATGGTGTTCCAAATGCCGTTAAGACATTTGTGATACTATGCTGTTCATTGTTCTATTTCTGAGTCAAATGTAAGTTTATCAGTACATATCTTTGATCGAATCCTGCCATCTATTGATTCCAACTAAAAATTCACCCATTCTTCAACTTCATATCACAGAACTAAAGTTGATCTACCTTGGAACTAATCAAGAATAAATAATTATATGAACATGGAACCTGTTTTATTTGACTCAGTGATAAATTGAAAATCTGTTGCTGCTGTGGAGAATTTTTTTTTCATTCATATCAGCCACAATTTCTGGGCTATTTCAATTTCTGTTCATAAATTTCGCGAAATTCCCATTTGTAGCAAACGCGATTCTCATGAGTCACATAACAATGTAAATCATATATATCAAATGCCATCTATTATTATCTGTGAATCTACATTTAATTATGACGTGTTTATTACCATTTTTATATCAACATGTATGTAACTTAAATAAAACATTTATGACAGGATAAATTAAAAGCTCACTGATTATTTGTATGATATTTCAAATAAATTATTAAATAAAATATTTATTTTGTTAGAAACAAAAAAATTATTCACGATATTTTAGTTTATTGTAGATTGTTTAAGATCAGATGATCACTCAAGTACTAGATATTATTACTCTAAGTCTTTCTGAAGTTCTACTATTAATTTGTCTTGTGCTTAATCTTTTTATACAATTTTTTGTGATTTATCAGTATAACGTAATCCACTAGCGACTGGTAGTCTTGGTCTATATTGTGGCAACGATTGATTTTCAACCATCTCAGATACTTACTTTCATTCTTTTCTTACTCCATAACTCTTTACCAATTACTTTATTTTTATCTCTTTATTCTTTTCTTTTTCCCCAGTTTTTCTGTTACATTGTGCAAGTTCTGATAAATTGATTTGCCATTCAACATTTTTAATTCCAACGATTCATCTTCACCATTGACAAATAAATAACTGCTTTCAATTTACTCTGAGATTATTGATAAATATTACATCTATCTCTAGATGTCATGTGATTAAAGCTTACTAATAAACAATAACTTCTTGAGTATCACATTTGTTTGTATTTGCTTTTTCGCACTCTGCCTTTCTTGATTTTTTTCTTTTTGTTTATAGAATTTTTCCCTTTTTGCACTCTAGTTTGATTCATATCATTGTCACTCAAGAGTTCTTTTTTTCCATTTCCTTCATTTTCAATAGAATAATCTTTGATACCTTCTTCCTGGGTATCAACAACTTGTGTGATACCTTTATCATCTGATCGAATGTTGGTATCATGAATACGTATCAGATTTCCTGAATTTACTGATAGTTGATCGTTTTCCACACCCCAAAAGCCGGTTTCCGATTCTCCACAGCTCACCTCATGGCATTGATAAGACTGACCCTTACATGTTTCCTCACTAACACGATACTTGCCATCAGAAAGCCTCTCGATTTCTGTCACAATCGATTTACCGAAATAGTTGAGTCTTATATAGATGCTTACTAGTGCTGATGCAGAATCATTCATATTTGTATGATTGACTGTAAACGTTTCCTTCAATGATCTTCAAAATAAATGAATAACTGAAGGTTTAACAATGTCAATTGAATTGGAAAATACGATTTTTTTTTACCTTGAAATAACATTTTTTTTATCAAAATAATCACAATGTTGGTTTAGTGGCTTTTGTTCCATTACTTCTTGAATTATTTGATTGAAAAGAGAATTCATGGGAATTCTTACAGAACCTATACTGTAACATGGTTTCATTGTAGTATTGTCAAAAAGTTCTCTAAACAGGTGGATTTCAATAGCTGTATTTGAAATTTTATGTTTAAAGTCACTTTCTGAAATAGCGAATAAAACTGATTTTCCTTCATAAAAGTTTTTCTCTTCAATATTTGAACCATTATACAAGGTGTAATCTTTGCATTGAGAATTCAACATTATCCCATTGTTGTCTAATATTTGAAACTTTACAATGGTCTTTTTTATCGTATCTGAATTTAAATGTGAATCACTTGAAATAAGAATCTGTAAAGTAATTGAATATTATTAAGGCAATATCCATTATTTTAATACTTTAAAATAAAATTATTATTTTTTATTTTGACTTACTTTATCAATAGCTAATTCCATCATTATTAAATGTGCATTTTGAAAAATTAATAACGATGACATGTTTTAATTTATATTTACTTTTCAATTTCAATTCAATTATCAGCTTTAAAAATAAATTTAATATTTTTTAATTAGGTTATGAAATTCACAGTTGACAAAATGACATTCATTGTTTTTTAAATTTCGTATTTTATCATTTGGATCAATTATAAAATATGAATATAAAATAAAGATAAATGGTAATCAGCACAGAAATTGTTTCCTGTTATTCGAATTTTTTTTTTTATTGTCTTACTTTCTGTAATTGCATCAAGTCCAATTAACCTCAATTATTCTTTTATATGTTCAACGTTCATTAAATTCTTATCTTTTTGCAAGTAAACAGAAAGTGATGATAAAGTATGATTAATGAAGTAATAAAAAATATTTCTAGAAGATTTGGATAATTAAAATTGTTTGGTTTGTAATAATATTCCAGATGTTAAAGTAGATATGTTTTCAAAGGCAAAGTAAAACACTTGATTTCTTCTATAATAAACGAAGAACACACAGTGATAATAGTTGCAATGTGCACAAATTTCCAGACAAGAGTTTCATGCCAAGTATAACTAAGGAGTAATTCTATGAGAATTTGAAGTGATATCATGGTACCCGCAGACACGTTCTATTTTATCAAGCAACACGAAGATAGTTTCTATCATCTATAATTTCATGTTTACAATCTTATTTTTTTTTGAATCAAAAATAGTTTGTATCATTGCTCAATTTATTGACTATTTTATTTATAAAAGAATTTTACTTTCAACATCTTGAAATTCCAAGCGCAAAAAATGAATTCAACAAATATAATACATCTAACATTGGCATGAAGGCATTCCAAGTTTACTGTAATTTCCTAGTCTCTCGAGCGTATCCTGAATACATCCATACATGTGAATAGAAATTGGCTCCAGGGTATCCAGTAGGTTGTCCATTTACCCAAATTCCCAAGTAATCAAGTATTGGTCTTTGATCTAGCTGTCTGTAATAGTACACAACGAAATTCCAATTTGCATCTAAAAAAAAAGACACAATGCTGTTTCGTGAGTATGCTAAAATTATCAGTTTACATAGTTGGATAAATGATTCTTGTAACAGGTATGATATTTTCTTAACAACAGGTCCACAATATCATTAAATTAATGGGGGAAATGTGTTTGGAATACAAGGTTTGCAAGTTGTACGATAAAAACAGATAATAAAACACCTCAGAATATAATATAACAGCAAAAGTGAGCTGGTGTAAGAAGAAAGTAAAATGAAAGAACAGCCGGTTGCTTCTTGTGATATTACAAAAGTTTGTTCACTCATAGCAAAGCTAAGGTGGTGAGTTTTTGCTGGTACCTTGTGGGGAATATTTTGCATGTTATGTAGTGCAGAATATTTTGCTTTCATTTCTTCATTTGTAAGAATATATTTTATTATTTTTATTTGGGTATAAATTGTGCTCTTGTGTTGCTGATATTGAAATTCGATAATTTTGAAAAAAATATTCTCAATTTAAATAATTCAATAGGAAATATTAAAATGTATTCATCAGATTAAAAAAAGAGGAAAAAGTTTATCAGATATAAAGATCCAAGAGACAACTCAAATACGTACTTATCATGGTACTCATCTACAACGATGAACAAATTCGATCCTTCAGTACGACATTCACTAACGGAACTAGAATTACGCTCTAAATTACGATTTCTCTTCATCTTCTCTGCAATCGAATGCTCCCAAATGCTCAGCTCTCACGCGGATTTATTACGTAAGCTTGGTAGTTCTGTACAGTGGTTTTTTAAGAGTAAAAGAAAAGATAAAAAAATAAATAAGATAAAAGAACAAACCATCTGTCTTGATAAAAAAAAATTGAATATCATTGGTGATTATTATAATTTGAGAGCTATTTTTATCTAATATCTACACGGGTAAATTATTATTGATCTCAACAATTTTATTGCAATTACAATGCTCATATTTAGTTGGAATATATTTTTCTTTTAATAACTGAGCAATTTTTTTGTTATAAATTCTAATAATAATCTTATAAAATACACGGGGGAAAATTTCGGTGTAAAAATTATTCCAAAATGTGGTATAAAATTTCCCCTACAATAAATAGATTTTTTACTTTGAAGTAGAGTGATTTTTACCCTTCGTAAAAAGGGTAAAAATTATTTTTGTAAAACTACTACATAACAATGGTTAATATTACTCCATAAAAAGAGTAAAATTTATTATATCTGTAACGGTATAATTTTTACACTCGCGTAGGGTAAAATTACTTCTTGTATGGAGTAAAAATTAATCTACGATAAATTAAAAAATTTATTTATCGCGGTAATTACGCCCCACGATTATTCTACTGTAGGGTAAATTTTTTACCACATGTTGGAATAATTTTTACCCAAAAGTTTCCACCATGTATAATATGATTATAATTCAAGGCTCTAGAGAAATCAACGATCATGATATAATTCATGAATTGATAACATTCAAATTTGTAAAAGATTCGACTTATAAGAGTTGTGTGAATTTTTTGGTTGCACGTTGTGGCCATTACAAATAATGTGATATATGAATTTTCTTTGTCTAGAAGTATAAAAAAGTCAGGCTCACAGTTTAACAGAAATATTTTTAACACTTAAAGGATAATTTACTTTTTTATATGGTTAAAGTTCTTAAAAATTTACTCAACAATATTATATCATTGAAGGATATTTTATTTATTAATATTTCTCTCATAAATATAATAACTATTTCGACATCAAGTTCTTGATGAATAATGTTACTTAATAATGATCTAAATAGTAGATATTTTTGTAAGTACATTAATGAGAGAAAATAACAAAACATAATAAGCAGTAAGCAGTTTTTAGAAAGAGAGAAATATAGAATTTTCAAAGATTTAATGGAGCCCAGCCTCTACCATGTAGACGTCTTCAAAATATATTGCTGTAAATTCCATGAACCATTATAAACCTTCGCAGAAGCCTTTTCGGCTTGTCTTCTTAACCCGTGCATCCTTATCGGTCTCAGTGAATGCTCTTGGAAGCGAACGTTACGCCTTCTCAGTGCTTCCGGTTTCTCTTGTGTATATTAATCTTACAGGACTAAAAGTACAAGCGACTTAAATCAAGAATTTATCGCTCCACGAAGGTATTTACAAGACAAATGGTAAACATACTCCTACAATACAAAGTAATTTGTTTAATTAAACGGAATTCATTTATCTTTTGTTTTTTCATTTAACTTAACATGAAAGGTACTAATTATAATATTAGAAACAATTATTAAACATTATCATAAAGTAGTATCTGATAATTAAAGAAAATATTTCTTGTCCTTGTTTTATGTACTCATGTTTGGCTGATTTGTAATATGCAGTTAATTGAACGAATTGAACATTATTCTGCAATAAATAAAATCAAAACATCGTCCAAGCATATCTAGTTCATTCATGTGTAATGATTACCGAGTGTTAACATCATTTGCACTGTCATTACCACTCGGTTGATTGATTTATCTTTATTCAAGTGATGCATATTTATCTATAAATTAATCTAAAATGTCATTTATTGATTAATGATCGAATTAGAAGACCATGAAATATTAAAATTCATATGAATTGTTATGTACCTTACTTATCTACTTACATATATTTTAAAATAGAAGATTTCTAACGTTATTTCAAGCACACTTAAAACCTATCCTCTTTAACCCCTCAGATCTTTTAAATCATTCATGCCACAAATACTCTGTAACATGGTATACTTACTTAATTGTCAATGAACGAATATTTCTTTACTTCCTCTACTCCATGTTCCTCAGTAACAACTGTCCAATCATTAAATAATTGTGAAGGGAACAAATCTAGTCAGGATTGAATGAAACAGTGAAAAAAATACCAATTTGAATTAGTTGTTTTATATTCACTGATTTTGCAGTGTATTCTCGAGTAAAAATAAATAGGCCTAAAAGAAGCCCAAAACACGCCCAAATTGAAAAATAAGCCCAATACAGGCCTGATTGAAGCCCAATCTTGACTTAGAGAAATTTTCAGTACCCAAAACAAGCCCATTACAGGCCTAAATTTTGAAGGAGCCCAATTGAAGCCCAAAAACATTTTCTAGGCCTAGAACACGCTTAATCCAAACCCAAAAATATTTTCTAGGCCTAAAACGCGCCCAATTTTCAAGCCCATTTTCTAAGATCATATTCGACAATGATGACAATAAATCATTACAAATGTAAATTTGTAGTACGAAAGTTAATTTGATGATAAGTTTTTATGACAATTTTTTTTTTCTAGATTTTTAAAATAGTTTTAGGCTTGATTTGGGCGCGTTGAGATCCTAAAAAATCATTTGGGCTCGAATTGGGTCTCCTTTGGGCGCGCCCAAAAACTGATGATTTTTACTCGGGTTTCATTATTTTCACTGTTTTATTTTTAAAGAGATAAGATGCAGATGAGATTCTGAATTCTCATCTGCATCTTACAATAGACTAATGTTGGTCTGATACCTGCATGCTTACGTCAGATTCCAACGACAATCTTACGTACATTTGGTTACTATACTAGGGAATATAACAGAATTCAAGAGTCAATGTAGTTTTGAAAAAGAAATTAGGACTTTGAGATAATCTTGGGAAAAAATAAACTAGATAATGAGATAATTTTTTTTAGCAGATAAATATTTAACTTTAACAGTGTTACAGTGAGAATTGAGCAAACACCTTAGTTAATGACTCGAGCTTAGTCTCTGAAGCTTGTCTCTCTATATATTTACTTGATTTTCCTTTCTGTCCTTTACTACAATTATCTACTTTCTCATCTTGCTCGCCTTTGTTTTTTATCTTTTGACTATTCAGAAATTCTACTCTATCTTAGAATGCAGACTCTAGTGGGTTTTTGCTTAACACTTGCCATTGTTCAGATAAGACAACAATTTACGGCTACCCTCTGTCGCAACGTCGAACTAATTCGTATCCAAGTCAAGTCTCTAGTTACTTTATAACCTATTTCACGATTCTAGATATTTTTTATCTAATTATATTCATAATAATTTATCTTCTTTTATACTCACATGCTTTTTTCATTTTATGCTTTTTCATCATAATAAAATTGTTTCGTATTGTAAATAATTCTTCCAAATGTATTTTGTTGTTTAAAATATTTACAAACATCGATGGAAGGTAAAAAGTCTAACATTGCAAGCTTGGTACAATTTTTTATTTATTTTAAAACTTTTGTCCGCTCAGAGAACATTCTAGATGCAAATCAAGTCTTCCTCTGAATTTGTACAGTTCGTTGTTGCTCTCTGAAAAATAAAACATAATAAGAATTTCATTCAAGCTTCCTTGTATCGTGGTAGTTAGATTATAGAAATCAAATAGAGTTTAATCTTTTTATTTATTTCTCAGACAGTAATAAATCACTAAAAGTGATATTTGCAAACAAATTATTTATTTAAAATACTTTTAAAAAAATCCAATTAAAAAATAAAAAAGATGTTTATTATGTATCGTACACATTTACATAAATGTGCTTGTTTATAATTTACATATACTCAAATAAAATCTCCATCTTTTCTCTTTCAAATGCTATTAATGTTTTTTTCAAAAATTGCAAATGCTCGAAAATGACAGTCGATTAGTTTCAGTAACTATTTTTGGAACACTTTATACATTGATTTTTAAAAAGTTATAATTGCAATGTCGTAGAAGTTAATTAGTAATAAAAGCACGATGGACTTCTCTACTTTGGTAGAATGTTAAAGGAAAGAGAAAAAGATAAAAACAGAAAATCGATCAAGTGGAGTACATGATGTTGTATATCCTTTTTTCTTTTTCTTTTAGAGTAGCATTAAAATTTTTTTCATCATCAATATAATGTTCTTTAAAATTCAAAGGTATAAATTACAAAGTTACTAATAATAATGTAAACATAAAGGTACAAAATGTAGACATTTTTTTGGTAGACATTAAAATATCGCTTATTCACTGAATCCCCAAAATTCTTCTGATGATTAAGCTTTTAAATTTTGCGGTCATTCAACTGTATAGGTATTCACTGAAACGTAGACATTAATGGACCAGTGATCAAAGGATCCTTTGACAAGTTTTTACAATTAATTAACAGTGGTCATTATAGTGTTCCTTTGCCATTTCTAAGATGTTACAACTATATTACAAAAGTTTATTAATATTCTTATTTAACACTTTATAAATAATAACAAATAGATAAAACGATTTATTTAATGTTTTACAATAGAAGGAAAAGAAAATGTTTATTTGATATTTCTTTTTTCTTCTCCTTTTCTTTTATTTCATCTGTCCCTTATCAAGAATCTGAAGTGATAATACCTGGCGTTTAGTCAGCCGCACCCAAGTGCCAGAACTTTGTCCGCAGTTGGACTGCCGTAAGTTAACCAAGACCGAGTAAACTTTTAGTAGAAAGCGGATTAGGCTAACTGGAGATTAGAGGGTTGAAGATCCCAGGCTCACCAGCTAGTCTCTCTTCCAACCACGTTCACTATACTCGCGTTTCTGTGCTATGTCTATGCTCTATCTTGGAGGCTCTTAGGATGCTGTGGTCAGAGCATAGGTCCCTTGAGGTAATGCTTGCTTGGTCCTCGATCTTACTCGCGGTAATCCAACGTAGCTATAACATTCTGAGCTAACGAACCTAACCATCACCCTAGCACTAGCTAATGTTAACCCACCCACTGTAACAGATTTATCTTCACCATAAATATACCCTATATCTCTAGAAAAATGACTTGTTTACTTCCTGCTAATTATTCCATTATCTACACCTTTATCAACGTCCTTTATTTCATTCTACATTGTCAAATATTTATTTATGGTTAAGTTGAAATGGGAAAAAATATTATTCCAATCACAAGCTGGAACACGTAATAAAAGTCTTCTCACACATTTAAAGTCATCAAGATAAAGAAAAAAGGTTCAGTTGAAAATCGCGGCACATTCTCGTGTGTTCTCGTGGAATTGTTGCCAACTTTTTAGTTACCCTCTTTTCATACGTGCGGGTGATGTGAGAGAAGACTGAAAAGAATATAGCTTTCGAGATAAGAAAGTATCAATTGAAGAAGGAAGAATAGAGAACGTTCAACATATAGCTACGACCAAGTTTCAAATTCTATTCTCGTTCTACCACGGTTACGTAATAGCATCGACGTCTTAATAATTTCAAGTGTACTCTAGGGAAACCGGATGTTGATGTTACTCCAAAATTGTGTAAGCAAAAATCTCTATCTCCAAACGGATATACTTTTTAAAGAAACATAAATATTTTTTAATACTTACCTATGAATAAATATATACATACTTCGATACTTACAATTTGATAAACAACGAAAATAATTACTACAGGTATTAGGGGATTAATATTCATTATGCCTCATGTTTTACTTCTTGATCTTTCTGTCAATGTTTTTGAAGGCTTAACTCATGAAAAGCCTGCTCATAAAATAAATGAATGGACCATACCTCTACCTTCTCTTCTATATTTTAAAAAAATTCAAAAATATTCATTAACATTTGTCAGCTAAATAAAATTATTTATTTTCATCACAGTTCAAAACCTCCTAGGATTCACGTTAACGTGTACTCTAAAATCATCACAATTATTCGCCATATCGAGTGCATTCAATAGAATTGATCAAATCAGGTTGATTCAATGATTACTGTATTTTAAAGAAAGTCCAACACTCAAAAAGAATGTGTTCTTCTACCTGAGCACTGACGATCATTTTGTAGTCGTTGGGTGGAAATGTATCTGGAAGGGAATCTTTGTCTACCAAATTTATGTGACTTCCTCCATAAACACCCTAGAATTTTAGCTTTATAAGCAATAACTTCAATAAAGAATTGACTTTTTAATGATTAGTACTATTATATTTTCATACCGGAACAGCTGGACACTCGTCGACGTTTAACCCTAATTGACGATACATCCGTTCACCGAATATAGGTTCTGTAAAGGCTTCACACAGTGTAATTGTAAAGTCAATTCCAGTTGCCACAACAAATTCACCCATTGAAGCTCCTATCATCTTAAGAGTGTGCTGTATTTAAATCGTGTCTATTTAATAATTTATCTTCATTACGATCTCAATAACATTTTTCTAGTTTATTGTAAATACAAAACTTACTGTTGCTTCAGCAGGCAACTTCTTGATCAATGTAAAATTGATAAAAAATTCGTTGTCTTTGCCTTCATCTTCAATGTACACTTCTATGTCTCGGAAATAAACAGGATCAGCTTTGGGACAAGTGACATCGTAACTGACAATACTCAATTCAGCCTTAAAATAATATTTTTGATTGGTGATTCAAATGAGAAATTACTTTCTTCAATGATTTAATTGTATATAAACTACTATACTGATTTAGAATAATTTGCTACCTCGGTATTTAGAAGTTGATTAGCAGTATAAATAATTGTTACTGCAATTAAAAGATTGATATTCATTATCACTGATAATAAAAATAGTAAATCTTATGTTCGTCACGTTAAAGATGGCTAAAATCCGAACAATTTCGCTTCGTTTAAAAGAATAACCCTCATTGGAATTTGTCATTTAATGAAAAACTCATCAACACATTATTAAGTGCATCCATGGATGACGATTTAATTGTAGACTTACACTCTAATTGCTGTTATATCGAAGGGAATTAAAGAATTTTCTCGTTATCAAATTAACTTATTTCGATATGATCTAAAATATGAAAAAACAATCCACAAGTACTAAGAATACACGTTTACATTGACTATAAATCATTACAATTACTCTCCATCATCTAAAATACATTATTAAGTGCATCCAAGAGTAACAATTTACACTATAATTACATAATTAAATGATACATTTATCTATTATTTCATGTACTTAATTGCCACTGATGTTCCATTGGAACATATTCTTTTTTTAAATTTTTCATTTTTTTCCTTCCGTTATATTTGCTCATTGAAAGTAATTGTCCATCGATGATTTCGAACATGTAGCATTAAAATAGATGAAAAAAAAGTCTTTTTCTCATACTACCACTCAAAATTAAAGTTTGCTCCCTGTTTTCACTTTTCTACCCGATGCAATTTTATACCCAGGTCAGAATATCATACTTTTCTCCCTTGGTTAACAATGTACTATTTTCAAACATCATTCAAAAAATGGGAGGTCTTCAGATTTTTATATTCCTGTGGCGTACCAAGATGTAAACTAAACACTTAAAGTGTTTACGTCTTCATATTGAGATTACGAACAAGAAGCAAAACGTATCAAATATGTAAAAGGAAAATTCACCAAGAATAAAATGTTAAAAAAGTAGCTTTTTGCAGTACGCATTTGACTTGCATAATGTATGTGAAGTGGTTGCGAAATGCAAAACACTTATGATGTAAAAAGTATAGAATGAAATAGAGCGAACACAGTTGTCTGGATGATTGTCGAAGAAAATACAAGTCAAGTAAATGAATAAGTGAAAAAGGAACTAAATGTAAAAGTTATAGTTGATAGCAAAAGAAAGACTATCGGAGCTTTCTGAAGAAAATATAAGGTTTCAATATTATAAGAAAAGTTTCCACTCTATGAAATGGGGTCGAGTCAACCTTCAGCTAAAGACATGGTTGGTACCTCAACAAATTTATGAACCACTTACGTTTACTTGTACGCGAAATTCATATCCATGAACATATAACCAGAATAACCGAGAGAAAGAGAGAGAGATGGTGCGAGTAAAAGCAAAATAGAAAAGCTTAGAGTGGTAAATATGAAACTCTAATGCGATACTTATACATAGGTACATATATGAGATAACAATTTCCAAATTACTTCTTGTAAACGATTTTATGTTTGCAAAAATTATACTCCATTTCATGACATCTTTTATTTACATTTATTTTTATGTGAAAATCTCAAATAATCGAATCTTCAAAAATAATTTATTATTATTCAAGTAGTGTCATTTTATTTGATTTAATTTTTAGAATAAAAATAAATGTCATTTAAGAATTAACATTATTCGTATAGAATACAAAGAATTATTTAAAAAAGCTAATGAATAAAGTTTGTCACAAAATAATTGTAATATTAAAGTTTTATATTACTGAGTTGAAAGTTGACGAGAAGGATTCGTCTAAGCATAAGAAATAGAAAAAAAGTCAATTTCGTTGGATGAATTTTCTTGATTAAACTTTTGTGTTTTAATTAAAGGATCATAGAATTCATTAAGAGTTTTATTCTTTTACTATTAAACTAAACTGCTAAACGAATAATAGTAAAATAGAATTGTTGTATGAAAACATTAAAAAGCAATGTTAAATTTATCAGTAACTTGTGTTTATGACATGCAACCAGCTGTTCTCTATTACCAAATTCACATTTCACCAAGGATCATAACTACAATTGTACAACAATATTGGATCTGCATTTTATTTACTAGTAATTTGATAACATAATTTTTTTGTATGGTAGTATTCTAATTAAAATCATTATTTTGTATTTAAAAAATGGGATGTCTTAAAGATGTACTAGCGTTAATTTTTTCACAGTAGAATTTTTTGAAATTTTGATATTCGATTCATTTTTTACAATAAAAAATTTTATTTTATTAAAACTGTATTACCACTTAATAGGTAAATGCAGATTTAGCAAGATATCAAGTGATCTCAATAAGAGCCTGAGTAAAAAAATTAATTTCAAATTAATAGTTCTCGATAACTAGCGGCACAATTGTGCTAAAAATTTTCATAACATTTTTTATTATAAATAATGAATCGAATATCAAAAAAATTGAGCCTACCAGAATACTTTTCTAATGGGAAGTTAATAATCATTTGGATTATAAAAAAAAATTAAAAAAAAAAAGAATCTAAAAAATCACAAGTGTATTTTAGATGTTAACTAAAATGAGAAGAGTAAAAATAATAAATTGTCGAGTATTTAAAAAAGAAAATTTTTTCTTCTCAAGTTTAGAAGAAAGTACATTAGTTTTCTCGTGTCAAAACGTTTTTCCAAGTCTAGTCAGCAGAAAAATAACGGTTAAAAGTTTTGCCGACGGGACAAGACGAACACAAAAAATATATAGTTAGCAGTTTACTCAGACAAGAAGTTCTATTTTAATGCTTTTAAAGCAATGAATTGACACGAAAATAAAAATGTTCCAAAGATAAGAGGAAAATGAGATTACTATATTTTTATTTTCTTTGTCGAACTTGAATATTTGACTATTAGCGTTACCCTGTACTGCTTTGGCTTTAACTCAAAACTTTCAACTGGTGATTTATCTTCGTTATTGTTTCACGGTTGTCATCCTTTTAAATCTAAACCCAAAATTATTATCGCCTAACGATCTACAAAATGACAAAGTCAATATTGAATTTGATTTCCAATCTCAATATCATCATAATCAAAATAATTTATTTTCTATTTAAAATTAATTATTAGATAGATAATAATGTGGAAAATTATCTATCAAGGCTCATTTAATAAAAAATACAAATCTCTTATAAAATAAAATTAATTAAGAGCAAGTAAGATATCGAAGCCATAAGTATAATCATGGTATCTACTTTACAATTAAGTTCCCCTCGAGACTTTTGGTAATTATCGGAGAACATTAACATCAATATAGTAAGGCTTTATATTTTTATTTAAAAAATAAAACTCGAAAATTTTATTGAATTGTTTTATATTTTATCTTAAAAAAGTGTAACAATATTTAATTAATACCAAGTTATTTTATACATTAAATATAAATGTAGCTTCCGATTAAAAGAACAAAAACTTCAAAAAGTTTATTTGTTTATGAACTACAATTCATTGTTTAAAAAACAGTGGTACTTATTTTTATAAACAATTAAAAATATCTCGAGAACTATGAATTGTAGAAAGTTGGGACTAGTCTCATTTTATTTCTCATAAAAATCTCTGAAAGAATATATATACAGCATGCTTTGATCTTCGATGCGGTTAAAGAAAAAATAATAACCCTGCAGGTACACTGTTCCTTTGTTCTGATTTTGTTCTTTTTTTTTTTTAAATAAAAAAAAAAATTTTATCAAAGCGCGACAATGTCGTGTTCTCAAATAATACCTCGTATATAAACCAGTGGCCCAAGTGATACATGAAGTATACAATTTTTATTGCAAAATGTCTGCAAAAAATACGAATATCCCCAAATGATATGTTTTACTTTGTCCCCAAAAGATTAATCCTTTAAATTTATATGTATATAAATTAAGTATCAGATTTATATTAACTCACGTAGTCATGTAAATTCAATTTAAAATCTAATATAAGCCACAAATGTGTGCTCACGTTTACTTGCTACTTCTCTGAGTTTACTAGACTTACCTCTACTGCATCACTATTTTATTGTGAGTGTAATTTTCGAATGATACTAACATGATATCTATCACCATTACAACTTTTCATTATGTCCTTACCAATCTTATAATGTACCGATTTGTTTCTAACAGTCAAGTTTGAATCGATATTTATTCTTGTATTTTTTGTAAAAACAAAATCAACACTTTGTTGTATTTCAAGTGGTTCACTTCTATTCCAAAGGATTTCAACTAGTTTCTTAATGAGCAATTTATGTATTCAAACGTTTCTATTGGACCTTAGGATCTCTTATTAATCATAAGTCAAGGGATTCTCCACGACTATTGTTCATGATAGAAATTCCCGTTTATTTACTCAAGTAAGATTTAAAGTGTTTAATTGATTTGATTCAACTTCAGTAGACTCCAACTTAAGGCATTAAGTTTTCTAAATATTATTCCTATTAAATCCTTCGGTTTTAATACATTTAAATATTCCACCGTGTTGAGGATAAAAATAAATCTGTATAGTGTTATACGATGGAAATTTTTATTTTAAATTGATCGTGTAATAGCTTTATTATTGAAACAATTAGAAATTAAAATAATATTTGACACTTTTGTTATTTGAATTCCTATAGGTGATATATTTCTCACTCTAGACAAATGACTCTACAGTTCGGCGAACCGCATGTGCTTACCACTAACCTCATGCGCTAAAATATATCCACAACGTCCTCAAATCTTTATTGCAGATTACACTTCCTTGTTGTAATTAAGTCTTGAAAATTATAAATATTAAATATTTTTGACAGACTTTATAATGAGGTCTACAATGTAGATGCAGATCCAGAAAATAAAATTTTCACTGCCCTGGGAAAAAATAAAATAGATCTACACAGATCCACATTTTCATCACATAAATTACTGCTTGTCTATGGAGATCTCCATTGATCTCGATGATAAAAAAAAAGATTTAATACATCTACAGAGATCACAGAAGATCTAAAGTGATTAAAATAGATCTACACAGAACAAAGGAGATCTAATTGTGCCAAAAGATAGATGTACATAGATCCATGTAGATTTATTATATTTTTCCCCAGGTGGTTTCTTTATCATAAATGTATATTTTAGATCTGCTCAAATAAATGTTATTTAATTTTGCTTTTACTAATTAAAAAAAAAACATATTTTTCACAGTAAATTTTTTTCTAAATGTCTGTAATGTTATGAGAACGTGTATATTTAAATTTTTAAAATGAACTTTTAGTTTATTAATGAAGTTTTAATTATACAAACATTTTGAAAATATGTATTACATTTTTTGTCTACTGCTTTTTTAAAGTTAACGCTAAAAACTGTCATCTTTATAACTTAGCTAACATATAAAATATCGACCTAAAAGTTGGCTGGTCTGTGAAGATTACGCGATACGCTGACAATTTATTGCTCCTTCTTACGTACTCTAAGCTAACTACAAGCTTCCTTCACTTCTTTACTCTTGTCCTTGTGCTCCTTGAAGCTTATGAAAATATTTTACATTGAATAAGTGCATAATTTTAAATAAATTTTATTGCTTATTACTTCTATAATAAGTAAATTATTATTTTTTTTCACCTATTATCTACATAATTATTATCTCATTTTTCTTTTAATTTTAAAAATATTTATATTAAAAAATTAAATGTAAAAGTTATTAATTTAATCATAAAAAATAAGTTAACTATATCTTCTTTTATCAACATTATTTTGAGTTTATTTATTTAAATTTAAAATGATTTCGTCGTGTTACATTTAAAGTAATAATTTATGTATCTCATAAGTTTCTCATGCTCTTTAATATTTCAGACATCCATATTTAAGGAAGGATCATGAAGCATAAATGACTAAAGGAGACAATACATTGCATTGTATATTTAGACTATCGCGTCTTTCGTCTGAAGCTTAAGTGCAAATCTACTATACCTTTGGTATATATTACATAGTCAGGTATCTAGTGGGTGAGAAGGTTGTGATAAGGGACTTGAGAATATAGCTTTGCCTTTCTTCTTCTACCATATTACGTATCGTTACTTTCCATACTGTCCTCGTGGTGAATCTCACAAACATATATTCTATTCTACCTGAAATCAAGGGATTCCTTAAAACCTCAAGAGATTACCTCAAAATAGTCATTAACGAGACCTCAAATAAGAAATGATTTAATTTTTTTAAATGACAGATTCATTATTTTTTGTTATAAACAAAATGAATAATTAATTTTTATTTTTAATTATTTCAGATGTGGACAAAATCATGGAAACTCATCTTTTATATTTTCATAATACATCTCTACACTTCAATATCATCAGCGACTTATTTAAAAGTAAGTATCAATTTATTAATTAATATTAAGTTGGCTAGAAAGTATTGTCCAGTAATGGAGAGAAAGAATTTTATTTGAAATAATATCTTTGTTAAGTAATTTTAATTTTAATTAGAAATATAATTGTTACAATTAGCAACAATGCTTGCTCATTAATATTTGGTAGGTCTTTAATGCCTTTGGCCCAAACACGACATTTTACTTTGCTAGAATATTCTGAAGTTGTATAAAAGTTGGACAAAACCTGCCCAACTAGGAACAAAAACTTTTTGAAAATATATTGATATATGTAGATTAATTTTTAAATAAACAAATGATGTCTACAATATATCTAGGTGTCTGAAAAGATGTCTCTAAGATGTCAGAAATGTCTAGAGGATGTTGTTGCTTTTTTAGACATCATTTTGACATTATTTGAATGTCGAAAAAAAGAAAAAAAAAAAGATGAATTTTCGATTATCTAAAATAATTCAGATAGAAATTGTATATCTTTTTATCTGAATTCAAAAGATGTCTTTTGGAAAGCTTTTTTAGTTGAATTTTAATAGGAATACCTGTGACAAACTATTTTACATAGTCTATATAATATTTTAAATTATTTTCTTGATAGAATGAAATTAATAGAAAATATGATAAGACTTTAGCAGATAAATTTTTAAGCGAATTCTAGTGAGATAAAATATAAAGACTTATGATGGAAAATATAATAGTTGACAAAAAAAAACCGTTGAAATAAAAATGACATTAAACAATAGAGGGGATCGGCGAATATAAAGTAGCTATTTCTGGTTTTCCTCATTTTCTTATGGAACAATTTACTTCAACGATGTGGACGGACAAGTCTAATAGGTAGGGACGATTCAACTATACGGAAAATTAGAGAAATTCCATTAAAGTAAAATGGTGGTGAATACTAGGTTCGTGGACTTTGGTCCCTCCATCACTTTATCTTTCTCTTATTCGAGATTGAAGGAAGAAAGCATAAAAGTAAAAGAAGAAGATAGAAGGATTCAACTGACTCACGAATTTGCATACGAATCCAACCAAGAGTCATAGAATATATTGGGGGAGTCGTTTTCGTTCAAGTCGCCTCAGTATACCATTTTCCAGGATAATAATTTTTAAGATTCTTCATACATTCGAAAACTAATGGTGTGGAAATTGAATGAATAAAACAACATCTCATGTAATATTATTATATAATCAATTTTACATTTTTCTCTTTGAATTTTTTTTAACGTTTTATCACAATCAACATTCCAAAAATCTCTATTTTTGAAAATTTAGTATTTCAACACCCAAAAATTTCATGTCATCTATTCGATTAACATTGTTGACATTTTTTATGTTTTCGATAAGGTCACTGTCGTTCATGAACCTATTCTCACTCATAGTCCAGTAGCCATAAGTTCAAACCCAATCTTACTAGGGAGCAACTGTTCAATGATGCTAAAAATTTTCTGACGACAGATTCTTGTAAAAGTTACCAAGGAGAGCAAATTTTTTCACTCAGAATCTATTATTATTGTTTAAACAATATTTTATAAAAAAAATAATGAGAATAATTCAAAAAGTAATAAAAATTCATCAAAACTTGCCTGCACACTTAATAATCATTCGTAAATTGTGAAACTTTTATTCAGAACAGAAAAATACTATAGAACACAAATAATAACTTATACAATAAATTTCTATCTCAAAAACATCTTTTGAACACACACTTTAAAATGTGTGAAAGAAATTTCTAAAAAACTGGATTAGCAGTGGTACTAAAGCACTTTGTCGAGAAATGTATAACGTATTATAGTTCTTATAAAAACATCATCAGTTTGTATAAACATAATACATAATCGATTGATGCTGTCTCTGTATGAATGACCTCTTGAATACCTAATTTGGATGCTATCCCAATTAACCTCGGTACGTCGAAATTAGCGGATCTAATTGTCTCACCTACTAACACATGACTATAGAGAGCACATTTCCATGGTTTCAATGATCATGATATGCAAATAGAAATTGTAATAAGCCTATAAAACAGATTTATAATTACTCTCTCAAACAGGTATTTTTCAACATCAAACTTACCATCAATACATCAACAAGAAAAATCTCAACCTCATAATTAAGATCATATTGAACTTGAGATGATGATTTTATCATAATTGAAGACCTGCAATCATCAGAAACATCAACAGATCAGTGTTGATTAATATTAATTCATCAATGATTACCAGTGAAGTGTTTTAATTTTATTAATTTCATCAAAAGTATTCAAAAACTTGATGACATGACGGATATTATAATTAAAAATAAGTAGATGTTAATTAGCTAAAATTCAACAACCAGACTGAAAGAGTATCCACATGTTGTGGGTATGCAGGCATCATAAATTGACATTACTTTATGCTATTTGTGAAGCTGTTGGGTTTTTGGTAGTACCTTGTGGACCACGACTACCCACTGTGGCTCGTAAACGAATCCACGTGACAGCAAATACATTATAGAGCTTTCATTGCACGAATGACTAGTATTTATATATTATATCCCACAAAATTGTAGACATTCACCTGATATTAGTTACATTGATTTTATCTGGAAACATGACTATTATCATACATTCTCAATAAAACCTAATTATTCATTTACACAAAGAATTTGCTTTTTATTCTTAATTGATAATACATTGTTAGGTGGTATTATTAATTATAACATTATTATAATTTGCACATAAAATAATGTAATTTGAATACGAAATGATAGATATTGTAATCAGGTTTAATTTATGAGTAATCATGATGGATACAATGTATATGTGATTGATAAAATTCTTTAGGTCTTGATATTATGGTAATCTCTATGATAAATATAGTTTGATGCATTAATATTTATTTTCTATAATGATAATGAACAAATATAATAGCAGTGTTGATTTAACAGTTATCATATTGATGTGTCTGATGGAGATGTCTCGAAAGTTGAAATAGAATATTTAAATGACAGAATGCAGGAAAATTAAAATAGAATTCGTAAGTATTCTATTGAACTGTTGAATTTTTTTAGCAACATGACAGTTTTGAAATTTAACTGATAGTAATATTGTATGATTTGAATAAATATTACAGATGGTATTGACAGTTTTCATACTGTGAAGAAGTTCAATATGCAAATGGATATATTGAAATAGTTTGATTTACTTATCAGATTTAGTATTCTATGTATTTAGAATATAATGCAACGTATAAAGTGATATACATGTGTATTTATGTCATGCATTACTTGATATTTATATTTCAATTTCTTTTTTAAATCTTCTTTAAAACTAAAAAAGATTATGTTATTAATTATTTATATCATACAATATATATATATGAAATATAAAAATTTCAATGAACAATACGAATTCCTGGTATTTCACAAAAGAAAGCAAACTGTGCACTACAACTAACGTCATCCATTCCTCCTTCTTTTAATAGAGTACCACAATTCTGAACACCACTACCATTATCTGGTTGTCCACCCCATCGTTCGCTCCATTTTGTATAGCCATTTTTATGAATAGAATCGCCAAGAATTGTTACCCAGTCTCCCTCACGAAACAAGTCGTGAATACCAATAAAGGCCTGCTCTTCATTGGTCGCATTTTTTATATTTACAGTTCGTTTAAAAAGATCCAATAGTACCTGTAAAAAGAATATTTTAATGAATATACATTGGTATTGAACAATAAGTTTAACCATTTATAACTCACTTGCTCTTCAGCTATAGAATCAATAACTGCTAAGTGAGCTCCTTCGATATTACAAATTTTTCTCGCTTCATTGAAAGTAGCTCCGTTAGCATGAAGTTTATGTGCACCTATTCCTGGTGTATACTGATAATCGTCTCTCTGGTGTACATCATGGGTGTTGAGATCACACGTACATGCCATTCCATGCATCACCACGTTACGTAGAGCTTCAGAACTATGTATACTTGTGCACACTGGAAAAATTAATTGTGGAATACCTCGATGCTTTGATTGATCATGACATGGCGGTGCTAAAGTTGTAGAAACTGGTTCTATTGTTGAGGATGGAATTTTTTCTACATCTACAGCTCTTTTTATTCCATGTTCTGGCATTGCAAAGATAGTTGTTATCAAAGAAATCAACAAAAACAACTCCATTGTCTATACACAAATGATGATCACTTATGACGAAGTTTCGTTTCAGTTCTAACTGTGAATCCACAGATGAAGAATCAAATGGTCACCATGAAGGTTTAATAGCAACTGAGAATTCTAAGAGGTATATTTTAGTTTTTTGCTGTAAATAAAGACGGTCCGTAACACAACCAACCCCCCATCATGTAGATGACTCAGAAAGAAGTCTTGAATAGAATGCCAACAAAAGAAACTCTGTTCTGTTTTATCTCAGACTACCTGATTTTTTGTATATCTTGTGAAAATATCTTTTTTCTATTTCTTTTTGCCTGTCTATCTTTATAACAAATACGTAATAGAACATATAATATAGTTCTCTATGTCAAGCAGTTTACATTGAAAGCCGATTTTATTCATTCAATATCAAATATTTAAATAAATAAATACACTTATATATTTGTGTGGATGAAATGTTTCATTTTTTATTGATGAAAAAATGTCCACAAAATAACGATTGATGAAATATTGTTTTATATAATTAATAATTTCAATATATGATGTAACTATTTTTTAAACAATATTATATTATATTTAAATAGAAATTTTACAAACAAATACGTGAGCATTATCACACATTTCATGAATAATTTGTCTTGTTTTCTTCACCAAGACACCGCAATGAGCTTTCTTAGAGTCGATTTGTTTATTGCCCGACCACTTAATGTAGCCAGTTTCTTCGATTGGAGTATCAAGGACTGATATCCATTCATTTTGATCAAACATATTATGAACACCAATAAATATATCTTCTGGTAGATTTAATGTTGTTGTAAGAAGCCACTGAAAAGAATGAAATTAAATATTTTGATCAATGATTGGTATTACATTTGATTTATAAAGCAATTTTCAAATTAAATGCATGCATACTTCTATTTCTTCTGAAGATTCCATGAATGCTAAATGTGCGCCTTCAGTAATACATTGTTTTCTAGCCTGATTCCATGTTTTTGGAATGGTATGAATTTTAAACCATCCAATATTTTCAAGTAAGATATAACCATCACTTGGTGCTGTATTTATAATCGGTTTGCATTTATAACTTTCTTCTTTACTTATTTTCATGATAACTGCTGAATTTTCGTCATCGCAACAACAGCAGTTGTTGACTCGATTGCTGCTATTTGATGATTGATTGAATCTTGAATTATTATATGGATCATGTTCTAGAAATTCAGCATCATTGTGCATTTTCAATCTTTCATAAATCATTTTTACAGCTAAATCATATGCTAATTTATTATTTCGTAAATCCAAAGGTAAGGTACCAACGATATGTTTGGCAAACGTATGTGCAATTTGAGTTATATTTTTATCATCATTCAATTCGTTGGTCTTAAATCGAGGTGGAAGATATGGTAAAATTTTATTCCAAGTTTCACCTTTTTTTTCAGTTTGATCAGCAATATATCTCATGTCTTGATATCTCTTTTTCTCTTCGACTCTTGCATCCATAATATTTTGATTGAAATTAGTGTTGAAGTTGTGTTTTTTTGACGTAGGTAAATTATTTCGTCTTCGATAAATATCCTGTTGATTACTGGAATGAATGGCGTGCACGTTTACACTGCTCTGATGAGTCTGAAGTGGAAATTTTGTTGTGGCAATTTTTTGAATAATTGTTGTTTTTTGATGACTATTTAAATAAGGTTGATTACCATAATTACAAAATTTACAACACGATCTGATTTTACCACAAGATTTGCAAGATGAGTTTCGTATTAAATTACATTTTCTGCATTTTCTTTTTAATAATTTTAATTTAACAATGATTGTATTTTTCTTATTTTTTAAAGGAATAAATACTTTATTAGAATCTGATAAATAATCAGTAATAGGAAGTGTGTGATCATAAGAATTGAAACTCTCGAATTGCAAACCTTTTTTTTTTGTTTCTTGTGGCCATTGAGAGCGCGGCATTTGATCACGAAGATGCTTGATAGTTACATGATGGTGTGTAAGATTATTGTTTACATTCCCTGCTTTTAAAGCAGAATTGTTCATCGATGAATGAGTCACTTGTATTTCTGTGGAAATTGGGAATAAGAGAGTTACATTAGTAACATAATTATTCATGAGTGAAGAGACATAATCAGTTGAATAAGTTGGAGACTTACTGGAAAGTAAACCATAAAGAAATGGAGAAATCGTTAAATTATGTGGGTAAAGAAATTGGGAAGTTGTTGCTGAGAGTTCGGATGGAACGAAGGAAGGTGAAGGTGTCATAAAGATGACAGGAGGCGTTAAGGAAAAATCATTTACGATAGTTGAGGATGTCGGAAGAGATGTTGGAGACGATTCATTCACAGAAGAAGTAACGGCAGGAGTAAATAATGTGACCAGAAAAGTAGACGGAATGAACGTAGTATTCGATAGGGAAGTACTTGCGTGGTATGGATGCAGTGTACTAGATTCAGTCAAATAAATTGATGGAAGTTCGACTGTTTGTGTCATTTCAAACATGGGATATGAGGCTGAAGTTGTTCGAGAATTGTTGAATGATTTAGTAATAATTGTTGTAAAGAGTTGAAGAGTAGTAGCATGTACGTGGTTTGGTGGTGCTATAGTAGATGATGATAATATTTCTGAAGTCCGTAGAGTTCTTGCTGTAGGGTACAGTGATACTGTTGTTTGGAGATCAGTGTCAGGTGCTTTAATAGTTGTAAAAAGCTGAAGAGTACTAGCTGTCTCATTGAATGGTTTGATTGTAGATGGTAATGATGAGTATGTTGGTATGAGTAGTTCAGATGTTCCTAAAGTCTTAACTGTGGAATATGATGATTCTGTTGTTCGGAGATCAGTGTGAAGTGCTGTAATAATTGTTGCGAATGACTGAAGAGTACTAGCTGTCTCATGAAATGGTTGAACTGTAGATGGTAATGGTGAGGATGTTGATATGAGTAGTTCAGATGTTCCTAAGGTCCTAGCTGTGGAATATAGTGATCCTGTTGTTTGGAGATTAGTGTGAAGTGCTGTAATAATCGTTGTGAAGGGCTGAAGAGAAGTAGCTGTAGTACTTACGCGGTGTGGTTGTGTTGTTGGAGATAATGATGAAAACGTCGATTTAAGTGGTTCAGATGGTTGTGAAGACTTTACTGAGGCATAACCTGATACTGTTGTTTGAATATCGGCATAGGGTGTAGTCATAAATGTTGTGAAGGGTTGGAGAAGGGTAGCATTTGCGTGATATGGCTCTGCTGTTACAGACAATGATGAGAGTGTTGATATCAGTGATTCAGATGATTGTGAAATTTTTGCTGTAGAATACAGTGACACTGTTGTTTGGAGATCAGTGTTTAGTGTTGTTACAATTGTTGTGTAAGGTTGAAGAGTACTGACGGTCTCATAGAATGGTTTTATTGGCGAAGTAGATGATGAGAGCGTTGATATTGATGATACAGACGTTCGGGAGGTTCGTGCTGTAGTATGCCCTGAAACTGTTGTTTGAAGATCAGTATATGGTATAGTCATAGATGTTGTAAAAGAAGATGAGTACGTTGGTGATAATGGTTTAGATGCTCGTGAAGTCTCTGCTATGGAAAACAGTGTTTGGAGATCAGTATGGAGTGTGGTCATAGATGTTGTAGGAGGTTGAAGAGACGTAGCATTTTCATAATATGGCTCTGCTGTCGTAGAAAATGATGATAACGTCGATATCAATAGCTCTGAGGTTCGTACAGTTCTTGCTGCAGAATACAGTGGCACAGTTGTTGGAAGATTAGAAGTAAGTAATGTTCTTACTGTGGAGTACAGTGATACTGTTGTTCGGAGATCAGTGTTAAGTGTTGTAATAATTGTAGTGTAGGGTTGAAGAGTACTAAGTACTGTCGAAGGCGATGGTGAGTACGTTGGTGATAGTGGTTTAGATGTTTGTGGGGTTTTTGTTGTGGAAAGCAATGACTCTGTTGTTGGAAAATCTATATACGAAGTCGTAATAATTATTGTAGAGGTTTGAAGAGAAGTAGCGTTTGCATAATATGGTTTTACTGTCGAAGAAGATGTTGAGAGCCCTGATATTAATGGTTTAGATGTTGGTGATGCTTTTGCTGTGGTATACTCTAACACTGTTGTTTGGAGATCAGTGTTAAGAGTTGTAACAACTGTTGTGAAATATGGCTCTGCTGTTGGAGGTGATAATGAGAGCGTCGGTATTAATGGTTTAGAAGTTTGTGAAATTTCTGTTGTGGGATGCAGTGTCACTATTGTTGGGAGGTCAGTGTGGACTGTAGCAATCATTGTTGTTGAAGGTTGAAGAGTAGTAGCAGTCTCAGAGAATGGCTCTGCTGTCGTAGAAGGTGATGGGAGCCCTGATATTAATGGTTTAGATGTTTGTGAAATTTTTTCTGTGGGATGCAGTGACACTGTTGTCTGGAGATCCGTATGAGGTCCTGTAATAATTGCTGTAGAGGTTTGAAGAGAAGTAATGTTTGTATAATATAGCTCTACTGTTGTAGAAGATGATAAGAATGTCGTCGGGTTTAGTGGTTTAGATGTTTGTGGGGTTCTTGCTGTGGGATGCCGTGACGCTGTGGTTGGGAGGTCAGTGTGGATCGTAGTGATAATTGCTGTTGAGGGTTCAAGAGTACTAGTTTCTTCATAATATTTCTGTGTTGTGGTAAATGATAAGTACGTAGGTATTAAAAATTCTGGTTTTTGTGTTGTTCTAATCATTGGTGTATGTAGTGTGGTTGTTTGTAAAATACTTATTGCTGGTTGTAGAGTAGTAGTACTTTCATGGTATGGCTGAGCTGTGCTCGATGTTGTAGGTATTGATAATTCAGGCTTATTGGTTATTTTAAAGGTTGAATGAGGTAGGGTAGTTTTTTGCATAACTGTTGATTGTGTCGTGAAAACTGTTGTTACAGGTTCTTGTTTAGTTATGCTGATCTCAAGAGTTGTATGAATTAATTTAGTTGTTGGAGATGTTGTTGTTTTAATCGTTGTATGTATCAATGTAGTTGTTGGTAATATTGTTGGAGAAGATATAATTATTGTTGTTACCGGTTGCAAAGTAGTCGTAGTGTGTTGCTCTACTGTACTAGTTGTTGGAGGTGTTGTTGTTTTAATCGTTGTATGAATTAATTCAGTTGTTGGAGAGGATGTAATTACTGTTGTTACCGGTCGTAAAGTAGTCGTAGTGTGTTGCTTTACTGTACTAGTTGTTGGAGGTGTTGTTGTTTTAGGCTTCTTTGTTGTTTTAATTGTTGTATGAATTATTTTAGTTGTTGGTGGTGTTGTTGTTTTAGGCTTCTTTGTTGTTTTAATTGTTGTCTGAATTATTTTAGTTGTTGGAGTTGTTGTTGTTTCAGGATTCTTTGTGGTTTTAATCGTTGTCTGAATTATTTTAGTTGTTGGAGGTGTTGTTATTTTAGGCTTCTTTGTTGTTTTAATTGTTGTATGAATTATTTTAGTTGTTGGAGGTGTTGTTATTTTAGGCTTCTTTGTTGTTTTAATCGTTGTCTGAATTATTTTAGTTGTTGGAGGTGTTGTTATTTTAGGCTTCTTTGTTGTTTTAATCGTTGTCTGAATTATTTTAGTTGTTGGAGGTGTTGTTATTTTAGGCTTCTTTGTTGTTTTAATCGTTGTATGAATTGTTTTAGTTGTTGGTGGTGTTGTTGTTTTAGGCTTCTTTGTTGTTTTAATTGTTGTCTGAATTATTTTAGTTGTTGGAGTTGTTGTTGTTTCAGGATTCTTTGTGGTTTTAATCGTTGTCTGAATTTTTTTAGTTGTTGGAGGTGTTGTTATTTTAGGCTTCTTTGTTGTTTTAATTGTTGTATGAATTATTTTAGTTGTTGGAGGTGTTGTTATTTTAGGCTTCTTTGTTGTTTTAATCGTTGTCTGAATTATTTTAGTTGTTGGAGGTGTTGTTATTTTAGGCTTCTTTGTTGTTTTAATCGTTGTCTGAATTTTTTTAGTTGTTGGAGGTGTTGTTATTTTAGGCTTCTTTGTTGTTTTAATTGTTGTATGAATTGTTTTAGTTGTTGGAGGTGTTGTTATTTTAGGCTTCATTGTTGTTTTAATCGTTGTCTGAATTTTTTTAGTTGTTCGTAATATCATCGAAGGGGATGTCGCTTTTTTCGTTACTGGTTGCAACGTAGTCGTAGTATGTTGTTTTATTGTGCTAGTTTTTAGCGCTCTTGTTGTTTTAGGTTCTTTTGTCGTTTTTCTCGTTGTCTGAGGTATTGTAGTTTTTTGTAACACCGTACTTATCGTAGTAGCAGTGGTGGTTATGGCTTTTCGGGTAGTAATTTTCACAACATGCGTCGTGATTGTCGTTGTAGGTCGTTGAGTAGTAGTACTCTTGTCGGATGGTCGCATGGTGCTGGATGTTGATGGATATTTCGAGATTAGTAATGTAGAAGTAGGTATAGTTCTTGTAGGATTCAACGATGTAGTTGTTTTCAGCACAGTAGATAAATGAGTGATATCTGTCTTATGAATTGATGTGCTCATTTGAGCAGTTGATGCAACTGTATGTATATCCAGTGGTGAGGGTGTCTTTTGTACTTCAGTTGAATACCCACCTTCTGTTGTGATTGTTGTCGGTTTCTTAGTGCGCACTATGAGTGTTGAATATTTTGATGTTGGATGTTGAGTGATGGTGGCTAGTGTTGGCGATGTTTTTCTGGTTTCTACAACTGTAGTTGGTAAGTCCGATCGGTGTTTTGTCGGGAAAATCTCTTCGTGTGGTGCAAATGGTGATGGTAGTTCATTAATAACATTTCCATCCGACTGTTTAGACGGCGTTGTTTTTTCAGTATTGGTCACATGAGTTGGCTTTATCGTTGTTGTTACTTTTGTAGTTATGGTAGTTTTCTGAGTAGTAGTTGTTAATGTTGTTTTTGCGATTGTCACTGGGGGTGGTTGTGGCGGTGGTTGTGGTAATGGTTGTGATGGTGTAGGTACTATGACCGGTGGACGTAGCCAATGATGTGCGAAATGATGCATCCAAAACTTATGCTTATTAATAAAAAACTTATTAGCTGAATGTAATAAATTACCCAATAAAAAACAACGTCTGCTAACCTCATTATTTACCCTTTTATTACTAGAAGTTTTCGGATTTTCTTCATGTTTATTATGTGTCAATGCATGCATTTTGAATTGATTGTGAGATAACTGTGCATCATGAGAATTTTGTATTTGACCATGATTTATTTCTGGTTCCTTCAATTCAGTAAGGTCACCACTTTTTTTCTCTTCAGACGAAAAAGGTTCCATAATGGTGTTATCTTTGTCTTCTTGTTCATTACTGCTCAATCCAGATTGTTGAATATCAGAACCTTCATCATTATTATTTTGAGTATCTTCTAGAGATGATTCGTCGTAATTGCCAGAAGTAACTAGCAAAACTTGACAGTTTATATAATAGTAAAAAATCAGTATCCAATAAATGGCCATATTTGATTATTTATTATTATTATTTCGAAGATTAACAATTATTACTTTCAAAAACTCCATGAATATTAATTTGAAAAAACAATTGATACTTTAATAAACTAAAGCTTCTACTCTCACATTTAGCTTTTTACATATGACGAAAATTCAGCGAATTTGAAAACTATATTTATGTACTGATGAATAGTCTATATATGGTAGAGATATGGTGTATTATTGTGCATCAGATGCACACGTTTTATTGTTCGTGATATTAATATCAGCACTCAATTTTCGCCGAGTAATCGACAATTTCGTGTATTGAAATGTCACTGTTTTGAATCGACAAATCGTAACACTGTTCAATTATTTATTCGAGGATACAGTTTAATAGAAATACTCATTCAATAATGAAATATACGTAAGTTATGTATATGCATATTGAAAAACTGATGCAATTCAATTCTCGTTACGCTCATCAGTATAACGACTTTCCGCTTTTAAAATTCAATATTTTCTTTTGTTTATATTGTAAGCATTGTAATCATAAACGTGTTGATTTAATAATTCGTTGTAATTAAAATAAACGTCAGTTATTTTCAAGTTATTGAAAACTTAATAAGTGAAAATTAATTTATTTCATTATTTAATATAACCCACAGATACTATATAAACTTCGTTCTTTCTAAAATTCTTTAGAAATCAGTATGATAATTAACAATAACTTTGATCAATTTCATTAATTACTTAATGAAGTAATCTATCAAGATGTCAATTTAGTTGAAATCTCTCGCCATTTCGATTCCTGTGGTCCAGTTGGCTAGTAAGATTGGTTAGCCTCAATAAAGACGGGGTTCAGAAGCATCTATGTGTATCTATAAAACTACAAACTTATGTAACACAATAGATTTGCGAAAATTGGGAATGGATTGTTGAATAAATAGATGTCTGTAAAGCAGGATAACAAGAGAGGTCAACTATTAAAAATCTCGACCTCGTTTTCACAGAGACAAAGGGAAGACAGTGAGAATGTGCGTCCTCTTTATTCTCGATCACGTATGAAGAGTATAGAAGTGATGATATAATGTATATATATAGAGACAACGAGTATGGGAAACGAGTATCCATTCATTGGTGAGTTTATTTATATTAAACAAAAAGTGATACTATCACATGAACGAAACCCCGAGAGAAGGTACACAGTGAAATCCATGTTGGGTGTATGTATATATGGTTAATACCTTTTTCGAAACAAGAAACTCACAAGCTATGTGATGTGAGTTGATGTGAATGACATCGCAAGCACGTTCCTGCTTTTAGCACTCGTGTTAACTCGAAGAGTTTTCCGCAAGTTGTCTCAGTACTACCTGGACTCTTTTTTCTTTTACTCTACATCCCTTTTACTCAATCCTTTGTTTTATCTATTTTTTCAACATTAAAAGTTAACATCAGCAACTTTTAACTCTATTGTTTTTTATCATATTTTTCTTTTATCAAAGTACTTTCATTCTAAAATATCTAGGTCATCAATTGTTTTTGAAAAGTATTTGACATGTGATAAACAATGTCTATATGTCATCGTCATAAATTGAAAATAAACACAAAAAGCTCGATATTCAATATAACTTTAGTTAAGTTGATTGAAAGAAATCAACAGGTTTTAACGATTTGCCCAGAAATCGTAAGCAGGTTGCTTCTAGCTACATTAAACCAATTCAAGATCTTACTAAAGCAGTCAAGTAGAAGAGAAAAAGAAAGTAAAAGTGGATATTAATGCACCCTGAAAGTAACGGAAGAGAAATTTATACCAAGCTCTTCTGGCAAGAAAACCAGATGACTAAAATGTCTGGAGCAAAGCAAGCAGGACGAAAAAGAAAAGATTAAAGTGCAAGCAGAGGTGACAGAGAAGAATGGTAAGAGCAGGATACTAAAGGAAATAATAAAAGAGTAGTAAAGAAAGAAATAGAAAGACATATCGCCAAAGGTGCAGAGCAAATAGTACCGTAACGAGGCTTTTCTACTTGGATGCTTTCGGCGCCATCCTGCCTGCTAAGGAAAGATTCGACTGTTTTAAAACAAACCAAGATTCCTTTTATAACAGCATATAAACATATTTAAAATGATGTGGAAAAGATTCATTATGTGATAAATTTAAAAATTCTTATGTGTTATATATTTTTTAAAAGATTTTACAATGACATTTTAGATTTAAAAAAGAACTTTTTTAGTCATATAACTTCAGCATTTTTCGATTGCTTTTGCGACTTTATCTTTTCTAGGTTCATACTTTGAAATATTCCAATTCTCAACGAGCAAGTGTTACACTACTCAGCCATACGTTGAAAATTTACTGACAAAGTTCTAACTTACTTTTTGATATTTCATTTTGCCACAATGATAGAGTACTTTTTTGACTTATACTTGATAAAAGTGCTGTAATGAACGTACCAAATGAGAAAGTAAAATCAATATATGATAAATGAAAGAACCAAGGATGGTTTTTTGAATTTATTATCATCTAGAATGAATAAAAATGACAGAAGGAATCAATGAAATGTTATTTAAATTTTAATTTAATGACCAAATATACAACAAATGATTTATCATAAAATTATTGAATTAAAAAAGCAAGTTGTAAACATCAATTTGGACTATCACCAATGAATTCTGTCGAAACGGTGAAGAGACATTCGACACGGATGATAACATTACTTTATGTCGATGGTAAGAGAAATCCATTTGCTCTTGTACAAAATGGCTCTTCTACCGATTACCAACGTAAATCGATGAAGGTGATCCAAGCTTTTTCACTCTCCAAAACTACTACCAAGAGGAGCTATCCAAAACCATTCGTACACTTGATTACTTCACGTACCTGTAACATTTTTCTTATTTTTTTTAAATCCTATTGATTTTGCACTAACAAGCATTTGATGCAAAGAATCGGTTAATGTACAGAAAACCAATAACGAATGATCTGTTTAAAAAGAACCGTGAATTACTACTTGATTATTTTTATTTATCGATTTTCATTTAAATAAAACACAAATAAAAATCAATATTATTTATAATGAATCTTTTCATCATTATTTGAATGTTCATTTTACTTATTCTAAACTAAAAGTATCTAGCATTGTTTAATTTATAAATCGTTATAAATTATAATACCTTTTTTTCAAGATAAAATATTACAATAATTTCACTTTATAAATAATATTTACTCAGTGATAAAGTATGTTAGACAAGAAGCTTTATTTTATAAATGTACAATAATGGAAACCACCAACCACTTTACTCAAGAGAAATAAACGTAACAAAATGAATTTCTCCTCTATATAAACCAATAAGTTCTGAATAAATTTAACTTCTTGGTTATCTACTACTATCATTATTATTTTTTAGTACCTTGAGGGTTCTTTAATTCAACTTTACTCTATTATGTCTCACATTAGTATGATAATCCATTAGTTCTAAATTATTTATTATTCTATTTACAGCATTCAAGACGACATCGTGATTCTTTAATAACATCCACGGAATCATTATCACCAACAAATGGGGTTCTGAGTGATAATATTCATGACAATTTTGTGAAAACTTCTCCAACATCTGCACTTCTACAAGATAAAGCTCTTGAGCATAGTAAGTAAACTTGTTCAATTGATTTTATTTTATTGAATGTTATACATTTTTTAACTCATACATTGATTGATTATTAATGGCACTATTTTTTAGATTGATGACTTAAGTATTTATTTACATTTGTGAGGTGTCATTATTGAAGTGAAAAGACTGTCCAAAGTTTTATGTACTGCATTAGCTAAAGTTACTACAAAACATTTTTCTTTTCTCATACAAGTTTTTGTTTGATAATTTCTAACGTAACCGTCATGACATCGACATCCTGGACCATTGGTTAAACATTCCTGAATAGTTTAAAAATCAAAAGAATAATTTTTTTATTAATTTTGAAAAGTCATATGGCACAACTAAAAAATATTTAATTACTTCATACTTACGTCCCACTTGAGATTATCAGTAACTTCAGGATGAGTACAGGAAGGTTCTCTTAATCTTCCACAAAAATGGAAATATTCCGGGAATTTACAAAAACTATCTACATCTATCACATAGAAAGACTCTGATTAGAATGACATTTATTCAATGAAGAAGAAAAACTTTACTTACAGGCAAAGAATAGGATTATTATAACAGTATTTAAAAGTATACTCGACATTTTAAATATTTCAGTCTGAAAAAAATGACAAATTTACCTGCTATTTAAAGAGAATAATATCAAGTTGCGTGCTTTTTTATTTAAACATTCTTAAAAGTATTACGAAATACACAAAAATTATCCAAATTGATACAATATCAAGATATATCACGATAGTAATGATAATTTATAAGATTGTATATTTTTTTTTACTGCACTCTTTGATAATTTTGCTTTACAATAACATGGTATGTTTAATAATACATTTTATACATGATTTACATAAATTAAACATTAAAATTTTTTTATATTTAATCATCACAATTGTGTAATAAGACACAGGATCCATTTTTATTCCGTAGATATTGTTCATTACAACGACAACCACTTGTAAATTGTGAACATTGCTAAATAAATTATAAAACAACAGTTTATTTTCGTAATTATTAATAATAAGCAATATTAATAATAAAAAATTCAATTTTATTTATTAAAAAAACTTACAATCTTTGGACATGATAATTGATTAGGAGAAGGACGTTCACAAGATGGTTCACACATTTTTCCACAAAGAGATATACTTTCATTGATACCACATTCATTATTTTCATCTAAATTTAATAATTAATATGATAGATTAGTATTAAAAATTAATTATAAAATATAAATATTTAAAAAAAAAAATTGATGTACCAGCTAAGGCTGTTGTTAAAAATAAAACAATCATCACTGTTTGTATCATTTTTATGAATTTTTGATAAAAATCACACTATAAATTCAGTTGCTGTTGCATAAACTTGTATTTATATCATTCAAAGTATTTCTTATCGGACATTATGAGGAAGTCATAAAAATAAATAAACATGTATATATACATAAGTTATCATGAAAACAAACATTTCATTACCGTCATTATTTTTAAAATATTCATACTTAGGCATAAGGAAAAAATAAATTGTAAAAAAAAATTATACATTACTTATCATTACTCAAACTCGATGAAGATCTGAGTTAAGACTCATTTTACATTATATTTATTTTTGATTTTAGAAAATAGATTAGTAAAACATAACTTGTATGTTGAATAGTAAAATAGAAATTCAGATTAATTATTAAATGAAACTAAAATTAATTTACATGCTTCAATTACTCAATAATTCTATTATCGATAATTTACTTATCCATGCTACACAATGCAAATTTTCATAATTCTTTTAAAATTGAAATACCATATTAAGTTCTAAATAATCAAAACTGATTTAGATTCTAAGTCTTGATAATATAATCGAAATGTTTATTAATCTAGTGTATATTAAAAAAATCTGTTATTCAAAATAGTTAACAATTTTTTCATTGAAAGTATTTTATGGAAAAACTAGAAAATTAAGACATCTGGTACACAGTCAGTGATTGATTACAAATTCAATATTGAACTTGAAAGATATTAGCATAGATATCGATTTTGTGACCTGAATTTGGTGGTTTAATATTTTTTATTTAATACAACCCCTTAAACTTTATCTATTTAATCGTATAAGATATTATCAAATATAAGTCATCACTGGATAAAAAGAGTTTGAATTAAATATTTTAAAAAATTAATTTCCATCTTTAAATTCAGTATCCCTAAAGGAATACAGTAAAAATTATTCTTTAGTTTATTATATGTTTTATGTATACAAATTTTTTATATTGATAATCAATCATTTTAATATAATAATAAATTATTGTGCAGATCCATGTCTTGACAAATACTGTGGAGCAGGAAGGAAATGTCGACTCTCACCAGACGGAGGAGTTGCATTATGTGTATGTATAAAAAAGTGTGGTATAAGACATAGACCAGTTTGCGGAAGTGATGGAAAAGTTTATGCAAATCACTGTGAGTTACATCGAACTGCTTGTAACACAGGCACACCACTTACTGTCAGCAGATTGATGAGATGTCTTCACCAAGGTACTCAACAAAAAATCAATTATCATTATTTTTAATAAAGTTTAAAACTTCAATTAAATGAGATGATGAAATGGATATGATTGTTATGTAAATATGATGTGAAGTAACTCGAAATTGATTTAGAAAATGACATTTTGTTTGACTCTTTTTTAAAATTATTATAATTTCTCAAGTTATTCAAGCCTTCGATAGCTCAGTTGGTAGAGCGGTGGACTGTAGTTGTATAATGTATAAAACAAAAAAAAGATATCCATAGGTCGCTGGTTCAAATCCGGCTCGAAGGAAATTTTTTAATAATTATTTATTTAATAATTAATAAATCATCCTGTTTATTTTTTTTTTAAATTCTTCATTATTTAGCAACGTAGAGTATATTTAAATTCATGTACGTAGTACAATAGATTAATATTATTTTATAAAAAAACTACATAGAAATATTCTATTATAAATCGCAAACTATTATTTAAGAGGTTTTTAAATAATTATTAAAAAATAAATTAAATATGAATATATTTCAATGAACTTAATAATACATTGATAAAAAATATTGATAGATAATGATAAAATTTATATGATAAAAATTAAAAAGAATTAAAAGCATATTAAAAATAAAAATGAATAATTTCAGTAAAAAAGAACAGATATTTCCATTAAAAATTCTCAAAGTTAAGTGAACATAATTGAATGATTCAATTATTTCTCCTATTTTAATATAATAATAATAATAAATAATAATAATAGTGTTAAGGAAATGGTAGATCTCTTTGACTAGAGAGCAATTTTAAATCTCATTTTCTGTTGCATTAGTGTGTCACAAAATTAGGTGTGATGGTACTCACGAAAGTTGTAGGAATTTGTCATTATATGCTCTCATATTGATATATATATAGTTAATATTTTTATTTTATTTATTTGAATAAATAGGAATGAAATTATTTAAATAATAGATTATGTAAGTGTAAAGGTTGTCATAGAGAATTTAGTGGATTAATATTGTTTTGTGTAGAATTGGAGAGAAAAGGAAGATAGGGATTGATCGAATATGGTCATGCAGTGTGTCTAGAATAATCTTACCGAATTATGTAAACTTCGATAACCCCTCGAAAATATAGAGGCATACACTAACTAATCGAAGCTTTACGTGCTCTTATCGTTCCAGTATTTGCGTGCAGTCAATATTGCTTATCCGTTTACTCCAAGATCAGACAAATAAATTATTCAAAAAAAACATGAAACATGCCAATAGTAATGAGTTATTAAAATTATAAAATTTGAAAATGATGATATAATAACTTTTCAACTTGTTAATTAAACTTGAAAATTTTGTCATGAATTTTCAAAATTTTTTATTCAATAAAAGAGTTATAATAGGTACATTGAAAAAGTTGAAAGGAATTGAGTGAACTCACAACCGCATGTAATCGTTGGAAAGCTCAACTTGCCTGGAGCTTTCATGCCAGTTACATAGAGAATATTGCTAGCGATTTCCATCGCAAATTACGCGACGCGTACACCCTCTGGGTATGGTGCAAATGCTAGAAACAAATTGTGTCCTCTCTCTTTTTCTTTATCTATCTCTCTTTGAATGTTACCAGTTGGTTGTTCGATTTGTGTCAGATAAAGTACAAGAAAATTAGAAAATAACTACTTTCCAGTATCACACGTGAAAATGTTTTTTTTTGTTTGTTATTTTTCAGCTTTCATTCACTCTCTTTCTCTCTCTCATTGATATTATTTATTTTGAATATTGTTTGTATGATAAGAAAAAAATTATTTCAACATAATATTATTGTGATACTCCAAACAAATTCGATTCATTATTCGTGATTAACTTTCAAACTTTATTAATTTTCCATTAGGAAGTTATTAAAATGGAGTTGATTTTTGAAATTTGTAATTTTATTATTTCTTTACGTTTTGAGATATTTAAAAGCCTATTAAAAGGTTTAAAAATAAATGTACGTACGTACGTACAATTATACGTACGGGAATTTATTTTAATATTATTTAATTGATATGTAGGAAAAATTGAGAAATTATAAATCACAAATATTTAAAATAAAAAGGTATATTAAAATGGGATTTAAAATACATTAATATTTTCAATTAAATAATTTACTAACCAATGAATTCCATCATCGTCGTTTTCATAAATTCTCTGGGTAATTGGCTGACGGCCATTTCATAAATATGTATCCCACAGTTATTGCACGTTGATTTAATTACACCTTTCCCCATTCCTAAATTGTAACCCATATCCGATTTTCAAATGAATATCAATTCATCATCCATCATTTTATTTACCTCAATTGAATGAAATACCAATATCAATTGAAATAATATGTAATTTACATTTTAATTATACTCAATAAAACATCTGAATAACCAAATGATCATAAAACCTTCTATCTATTGTTAACTATTCTTATTAGAAAATTAATTAATTTTAATTAAAAAAAACTTTCATGTTTTATTTTTTATTTCCATGCATACATAAAGCAACTTGAAATCAATTTTAACTCTTGAAGCATAAAGACATGTTAAAATTACTCTACAGTGTATTAAAATAGAAATAGAACATTTATTTATCCATTTGTAAAATTATTTAATTTTATTACAGATGAACATCGAGAAACTCCCAAAGCTCTTCCAGTCGGTGATGCAACAGTTCCAAGTACAGAAGTTAAAAAGGAAAGTCATCAAGAAGATATCAGAGATAACATAATAGACATTGATGTCAATGATTTAGATGATTGTTCAGCTCAGGAATATGAAATAATGAAGGTAAACTTACAATTGAAATAAAAATGAAATCAATACTTAATCATCAACAATAACTTTACTTTCAGGATAATTTATTATTATATAATCATGCACGACTTATGACTCAAGATAATCATAGTAAGGAATATTTAGTCAGTATAATGTTCTCTCATTACGATCAGAATAATAATGGTAATTTAGAACGGGAGGAATTGGAACAGGTAAGTTCATCCCATTCGAAACTGAATAATGTAAATCTATAACACTTGTGATGGTGTTATTACGTAAATTGCAGATTGCTGAAAGAGAAGATTTGGAACAACTAAGTAAAGGTTGCTCTCTGGGACACATGATCAGCTATGACGATGCTGATAAAGATGGTCGACTTAATATTAATGAATTTTACATGGCATTTAGTAAACTTTACAGTAAGATAAATGAACGATAATCTCTTTATAACAGACGAAATAATACACTTGAACAAAATTTCTATAAATGTTTTTTTTTTATTATTTGTGTACAGGTGTATCAGTTGTCTCTCTCGATAAATCTCTAGAGATCAATCACATTTCAGCACGAGTTGGTGATAACGTAGAAATCAAATGTGATGTCACAGGTACACCACCACCACCTCTTGTCTGGAGGCGTAATGATGCTGATCTCGAAGCTTTATCAGAGCCTGAGGTAATCCTTTATTTAAATAATTAATAACATAACATTTCAATAAATTTGAATATTTTAAGTAATTATAAATAAATATGTATCAAAAGAGTCTATTTACTTTACATAGATTCGTGTTTTTACGGATGGAAGTCTCTATCTTACTCGGGTTCAACTTTTGCATGCAGGCAATTATACGTGTCATGCATTGAGAAATAAGGATGTTGTTCAAACTCATGTTCTTACTGTTTACAGTACGTAAATAATTATTTAATCATTGAATAAATGATTACATTTCTTTAGTTTATCTATTTAAACCAAAAAAGGTTGTTGGTATGAACTTGTTTATATTTTTATGCTACTTGAATTGTAGCAATTCCTGAAGTAAGAGTAACACCTAGACTTCAATCAAAACGCCCTGGAGAAGAAGCTCGAATGTTTTGTCATGTAGTTGGTGAGCCTCTTCCAAAGGTGGAATGGTTAAAAAATGATGAATCACTTCATGAAGAGAATAAATATGAAGTTGTTGGCAATGGTACCAAGTTGGTTGTAAAGAATATTGGATATGCTGACACTGGAGCTTATATGTGTCAAGCAACTAGCATTGGTGGATTAACTAGAGATATCAGCAGTTTAGTCATACAGGAGCAACCAACGCCAAGTATGTATTTGTTTGATGATATTAAAAATTTATAAAATATTAATTATTTATATATTTCATTGCTTCTTATTATTGAAATATGTTAGGTAACTTTATATATATTTATATAATTGTTTTTTGAAAGTTAATTTACCAAGTAATTCGATGAAAATAATTCAATGGAGTTAAGTTCATTGAATGAGCAAAGTTTAGGCCATTCTATCAAAAGCAATGAGACGTAACAAAACCACGATTACCGCCAAACCAATGATCGATCGATATCTTTCTAGTTTTGACTCTTGATCCGATCCAAATTGTGGATTTTGTGGTTCTCCTTTGGCTTGTAACTTCAATTACCTCTCGACATTTTACATGATATATATAACACCTTAGCAAAATTATAACATAAACAAATAAATTATTTTTAAAAACCATTTTTTAGATTAAACTTCAACTTTTAATGAGATAAAAGCATGCGATCATTTAATGAGAATTTTTAATTCTACTTAACTTTTTTCTTTTTTTATTTAAACTTGGAACGATTAAAATGAACTTATTCTTCACTGTCACTGTTATTATTTTACATTTAAATGATAAATTTTAAATTTCCTCCAGCCGCACCAAATGAAGAAAGAAGATTCTTTTCGTTTCATGAATGGGGAATATCGGTTTATGAGCCATCTGCCTGTCATCTTTATCATCAAATTTATTCCACTGATATTATACCAGGGACACAAGTAAATCCATTGATTATTATTATTATTACTGATAGTTGAGAAATTTTAAAAGGATTAATTATTGAAAACAAAAATTTCTCTTTGAAAGATAAATTTCATCATTTAAAAATGATTATTTTATTATCTAGGAATATGTGTGTGGAGAAAAGGACATTCCTTGCAGTTGGGGTCGTGCTATAAATGTTGCTAATCGTTATGTCTACGTTACACAACCAGAGAAGGATAGGATTCTTGTAATTAGCAAAATTCAAATGGTTGTTGTTGATGTAAGTAAATTTCTTAATTAAAAAAATACACAATATTTTGATTATTCAAGAAGTGAATGATGATAATTTAAATTTTTAATAGGTTGTAGCAACAGATAAATATCCAGTAGAGCTTCAATATGTCCCAGCTTTAGATCAAGTTTGGGTATTAAATTGGCGAAATGAAGAAGATCAAGGAATAAAGACTATTCAAGTAATAAGGGATGCAGCACAAAAAAGGAAGCACCATACAGTTCATCCAGAACCAATTGATGGCCAATTTGATTTAGTTCGAGGCCTCTATATTCCTCATGTACAAGTAATGCTGATAAATATTGACTGTTTTATTGCTTTTAAACTTTCTTCTAATGAAAAAAAATTGTAATTATTTATAAGGAATTGTGGATTTTTTTTTAATGTCTTATCTATTATTACAGGATATTGGACACTTGTTTAAATACGGATATGTCACTCATACAAATCAACGAGGGATGTATAAGCTTGATCTAGCAAACATGCGGTACACCAGAAGCGCAGATCTTGCGCCATACAATTGCGTACCCGCCCACATTCAATTTCCGGCTTTGTGTAAGTATCAAATTCAATCTTTCGTATTTGCAAATGTATACTTTGTATTCGTAACAGTAATTAAATAGTTATTTACATTAAATAACAAATAAAATTGTTACGCCATTGAATAAATTTATTTATCTATTTGGTGTGAATATATGTAATCCAATATTTATTGTTTAGAAGATAGTTGATCATCGGTAATGTAATAATGTTCTGATTTATTAGATGGTTTTGTAATTCTTCAATGTGAAGAACCGATCACTGGAAAAGCAACTGGTCAACTTTTATTAGATTATCTAACCGATACTGTTCTTTCCCATAAACCTGGACTTTTGGGAAAACCTATGGTCTCTCCGGATTCTCGTCACGTTGTTACATTGGATAAACAAGAGAGTGGAGTTATTTTAGTTGTACAAGAAATTTTATGTAAGTAACAATGTTTATTTTCAATAGTATTAAACTTAGAATAACATAAAAACTTTTTTTATTTATTTTTAATTGAATTGTATGATAGCACATGGATTAAAATTTTCGTTTGATGTGAAAACAACACTTAATATTAGTGATATAACATTCTATCCATCACAAACTACACATGGGTATGATTTGTATGCTTCATCTACAGACAAAGAGGATATTCTCTTTTTAAATTTAGCAACAGGTAATAAATTTGATTAAATATCTCTACAAACAAATTTCAATATTTTTTTTTTTCTATTACTGGAATGAAGCAATATCATTGATTTTAATAATGTGAAATATTTTTAGGTAAAGTGGAAATAATAACTGGTGTTGGAAAAGCAATGCCAATGAATTTGACAAAATGGGGTAACCCAAATAGGCCAATAGTTCAGAGTGGAATTTTTGGGCAATATATGGTAAGTCCTTCAAATGAAGCTCTTTTTGTTTTAAATGGAGAAACTCGAACAGTGAACTGTGAAATTGGTGGACTTGTACATCCCGGGGCTGTTGTATGGTTTACAGTAGCAATTCACTAAAATTCATCATTGAAAATTACCAAAATAAATCTTCATAAATTTTTTACCGAACAAGTGGCCTCGAATCGTCTTTTGATCACAAATAAGAATAAAAAAAAAATGAATAAAGTTGTATACATAAAAATATTTAAAAAAAAAAAAGAATCAATAAACACATAACAAAATGCATGCATATATACATAGGTAGAGAATACATGTGTATATGTATACATATAGAGCCATTAATCATGACATGAATATAAGAAAAAATATTTCTTTTGAATAATAAAAGTGCATAATAATATGAATAATTAATTTATAAATTAATGGCACGTTGATATGCCAATATTTAATCGCAACTATAACATATATAAAACCCATTTATAAAATATCATTTTCATATATAATAATTAAGGTCCACCATATACAATAACTAGTGATAAATCAAGGTTACATAATGTTATTTATTAAATTGTTATGCGTTTATTATAAGATCTACCAATAAAAAATTTTTATGGAAAAATACATTCAAATAAAATAATATTAAGGATGTATTATCTGTCATAGATTATAAATCAGTCATACGGCTTTAACTACATTAGAATAATTATAGTTAAAGAAAATTGAAATCTCTTTTAAATAATAATTAGATAATCGCTTATTTTCATCATGTTTTTCATTTCAATAATCAACTCGTACATTGTGTATCATTAGAAAAAATACATTTGCATCATTTGACAAAGTACGACAAGAATAACAATAAATTTATTACAATAAATTTAATAATATTTACTATAAATATTAAAAGAGAATATATAAAAAAACGAATAATTATTTTATTAATATTGTCCATATCGGAATGCATACTAAAAATTATTATATATAAAATACATATGAAGTATGATCGTCATTTATATTTGTTTTTAATATTTATTAATATGAAAATTGTTATATTAATATGAAATTTTGATAATTCAAAATATTTTTCGTCTCAATAATTAATTTTAATTTATAACTTTATGAAATGAGAAAGATTTTAATTTAAAATTATTATACTGTTCAATTTAGAAATGAAATTTCTTTCATTATTTCTATCTGGTAAAAAAATAATAAATAACAGAATACTGTTATGTTTTTTAGATTAAATTATAAGTGAATATTGATTATCATAAAAACATAAAGTACTGAACGATATTAATATAAAATTGAAAAATGGTATTAATGTTATTATAAAATGATGAAATACACTTATATGGGAAAGATATTGAAATATATTATATATTTGTAAAAAATGAACTTTTGTGAAAAAAATTATTTAATGGCAAATTACAGTATTTAACTTACTGTGAAAGTGTAAGAAAAAACAGTAGTAACTTTGATGCTCGCAATGGTAATGCAACTGATAATAATAAAATTCACTTTCCCTTGGTTAATGAAAATTAATGATGATATTTATTGCTTTATAATCGCCTAGTAGAATTCAGTGTATATGAAAAATGCAATTTCCATTTTGAAATTCAAAGTGTATTATTCTAGTCAAAAAATACTTACCAATGATTCCACTATATCGTTAATAGCTTCTAGTCATTTCATAGTCATCTTAAAATTGACAAAGTAAGAAGTGTTATGTAGAATTATTATTTTATAATAGTCATTATAATAAAAATGAAGCACGTAAAAATATTCTAAAATTTTTATAATAGTTAAAAATGTTTTTTAAATTATTCTGAATTACATATAATTTGTGTTCTTATAATGTTCTTGTTCAAATTTGACTAAAATTTTGTAAAGGCTTATAGCTTAAAGTAAAACCAAGAGCAAATTTGAAGAGGTCAATCGTTAGACGGGAAACTCAATGAGTATGATTATAATTAAATATTAATTTACATCAGAATTTAATAAATTTTCAAATATATTTATTCCAATAGAAATCATTTAAAATTCATTAATTTTACTACAATATTCAACTATAGAAAATATACTGAATCGTAATGAACATTTTTACTGTGCAAAAAAAAGTGTAAATATGATATTGTAACTCTTTAAGTTATGCACTTAATAAACATTTTTATAAAAATTCACTTTAATTTAATGTTGAAATTAATTTGAATTAAAATAACACTCATCTATCAATTCTAATGTGATCGATGATGTATAACATCTAAAAAATGTTAAGTAAAACGTAGTTATACAACAATGATTATTGTATATTCGTATGTGTGATTGTTAAGATACATTTCTTGTAATAAAAATTCAATATGAATAATTTAATAAATGATTTGTAAGTTGATTCTATTTTTATTCCCATAAAAATAATATTTATTTATATATGTATATGGATTGGAAAAACATCAAAAATACAATGATTTTTAGTATCAATATATCTAAATTATATTCAAAGTATATAAAAAAAATTATAAAAATTGACATTATCTTATTCTCTTTATTTTCAATGAATAATGATCGGTTTCAAGTTAATGTATCTATTGTTTATTTTATAATATAAACTTGACACATTTTTACACATGATGTATATTTTTTTTTTTCATAAATAAATCTTATTCATACCTTATATAATTACTTATTTTTACCGGTTTTTATATAAATTCATTTTCTTAAAATAAAAATTACCTTATGATAAATCTTCCATATACCAATAAAATTAAATACATTTTTTTTTTAATCACTACCGAATATTGAAATTTTAGTACAGTTAAGTTGAAGCACATTAAAAATATTTTTTTAACAATCGTAAATATCACATTGATCCAGACCTATTGTGATCCCGCATCAATTATTGAGACACTTTAGTACGATAATAACAAAAAGGATTTTTTCATAAATAATAGGAATAATTAATTCTTTATTACAATTGTTCTTCTTTGATTTATTTTGTTTTATTTATAATTCTCATATTTGAAATTTTATTTTAGTTTTAAAAATACGTTACTTAGATATAATTCGCCTGAATCAACGCAGTTTGATATTGAATTCTTATTACATTACGTTTTCGTTGCTCTCGAGCTAAATGATTTATAAATTACATGGTTTTGTGTTGACATCTTGTCGACAATAGAATAAAATATACGCATTACTAAAGTCTTCTTCTTGCGGTTTTTGTTTGTTCGTGAATTCATCATTATAATAATACCAAATACCCGTATTTGGATTTCTTGCATATGCAGTATAATGCCCTGCAGAAACGCCTATAAATAAGATTAAATAATAAGAACAGTAATGTTAATAAAATTATTTGCATAATTAACTTCTTTTATTAATAATAAAAGTATTAAGATTTCTATTAATATATAAATTACCTCCATAATGACAAACACAAGCGTAAAGATCATACAAATGTTGTCCTACGCTGAGCCCAACCAATGGAAATGTTACTTTATCGTCTAATTTCATACTAATACATTCATAAAACACAAACCTGTAAAAATAAAATTACCTTTTAGCTATTTTATTTTACTTAATACTAGAGATTATAATTTAAAATTCGTAAGGAAACCTTTTAAGATATACTATGAGGTACTTGGGATAACGATGAACAGTTAACGTCTTCGTAGCACATTGATTTTGTTCACATTTAGGACAAAACCATGGATTATGCTCATCTAACATCTCACTGAAATAATGAATATTTTAATTAGACAATAAGTCAATTTTTATATAATAAAATAATTATAATTTAATGTAAATAGATATAAATACAAACCTTTGACTAAATGCTTGTAAACAATCATATAAAGACAACGGATGTGGTGGTCGTTGTTTACTGACACTGATGTGATCAATTGGAGGTTCAATATTCGGTATATTTTCGGTATATCGTATTGCTAAAGTATCATTTGTTCGAATTTCTACTATTCCCTCTTCAGGAACATTGCATCCAGTGCAATGAGATGTATATATACAACGAGAACAACGATGGCCCTACAAACATTTTATATTTTTTAACACAATTGAATAATTAAAATAAATTTTGATATATAATTAAACAAATTTATAGACTAATAAATATTTATTGTATATCACTTACTTGACCATCAACAAAATGAACTGTATAATTTCCTTCTTGAGGTACTACTCGCTTAAGTACCTCAAATAAATCTTTTGCTTTAACTCTTGATGGCAGTCGGATTAAATGTGGATGACCAAATAATATTGTTTCCTTACGATTGTTTGATGCTTCGTTAGTGTCATGGCGCATTACCAAAGGTACATTGAGTATTCGGCCAACTGGCCTTGGTCGACCAATTTGATTGATTTTCATAAAGGATGAAGACTCCGCTGGTTTATTACACATTGGGCAGTTTCGAGGTTCCGACGGGGTCTTGAAGTAGTTCTGTTGGGTAATATGCACTGCTCTCTCAGTTTCACGTTAATTTATTTCACAAATGATTGTCATATCGCGGTAAATCACTATTTTCAACAACTTCACCTTTTTTCATAAAAACAAAAATAATCTTTCACTATCTATCATCAAATTTTTTGATTAAAAAAGTTCAATTACTCACTTTATGTTATTAATCAATTGAATATTATGTTGTTATAGAAAATTATGTAATTAATCAACGGAAACAAATTTGTGAAACAAACTATCGTGTAAATCAAAAATATTTCATTCCCAATCACCATTTGATCATATTCCCAATATGGGAAGCAATAATTTATTATTGCAATACATTAAAAAAATTTTTATTTATAATATTTTTAATATATTTTATTATTAATAAATATATCAGCGTATTTTCTTCAAATAAAGATATTATTTTATCATTTAAAAATCCCTCAGTTCAAGACAGTATCAGATTAGTCTGAATTGAGTTCCAATTTTAATAATTGGCTTGCAGATTTGACTCCATTAGCGGATTACATGAGTTTTCAATTTAACTTCTGTTGCCTCTGCTTCATATCAAGCGTCCTTAGCAAATAACAAAAGTTAAACTTTTTCTGGTTCTCATGCATGTTATTAAAACATTATCCGTCTAGAATATTTGCTAATCTTATCTCAGACCTTCCCGAGGTTCAATTTTTGACAACTATGTGTCTCGTTTGTAAACCCCAACTGCTAGATTGATACTGTCTTTTTATCATCATTGGGAATAATGTAATAACGAAAATCACATTATTTTTATGAAGTCAATAGATATATAATAAAAGATTAAAAGTATGGATTAAAGATCTATGAGAAAGCAAATTTTGTATAAAAAATTAAATTTAAATAAATTCTTACCTCAATACAAGGTTCACACATTATAAAACTACACATATCGTTACTGTGTTTCTTCAGATCACCATCAGTTTCTTCAAGACAGATAGGACACGGTCCGATATCGTCACTCGTAGTAGTTCCATTTTGACATATTTCCGATTCAGATGTTTGATCTCCATTATTCTCAGATATTGATATGCTCACATTAGGCGGATCCGTTAATTCAAAGGCATATATAGATCTATTAGTGTCGTTAATACACTTCAACAACATATTATCATCCTGAAAAAGAAGAAAATCATTTATTTTTTCCAGAATTTTTAAATATTACGTAAACATAGCAATTTAATATTTAATTACAAGTGTTTAATGGAATGTAGCTTCAAAAATAGACTTTATATTTTCGAAATTGTTCTTCCATTGTTTTCTATTGGAAGGCAGTATCGACGACAACCCATACTTGACAGTATGTCACCTTCTCAACCCTCCTTTATTTATATTATTTTATTCTTTTTATTTTTTAATAAATTATATATGATAAGAAAACAATTTCATTTATCAAATGTTTCTTACAACCTTATTAAGGTTAATAAATAAATATTTAAAGACAAAAATAATTTTAATCTTGTCTAAATGGTGTATATTTATAAAAATCAATGAATGTTATTTATAAAAACTTACCAAGATTTTTGATATGTGATTCTCTAAAACTTCAGCAAATACAATATTGTTGGTGATAATATCTTCTTTACCAAGAGTTTTTAAAAGTTCTTCTTTGAGTTTACCAATTCGAGATTGTTTATTAAATGATAAAACACACCTCACCGAAGGACCATTATTAATAGGTATAAAAGTAATATTTAGTTGTCGCTCCATTGCATGTGGTAAAGGAACTGAGAGATACATAAAAGGCTCATAAGTTACTGAGACGTGTTTGCAAACCGCACATACGACCTACAATAAATGAATATTGATTTAATATACAGGCAATAATATTACTGATAATAATAATAATCTAATAATACTGAAAAACAATTACTATTATTATTTAATGAATATTACAGAGTGATAATAAATTGCATGTCTAGTGTTGTGAGCCCTATAACCTGTTTCTTTATAGGAAAGGAAGGACATTCACTATTTTTTAATATTGGAGAATTTTTACAGGTATCATTTTATTAAATGCAAATGACACTCCGACGTTATCTCCGGATAATTTTTATAATTTTGAATACATAATAAATAAAAAAATTTTCTAGGAATGTAGAAAGTGAATGGTATTACTTTTAATTATTGTAATAAATAAATGAATAAATTAAAATCAATATTTACCGTGCTTTTAAATTGACCTTGAAAAGTATCTACAATGACACTTCGATTAGATCGTAAATGCTTTGCCCAATATTTATCTGCTTCTATTTCATCATGTTCTGCTAAAGCACCATTTCCACAGTTTTGTAAAGTTTTTAAACATTGAATATCACTAGAATCAAATCCATTATGCCTATGATTCTTTTCATGATCTTCTAATTTCATTCTTTTAACATTGCACTTATCTAAACCACTTCCACATTCTGTGTCAAGATCGATAGATAAACAATTGACACTACTATTACTTTTTTGCACATTAACTTCTTTTATTCTTTTTATACTCAGACTTTTATTATCAAAATCATGATTTTCAGTTAAATTGGAATTATCTAAAGCAGTTCTACGCAAATTTTCTTTTGGAAATTTTTGAGAATCATAACAAATTTCGTTATTACATTCTTGTTGAGTAACTAGAAAATTTGCATTACTTGTTTTTGCATCTTTGAGAAGAATGTCGTCCAATCCAAGTCTTATTGGCTCTGGTGCAAATTTAATGGGTAATTCATTGTCATCTGAATTTTCATGCATTTTATTAAAAATAAAAGTGGATTTGGTATCAATTATTTCATTTGAATCTAACGTTTCTTCATCTTCATTAAACATTGATCTATTTACTTCAGAAATCATTTCTTCCCAAAATTCAAACTCTATCAAAACAATATTATCTGTATTATTAATCATCAAAATACTAAGATATATGTATGGTAAATGTTAATACCTTTAGGTGATCCTGGCATTGTAACATTCGGACTTTTTTGACAATCGGATGACGGTGAGTTATCGTATGTATCCATAGAATCATCATTGGTATTTGAGGCAGTGACAACAGTACTTATAGAAGACATGTTATTTTCAATTTTCCTATTGGAATTAACTGAATTGGCAGTGGTTATAGTTTCTGACACTTGACAATTTTTAGACGACTTAGCGGAGTTCATTTGTTCATGTAGCGAGTCAAGAAGCAATGCAAGAAATTCTTGACAATCATGCTAGAACAGTGAATGTTAAAAATTTTTTTGCAATTTTTTGTCTTCTCGTTTTATTTACCTGTCGATAATCCTTGAATTGCGAGTGATGAGCACCTAATGTTTGTTTAAATTCAATAGGTTTTACCACACTATACCTGCCAGACCACATTTTACTGAGAAGTGAACTAAAATTTGCCATAAGTGATCCAAAAGGTATTAATTTGTCATCATTTTGTTGCATTGATAAAAAATATTCCATCACTGGAGGAGTGGCTGTTAAGCATTGCAAGCCAGCAGCCATAAAACAAGTATTTCCAAGGTTTTTGAGTCCACATACACCAGCTAAAGTTGCCGTTTCTTTAAAAATATTGAAAAATTATAAACTTAACACAATAACATAAATCATAGCATCAAAGAATCATTATTATTATTATTATAAATAGGTTTATATATTCCTAATACTTACCTACACCAGACTCTTCTTGAATGTCTGAAGAATCAGTGAAAAGATTATTAAACGTTTGGGGAGGTAAAAAAGGCCCATGTTCTGGACCTTCATCTAGTGGAATACTTCCAACTGGATCAGCACCAACATCAGAAAAATCATCTAAAGACAATGGAGGAGGAAGAGGAATCGCTCCTGTTTGAGGATTTGCTTCGTTCCTATACAAAATGCAATTAGTCAATACCGAATTAAAGCAAGCTATAAAATCTTAGTTATTGATACTAACCATCTATTTGCAATGCCCATATTTACATCCGTTGAAGGTACATTATCTTCTTGAATTATAAGATTGTGATCTAGAGATGAAGTAAGTGGACTAAGACTGGTAGATTCAGAAACTTCTAAATCAGGAATGTCATTAAGATCAGCAATACTTGAAGATTCAACCATTGATATACCTCCTTGCACTTCAACACCCCCAATCTGATTATCCATTAGGTCTTTTTTTGGTGAAAAATGATTATAAATTAAATTGAAGGAAAACACATGAGTAGTTTCAATAATTCATTTAAATAATTCAATCAATTGCTTGAAATTCAAATAAATAAAACTTTAGTCATATGTAATATTTCATAGCAAGTATTATTCTTTTAGTCATTGATTTTAATATTCAATTCGAAGAATGATTATATTTGTAATACAGTTAACCTAACACGTGGTAGAAAAAAATTATTTTTAATAAAATATTTTATGATTTTTAAAACGAAATTCACTTGTTAATCAATATTTTGAAACAATGATATGATATATAGTTAATTATTAACTGAATTGAAACTTGAAATGAAGTTTACGAATCAAGGAGAATGAAGAAAATGTTATTTGGAAAATATAAAATCTTAAGGCGCCAGGTCCTCTCTCTATACACAGCCAAAGGACAGAAAAAATATCATCATAAGCCGTTTAAAATGAATGCTATTTAATGTAGAAATCAGATACGCACAAATAACGAATCAAGTTAAAAAATTATTGATTTATGAAAATTCAAATTTTTACATAATAAATATAAATTTACCTTTTTTGATGAATAAATGTTACGATCTCTCGTTATCATGTATCTAAACCGCCATTGCGAAAAACGGCATGGCCGGTGGGTGTGCAGAAAAACTATTAGAAAAGCCACCTACCGCCTGTGATTTCATCAGAAATGTCAAGTGCTGCCCCCTAGGTATTATTTAAGTGAAACATTTCAAAAAATTGGCTTTCAGAAAAAACAACACAACAATATTTATCTTATTGTTAATAATCTAAATTAATAATCTAATTAGATTTAATTATTTAATTATGGCATTTTCCGAATGTGGAAAAGATGAAATATTGAAATTTGACCAAATTATAACCAAACTCAAGCAATTAGTCGAATTATCACGAAAGCTTAAAGGTATAAATATTTAATTTACTATTGAATACTAAATTTATTTTTTATAAAAAAATTGACTTTTTTTAAAATAATTCTACAGAGGAGGTAGGAGAAATGGAAATAAAAATTGTAACATTTTACAGTGTGACTAATGGAGAACAAATTCAACGAATCAAGGAGTAAAACAAAATAACAATTGTTACTTTATAAACATGATCAGTTTCAAATAATTAAAATAATTATGAAGTAATTGAAACGTATGTGTTCTTATTTTTGTTATTTTAATATTAACATCGTTATTTAATTATTTAGTACTGTGCAAAATATTATTTTGAAAATAATGTTATTATTTAATAACCTCAATTACCAATTCTAGTAATTTTAAAATAAAGATTCTTCACTACGATGATATTTATCGTCTAAACACTCATACAATATGCATACCAGCAATTAAAGAAATACTTACAAATATGTTTTTATTACCTGGATAAATATATTGCACAATAATTCATTTTTTACTTCTAATACGCATAAAGTTTTTGGTTAACAATTGCAGCATGTGGAGTATTTTATTTCATAACTTTTTGAATTCGTGACTGGAAAAGTTGGCATCACGTTTGAGTACAGTTGTATATATATATACATTTACATACATATATATATATATATATATATATATATATATATATATATAGTATGCTGTTCTTACTATATATTTTTTTTCCTTTAATTGGGAAATCAACCTCAAGGGTCTCTACCTATGCTTATTGTTTTCGAATCTGGATCAAATTTTCTATGTACGTTTCTATTTTCTGATAAAGTGAAGTCTTCTTTTCCTTCACAACAGGAGTAATAATGCACTAGAGTAATGGCTTCTGTAATGTATGGGAGTGTTAAAGGAATTATAAACCATGGTATCTTTGATATACAATTACTTCAATTCATAGTAATATTGTTTGGACTATTCAACTATTCATTATGCCTTTATGAAGATCAAGTCGGCAAGTTTGACTGGTAAATTAACTTTTTAATTCAAAAATAATCGTACAAGTTTTGAATACATTGCTCATAAATTATTAAATTATGAATTATACATCTACAGGCGTCATAATTACGTAGGAAGAATTAAATTTGCTAGTTTTGATACAGTGTCTACTACCAAAAAAATAATTGTTGTTACTGAAGAGAATGTATTTTCAGCACTTCATTTAAAATCCGGTATGTACCCCATAAACTGTTCATCATTATTATGATTTATTGAAATCATTTCTCATTAAATAATACATATTAGGTCAACTGTTATGGAGAAGAGTATTTGAAAAAGAAGGAAAAATTCATGCTTTAAGTGATGTATCAGATGGTGGTGATTTAATAACTGTAAGTGGGAGTGTTCCTGTCTTAGTTAGAATTTGGGATCCTGCTACTGGTCATATTTTAAATGAATGGCCATTAGCTGAGCAAAATCCTGAGAGGTAAGTTATAATAATATCTCAATAGTTTTGATAAGTTATATATTACATATAATATAATTTATAAACACATAAACTGAGGATATTTTTTAATTGAAATCATTATTGGATTTGTCTATAAATTTATTTACAGACTAGATACTCCATTTATATCATTTTCAACAGATGGATTATATTCTACTGAAAGGTTGTTTCAGTATAATAACAATATAATGCACTTTATCAGCATTAATAAATGTTATACACATATACACACACTAGTTAATTCGTGTTATTTCCTATTTTTATAAATTACCCCATTTGAATAACAACCACAGAATTATATATATTTAAATTAATTTTTTTATTTTGGCACAGATTAAAGGATGTAAAATGGCATCTAAAGGACGGAATATTGTATCACATTTTACCACTTTATAGTAGTGGTGTACAAATCATTTCATATGATAGTAAAACTGGAGAAAAACTGAAAAATCAAAGTGTTTCTGCTCCATTTTTGACACCAGAGACTGAGTAAGTTTCTTACTTCAATACTTCAACTTATAATTGTTAATTATTTTATTTAAGACAAATAATGATTTTTCAGATGCGTTTTCACTTCACCATCTTATTTGACTTGTCTCAAGGGTGATCAATCATTAGCAATATTATTTATAGTTGATTTATTCAATGAAGAAGCCAGACCTCAATCTATTACTAGCAATAATATATTTGGAGCTGGTGCTCAGGGTCCTTTTCATATAGAAGTAATACCTGGTAAAAAAGAAGCCATTTCAATAACTTCTAAAGGTGATAACAGGAAACGAATTATCATTCCTAGCAATGAATCAAATATTTTACCCCGTGATATCGATGGTAATACAAAATTATATCTAACGACAATTGATAATAAGCTAGTATTATTTGAAATAACATATGAAAACAAGGTATGTAATTTTTTTTTCTTTTATTTAATGAATAGTGATGAAAAAAACAAGGTATTAATGAAGTTGTCTACATTTAGGTGACAGAATTAAAGGCTTTTGAACTTTCAACATCATCTTTACCACCATTACAAGAGTATTCATCAAAAATCACTCATGACGGGCTTTTTTATCCAACTATAATGGCATCAACATGTTATTCATCACAACGTTCAAATAATCAAGGAGTTATTTGTCAATATTTATTATCTTCAGAAGATCACAGCTTTGCATTGTTACACAATAATAAGTTAATCTGGTCGAGAGAAGAAGCACTTGCGAATATAATTACCGTAGAGATGGTAGAATTACCCATGTCTGATAGAGATCAAACAATTGAAACGGAATTCGATACAAAAGACAGTAAGTTTTATCATTTCTTGTATAAACATAACATTTTTTTAATACAATAAATATATTTCTTACTGAAATATTTTACAAATAGACCAATGAATTTGGCAACAGAAACGCATGAACACAAATTATTTGTCAATTAATTTATGTAAAAATAATATACTTATACATTGAGCTTTTCTCGTGAATTTTTATAAATGTCTATAAGTTTAACTGCGTTAGGATTATTTTACATCAATATTTAATTTTAATTTATCATTCTATAAATGTTTCTTATATTTCGCATAATCAATAGAAAATTATTAAATAGCAAGAAGAGCTCAATAGGTTACTCTTTAGACTGTTTTGGTTACAAAAAATTATTCAGACTCGTTAATCGTGTTTAATTAAAAATAATTATTTCATTCGTGGTACAATTATTAATAAAATTTCTTTTGTAAATGGCTGCTGGCAGGTATAGTCAATATAGACAGTTCATGTAAGTAGTAGTTTGCAAGATGGGCAAGAGTTTGATGACCGTGTGATCGCATGATTTTTTTTTTTAATTTTTCTCCTTATAAATACAATCTGCATGGTATTATTTATCTTTAATAATATTAATACAAAATGATGCCAAGAATGACTAAAACCTATTTTTTAATATTTTTTAGAATAAATATATGAATAAATTATCATTGAATTATTTATTTTGTAAGTTTATTTTAAATGAGAGATTAATCCAATTATTTAGATTAATGCTATATTCAACAATATAAAGGATAGTAATTATTGTATATTTGTTTTAATTGTTTATATTTTCTCAGGGAATATCTTAGGAATGATAATGAGAAGGCTTACAGCTCAATTCAATCAAATAAAATCATTTGTTCAATCAGCATTTGATATGAATAATCAACAATCTAATCAAAGAGTAGATCTTGTAAGAGATAAATTTGGACTCTACAAAATGATTGTTGCTGTTACATCTGCTGGAAAGGTAATTTTAATTTATATTTAATTACTTTAGCACTTGAAAAATTATATCCTTTTATTATCACAGATTTTCGGTATTGAATCGAAGAAAGGCGAAATCATTTGGCAATCAAGAATAATTGACAACAATAGTTTAACAATTAATCCACCAAAAAGTATACTTCTCTATATTCAAAGAGGAAGTCGACATTTTCCTCATTCTCCGCAGTGTCTATTACTTGCAACAGATAAGGTAATAATTCAAACATTTACTATCATTATTATTATTCTATCAAATTGTTGAATACATAAGAATTAAACTTCTCTTTTGTAGACAACTGGAGAAGGAATGATTTATACATTCAATCCAATAACTGGTCAACCACTCTTGGATGGTTTAGTTAAATTAGGATATAAATTAAAACAATCAATGCTTTTACAAACAACTACCGATGATTTTCTTCGTCCCGTTTTACTCCTTGATTCGAAGGATAAAATCCATGTGTATCCTGAAAATGCAACTACAGTAGTGGTAACTGATTCATCGTCTATAACAAGCAAGAATACGTATTTATTTACTGGGGATAAAGAGACTGGAGTCTTATCTGGCTATTCTCTTGGTTATAGTACTAAAGAGGTATTTTTTCAAATTATCATTATTAAATAAACGTCTGAGTTTAATAAGCACATATTAAATTTTCAGGAATTAATAGTAAACAAAGTATGGGAGTTTACTTTATCTCCAAAAAACCAAAAAATCACTCACATTGTGTCAAAAAATCCTCTAGAACATGTTCATTCTCAGGGCAGAGTTCTTGGCGATCGATCTGTACTTTATAAATATATTAATCCTAATTTAGTAGCTATTATTTCTCAGGGTGTAGGCAATATACATAAAAGTAAGCTTACCAATTTTTTTTTTCTTTTTATAAATGATTTATTTATTGATGATGTATATACTTTTGGGATTAATTGTCTTTAATAAAAATTTTTTATTACAGACACTTTAAATTTGTACCTCTTAGATGTAGTGTCAGGAGGAATAGTATATTCTATTGTACACAAAAGAGTACGAGGGCCATTCCATATAGTACATTCAGAAAATTGGGTAGTATACAGTTATTTTAATGATAAAAGTCGTAGAACTGAAATAGCTACTTTAGAACTTTATGAAGGTAAAGTTCAAAGTAATACGACAGTATTTTCATCCCTAACGACTACACAATTACCTTTAGTAGAAAGGCAAGCATTTATTTTTCCTGCATCTATAGAAGCAATACAAGAAACTATTACTGAAAAAGGAATAACAAGTAAACACATATTAGGTTTGTAAAAAAATTTTTTACATTTATATTTACTAGTAATATAATGATAATATTTCTAATAAAAACTATTTTATACAGTGTCTCTTGCTAACGGTGGTATTCTGGAATTACCTTGGATGTTACTTGATCCAAGAAGGCCTATAAATCCAGAGTTAAGAGAAGAAGGAGTAATTCCTTACACTCCTGAAATTCCTATACAAATGGATGCAATTATCAATTATAACCAAAGTGTATTTAGAGTATCAGGCATTTACACTAGTCCCAGTGGTCTGGAAAGTACATGTTTAGTTTTTGTTCATGGTCTTGGTGAGTAAATAAATATTACAAAGTAAGAATAAAAATTTCTTTTTAATTGTAAAGATTTTTTAAAATAAAAATTTTTGTTATACAGATATATTCTATACTCGAGTGGCACCGTCTAAAACATTCGATGTATTAAAAGAAGATTTTGACTATTACCTCATTGTCATTGTTCTCACAGCGCTAATGATTGCTTCTTATATTACCAAAAAATTGGCATCACAAAAAGCACAGAAACAAGCATGGAAATAATAGAACATAATTGTATTTGTCATTATACATAGAATCTTCTTTATAATAATTTTAATACTTAATTAAAAATATCAATAAATTATTTATATAAATTTAATTATGTAAATAATTATGTCATGTGTAAAACGTAATATACTATTAAAGTTTTTTTTTGGAATGAATTAATAGTTCCACAAAAAAGGTTTTTCCTGATGCAACAAAAACTATTGATTAGAACTAGCGTCTGCGCATGCAACTAAACAATCATATGTTATAGTCGTTATCATAGGCATGTATGACTTCCAGTATACACGTCATATGCGTTAAAAAAAATTGAGTTATTCCAGTGGACAGTTTGTAATTCAATTATTTTATAGTGTACACTGTTATTATAATTTTAATTATCAATTATTTGGAGCAATTGATTTTTTGCAATACATCTGATCAATTAACTCTTTATTATTGAAAAAAAAAATGCTCAATATTTGTCTGAAATATTCGTTGATACTATTTTGATTTATTAATTAAATACTAATTTTCTTTCGGTTCAAAAGGAAACAATGAATGTTGCAACTATGCTACCATCATCATCGCCAAATAAAAGTGGATCATTGATAGGTCGTACAAAAGGAGCTGTATTTAAGTCAGTACGGTCGGCTTTGGGAGAAAGTGGCGAGTATCTACAAGAATTGAGCAATAAAATTGGTTCAGTATTTACGAGTAGCTTTGAAGATAATAAAGAAACAATTAATAGTAATTTATCGTCATCATCATCTTTGGGTCATCCACTAATGCGACCACCAACACCACCACCCTTACCCTCTTCTCCTTACCATAATGACAACAAAAATGTACATTATGATCAGACAACTGCTATTAAACGGAAACATTTGCTTCCTAGGTAATGTTTAAAATATTTCGAACATAATAACACATTTTGATGATTTAATTATTTTTTTATACATAAATAGATGTAATAATGCTGTAGATAGCTCATTTGAAGATTATGAATCAATGACCAGGCACAAATTAGAAAAAGACAATTATGCAAATGCTTCACGGTCCCGAAAAAAATATCCACCTGGAATGAGCTACGAAGAAATAAGTTCTTCACGGAGTTTAATTGAAAGTGAGAAGAAAGAAATTCAGATAAATGAAGAAATTGTTAATAGTCCGGATAGAGATAGCATTGAAAGTATTGAACCTCTACAAGAAAAGGATATTCGAGCAACTGGACCAGATCCTTATGAAAAGTTGAATTATAAAATAGGTAATATAAATAATTTTAACCGAATAATTATTGAATTTGATTAAGAAATATAAATTGTACTTTTCTTTATTGTTATTTATTATTGTGCTGGTTGAAAAAAAATTTCAATAATATTTTTATTTTTTATTTTTCATAAAGCAAGAGCTCCAGATCGCTATGAGACTGTTATTTTTCGTATAGGTAAATGCAATAATAGTGTAAAAGAGCTTTATTTATTATTTAACAAAAAAAAATGAAATTAATTAAAAAATTTACGAATTTAAAAATCTAAATATATTATTATTAAATTAATCTAATATTTATTTTTATTATATTAATTTATGTATATATTTAATATAAATAGTATAATGATATTTTAAAATAACAAATTATAGTGATTGTTATCTCTTTAATCAAATGTAAGTAATTAAATCATTTCAAACACTTAGAATACAAATCTGTGTTCAAACAATGTGCATTTATGTAGTGTTGATATATTATGGATTATAGTATCATACATTTTTCCAGATATCCCTTGTAGTAGTGATTCAACAAGTGATCAAGATGGATATGGACCAAGCACCAGTTTAGATTCTAACATGGATGGTCGTAGAATAGGATGGGAAAGATCAGGTATAGATATAAATCAAAAGTAATCTTTTATAAAGAAAATTATATTTTAGGATCTTCTGGTTCTGTACAATCTTGGGCTTCTAGTTTGTCTGCAGACAGTCAATCGGAAGAAGCAGCAGCGGATTTTATGAAATCTTTTGTTCCACTACTTTTTGATTCACCTAATTCTATAAATCAGGAACAAAAAGCTCATTTTGGTCAAATGGTTTTAGTAAGTAATACATTTTTAATCATTTTAATATAAGCACAATTTATTCTATTTTTTAATTATAAAATAAACTATTACGTAGACTGAATCAGGAAGGATATGGTTTGCAAGAGTTGTAAATGCTAGACGAGCAAGACCGTGTGTTTCTGAAGCATCTTTTTATTCATTAGCACAACATTTTGCAGTCGCCTTATTTGAGTGCCATGAAGCAGATGATTTCGCGCCTGCTAAGAGTCTGATGAATATGTGTTTTACATTTTATCATGAAGGTAAATATGATGTTAAAATTTATTAGCTAAGTTTATATTATAAATTAAATAATAATAATGAAGAATAATGTGTTTTTCAAGTAAATGTTCCTGGATTAGAACCTTACAAAGAATATTTATACATTCATTTACGAGTCCAACCAATATGGAAATCAATGCGATTTTGGACAGCTGCATTTTTTGATGCAGTTCAGTATGAACGAGCTACTAGACCAGTTTCTTCTTATTCTTCCAATTCCCATTCCAATAAATCCAAGTCTGTAGATCATGAAGCACATGCTGTAGAAGATAAAAAATTTCTAGCAAACATCGTCTTCGGACAATTAGGGTACATAATAAACTTATCTATTTATCTGTATATAAATAGATGCTTCTAATATAATTAAAACTTTTTCTATCAATTATATAGATCTTTCACATGTAATATGCATGCATTTGGATTATCAAGGAATCTGTGCCTAGAATTTTTAAGGAAACAATGTATGATAGCCAACTTAACACAAGGTATATAATTTGATTTTTGTACTTAGATTTGAAGCAATTGATATTCTTCGATTAATATTTTTAATTATCTATTTTACAGAACAAGAAAAAACACTACGAGATAATATTATGCGAATGTTTGACGAATCGGAGCCATGGAGATGATAATAAGATGAACTTGTGAATGTGGTGCCTTAATAAATTACAATGTAATTATGGTTTAATGAGTCGCCATTTCGATACAATTGTCAATTATAACAAGAAGATAATTAATAAAATATAATTAATATGGAATAGATAATCATGACAATTACATTTATGAGCTTTTTGCTGATTCTTTAAATTCTTGGGAATGATTAAATTTTTAAATTGAAGAAAACACGAAAAATTAAACCATATTAAATAAATTTTTATGAATTGCGACAATTGAGGTTGAATGATAAAATCAATGGGTTATACAGAATTCTCTTTATTTAATAATCCATGAAAATTCAGCCACAACCAGTGGGCCTACATTTTTATCAAACACGATGTTTATGAATATCACAATATTCTCATTATCTTATTTGTTATTTTATCAAATTTATTTGCCAATCTATCTACTTGAAGTTATGGAAAGACGGTATTTGACAATAATATAATATAAAATATTTGAATAGAATTATGTTATTATAGTGAAACCATTAATTGAATTATTCTTATTATTATAAAAAAGTAATAACTATCGAAAAATGCCTAAATATTTGACAAGACAGTTGTTATTATCAATTATTTATCTCGGTTTATTTGTTATTTATACATTTATGTAACAAACATACTGAAAAATGTTTATTTCATTGATCATAATTAATAAAATCATAAAAAATTAATTTTGTTGTGATTACCTTTTTTTAATATTACTCATTTTTAATTTATTTGTGATAATAAAACTTAAAGAGGGTGAAGTTGAATGAATATTTAAAATATTTAATTTATTGAATTGTTGACAACACATTTGTAAACATTTATTATTAGAAACTAACTTTTCTCAAAATATTAATGTGATCTCGAATGTTTAATATTCATTCTATATTGAAAATTTAAAATAAAAAAATTCATTTTGATGTCTAATTTTCGATTAAATATCAATAGTTGTCAGAGTATTTTTTCAAAATTTTTTTCTTAATAATTGAAAAAATTACAATTGAAAAATTGCATGGTACATACATTGATATCCACAAATGCACTTTATTTGTTTGCTATTTTACTTATTTTTTTAATTAATTTTTTTTTTTTTTTTTGATGTTTATAGTAAATTCCATTACATTATCTACAATTACCTTATTTATTTCAGAAAATAATATATATATAAATATGTATATATACATACCTACATATATATATAAATATTTATATGCATAATTGTATGATTTTCTTTTTTTAATTAAAAATTTTCTAAACTCTGTATTTTATTATTTTTTTTTTTTGCTTTCGTTTCATTTTATATAATTATAAATCGTTCATCTACATGAAAATTTTTACAGATTAGTTTTTCATTTCCATTCGTTGACTTGTCAATTACTATATTATCATGCTAAAAGTCAATATTTCTTTTTATGTAAATAATTTTATCTATCATTATTATTATTTTTTTTTTTTTTTAATTGCCATAAGAATGTTTTTAATGGCTTAATAGAATAAAATAATCTAAATAGTTGCTTATACGTACCAAATAGTTACGTATTTTGAATTCGATTCTCTCAATGTCACTCTCTTTTTTTTTCACACATACTGCAATTCTATTTATCGCAAATGTTATTTTTTTTTTTTTGTTAAATGTTCACTATTTTTAATCACTCTATAATTGTGATATCAAAGTGTGAACGCTAAGCGTTTTTTTCTCACTTTTTCTTTAAATAACAACCATTTTTTGTCGATTTTTATTTCTTTTTACTAAAAATATCACAAACAAGTGGTGATTAATATAAATTTTAGTTTTACATTAAAATTAAAATCACATAATTAATAATATACATTATCTTGATAGTCTTTATCTTATAATGATGACGGACACGACACTGTATACAAATGTCAGTCTTATTTTACTAATAATAAATGGTAAATTTACTAATTTTAATGTAAATCTAAATTTATCATCTTAAAAAACTATAACATTAAAGATTATATATCGATAAGTTACATCACCACAGAATTCAATATTCTATATATTTATAACTACTAATAATCATGATCTTATATAGATCTCACTGTATAATTTTCGTTATTACTATTTTTAATTGGATCTATTACTAGATAATTCTTATTCATTATGCTGTGCTATTAAGGAAATGTCTTTTTTAATCAAAATTTATATTGAAAATTCAATTATTTTACTATGTTACTAATGTGAACCTTATTTTTATATTTCAAATTATTTATTATTTGATTCGTTTTTTTTCAAAATTTTTTTTTTTCATTTTTATCAGGAACTTTAGTCGACAGATAATTTAATTTCCCAGCAAATTTATCAATAAAAAACATTTTATAATCTAACAGAAATTTTAAATAATTCATCTAATGTGTATTACATTTGTGTATTACTGGTATATGGCATATAATGTTATTATTATTCTATTTTATCATTGGTTATGATGGATAAGAAAAAAATGATTTGACAGTTATTTAATAACAAAATTAAAAAAAATATTGATATCAGAAAAGTGTCAATTTGAAAATTAAATTAATTATTTTGATAATTCATTAAATAAATTAATTTTGCTTTCTATCTAGACACAAAGCTAATAATAAAAATATTTATTTATAACAATTTTTATTTAAGCATAATTCTCATTTTTATCATGTTTTTATTTTATTATGACTTTATTGAGTCTATCGATTATTTTATTCATATTATACTTATACTTGATAATTATTAAAATAAAAATAATGTTACTCAACTATGTTGGAGTCAATTTTCTCATATAAAAAATTAAATATCACTTCAAATAATACATCGAAATGCTTGATTTAAATTAAATTGTAACAGACATTACAAAACATTAAAATTTAATTGTTATTCGAATGAATTAAAAGTTTATAATTAATTGAAATCAGTTAAATTTTTACCATATGTTAAATATTAGGAGAAAAATTTTAGTTAAATTTTTATAATTCTAATTTTGTTAATTGCCTTGAACAGACATTCTGTGGCTGTATTAAATATCGTTGGCTAAAGTTACAAAATTTCATTAACAATGATGTATATATATCAAATACACTGTTTATTTTTAATGATTGTTTATGGTTAATATTTTCAAATAATATATTACTTGAGAAAATTTCATCCAAAATTTTAGAAGGAAAATTCTCGAAATAGATCAATTTATCATTTTCACTTTCATAAATAACATTAAGTCATGAAAAACTTTAATATTACGAGGAAATAATGATGAAATTAATCTTAATATTTAATTTTCATGATTAAAATGAGATGGATTTCATTTTTAACTACACAGCTAGATACATTGTTATTTTAATATACATTATTATTATTATTAATTACACTTATTTGTTTGTTCAATAGTGCACTGTATGTGACGAAAAAATGTATTTGTTTCCCAAAAAAAAAAAAAAAAGAGACTTAAAAAAGAAATGTAAAATTAAATAATGTTAATATAAAAACAGTCCTAAAAAATTCATATAAATAAATTAATATCATATGTAATAATTTACTTGATCATAAAATTATCGTTCTTTTCATTCATTTATTAAATTTGTATTGTAGTATTTAAAATTATTTACATGAGTAATTAAGCCTCAATTAAATTTGTCTATAAATGTTTTTCCTTATCTTTTCATTTTTGTATTGACTTAAAAATAAATAATTACACAATTTTATCCATGTAATGGCGATCGGTTAATTATAATTTATAGAACAATGTATTATCTACACTTTATCATTATTATAATTAATTCTTTACTTCATCAGAGAGTCAAATTAATTAATCAGAGACCAAATTAATAATGGCTTAAATCAATCCTAATAAACTGATATATAATATATTGAATAATGATTGATTTTATTTTTACGGATTCGAATAAATAAAAAAATGAATGCAATGGTTGAGAGGAACGCGAGACACCCCGACTAACCACAATGACTAGTGTATAAATAACTTCTTGATTGTTATTATGTTATAATAAATTACTTCATCATCCCATATATTTGCTAGGAAGACATTCCAGCTCTTCTTGGACGGTTAAAAACTTGTTGAAATTAACAGCTAAATTTATTTTCATAGCTGAAAAATTTTTCTCAACTTTGAATCATTATTAATTATTCAAATCCTTATATAATTCGATGTTGTAAACTACCTTTTTTTTTTTTTAATTTTCTCTTCAAAATTGAATAAACAGCAATACTATTCAGTGTTACATTGTTTTCTTAAAAATAATATACACTATTATTAAATAATTGAATTTTTTCTCATACCACCGCACAAAGTTGAAGTTTGCTCCCTGTTTTCAGGTTCGAAAGTGACGTTTTCTATCCCGCATAAGAAGACAAAATTTTCGTCTTACTCTGTGAGAGAGAAAACGTTACTTTTCCAACTTCAAAGTAGACAAACTTTTATTTTGGACAGTAGTATGATAAAAAATAGTATGTTGACCATGGGAACCAAGTAAGATATCCTTACCTGGGTGTTTGCTACTTGATGTAATTTTACACCTAGGACAGAATATCATACTTTGCTCCCTTGGTTAACAATGTACTAATTAATCCAACTAAAAAAGAAAGATGAAAAATAGTTTGAACATAAAATAAAAAAATACGTACACGGAGATAATTATCCTATTTGATTGAAAATATTTATACCGTCAAATCATTTTGAGATCACAATAAATTTAATTTGTAGCCATAGGATAATATTTACAACGATTAAGAGTAGAATTTCTACTTGATTGAGAAGAAATTACATTGGGATATCGTTGCAGTATGTATATTGTAACTTATCGTAGAATAAATGTTTCTCGATAACAGTCTCCATGTAAAAAATTATCATTACTTTAAACGTTATATTTTTCACAATTCATTGTAGATTTATAGTTGAAAATTTACTTTGTATTAAAATATTATCATTTTTTCTGTTACTGGTGTATTGTATTGTTGTCGTTGGTTAATCACATCACTCTCAACGTTGTTCTTGATTTAGTAATTTTGTTTTACAACGTCCATTAATGACACGCACATATATGTATAGTTATATATAAACGATATTGATTAATTAAAGTTCACATATTATTTTTAACGAGTATAAAAATTGTCATAATTTTAAATCTCTTCATAATTAATATCTTATTGACATAAATATTCTATGATCATTCATAATTCCATTAATGGCTCTATGGCCCTAGCTAGTCTACTTATGTAATACATACAGTATAATTTATTTTACTACTAGCACTTATATACACGCAAGATACCTATTATTAATAATCTATATTTATAAGTGTCTCTGTGTATATAAATAATATATATTCATGTTTATATAATTATATTTTTATAGAACTATTAATGGTTTTATAATGTTTTCCGTGACGAAAAATTTTGCAACATTCTTTTCACAATTTAATTTTTAATTATTTATTTATTATTAAAATATTTAATTAATGAAATTTCGCAATTTAAAATCATTTTTTGGAAGCATAATTGATTTTAATTCAAAACAATTAAATTTAATTATTCTTTTGTACGTTGCAAATATTTTTAATTATATAAATAATATATAAAAATAATTTAATACAAATATGAAGATGAGTATATTTTCATTTGAATATAAAATAAATAGTAGTATTCAATATTAATAATAACTATTTGGATTTTTTATAAGGCATTAAATAATAATTAATCTCTATTGTTGTCATATGTTTGAAAAATGTTATTGCAATAATCAATTTTAGTTTCACAACTTTTTTTTATTTGTTTGAACATTAATGGCTAAATAATAAATCATAAGCTACACATAATAGAAAGTATGACTAATTGACAGTTGATGTCTGTTTAATAATAATAATAATGATAATGTATTTTGTCATGATTGTTGTTTAATTATGATTAAAAAATTTTAAATATCATTTTACACTTCGTTACTTAATGTATTATTAAGAAACAAAATCGAAGATTAAAAATTTTTAAATTTATGAAAATAGAATACATATTTACAACGTACAAGAAATAATTTAATAGTTTAAAAAGAATTTTGTAAACTTAAATTCATTAATAAAAACCATATATGAATTATTTTTCATTATGTAAAAACAATAACAATAGAACAGCACCAGAATTATAATTAATTAAGCCTTTAATACATGTAATTTCTCTTAATGACACTCTTGATTATTTATTATTCGCAATTATATTTAGTGTCATAATTTCAGTACGATTTCAAATATGTTGAAAGAATGTTATATTTTTATATAAGGTATGACAACTCTTTCCTATCTAGATCTTTGTTATTTATTCCAAATTATCAGCTACTAAGAGTTTGAGGAAGCGCTGATAGCCATCAAAGGTGCCGGGGGTAATGCCACCGGTATGTGATAATATTTACATTGAGGCCGCGTACAGACGCCTTTTACTGCGTCTCTACACACAGTAACACGGTTTTCTACCACCTCCACGTTTCCTGTAACACAATTAAACATACATCAATTGCTAATAATTTTAAAACACTCTAAGATTATTTATCTTACTCATCTTCTTCTTGTCTTTGATAGAATAATTACATATATTTTTTACAGTTAAGAAATAGACAAATACTTTTAATATTAAATATTAATAATAGATTGTCACCCTAGGGAGAAAAGTATGACATTCTGACCCGGGTGTGAAATTACCTGGGTGGCAAACACTTAGGTAAGAATATCTCACTCTGTTCACTGCAAATTCGAGCAAATTAAAGTGTTTAGTAATAAAGCACCTAATTTTGGTAAACGGCAAAGAAGCCTTTAAAATTTGTCTTCAAAATTACTATAACTTGTTTATGGCATTTAACATTTCAAGTGTTTAGTTTCTAAACACTTGGATTTGCAGTGTTCCCATGGTCAACATACTATTCTTTATCATATCACTGTCCAAAATTGAAGTTTGTCTATTTTAAGGTTAGAAAAGTGACATTTTCTCTCCCATAAAGGAATGTTGTTTTCTTATGCGGGATGGAATACGTTACTTTCAAACCTGAAAACAGGGAGCAAACTTCAACTTTACGCAGTAGTATGGAAAAAAGATTATATGTACACTTAAATAATTGAGATATTTTTTGTAATAATTAATTATGTAAAGAAAATTAATAATACCGTCATAGAGATGGATAAATTTGCAGGCAGGACGGTTGCATAGATGTCGATTAAAATCTTGGCACACCGGGAGGGTGTCCAGTAACTGAAAGAAAACATTCCGGTATCTGTACACGTATTGACTTGATAGAAAATCAGTAGAATTAGTCATTAAAAAGAAAAAAAAACTTATCGATATTTCTCAGCCATACTTGCATCAAATCACTCACATTCATTCTGAATATTTCCAATTTGTTAGAGCATGATTATTTGTATATTACATGCTCCAGAAAATGGATTATATATGAATATTATTGTTATTTATTACTAAAACAATACACAAGCATCTGAAATGTTTTTTTTTCATTTTTTCAATACAATAAACTTTTTACAATACTACCTTAAATAACCATTTATCTTTCAATGTTTTCCATTTCTTTCGCTTGTGTATTATAGTTAAAATGTAAATTTGCAGTAGAACGTAATTTCTTTGCCATTGACGAGAAAAATTTATCACGTTTTACTTCGAATGGAGTTGTAAATTTATTTTTACTCACGTTATTATACTATTTATTTCATTCATGTTTAGATAAAAATAGTTTGTTGTTTTATAAATAAAAAAATATCATATTAATCAATTCAAATTTAATATAAATTATTTACTACTATTCGGATAAACGATTTTTCAAAGCATTCTTTAAAACTTATCTACTATACAGGACGTACCTTGAAAGAAGGATTTTTTATTTGATTCGCAAATTAATAATACTATCAATATAAAGATTATCATTCAAAATGACACTTTTTCTGTTGACTAGTTGCGATTATAAATAAACATTTATCATTTATATACGAAGAAAATTGTATTATAAAAATTATATCACTTTTTAAAGTCAGCCTAACATCTTATCGATTAAAAAAAAAAATATTTGTTGCTAAGATAAATTTTATTCAAGGTTGAATTTATTCTTAAGAGAATAATTTGAATCTTGGAAAAGGTAAAAATCATTTTTGAATATTAATTAATGTGATTATTATTTTTTAAAGGCATTGTAGGCTTACTTTTAATTGTTTTTCAGTAATTTTTACTCTAAAATTCTCTTCGTAATATTTATTCAAGTTTTTACAACAATTACTGTTAATTAAATTATTAAATGAAATAAATATGCTTAAGGGTAAATTCTAAAAACCGTCATTTATATTGCTAATATTAACAAAGAATTTCACAGCAATAATTATTTGCGAATCACTTTTACAAGCCCTATTTCTCAACGGGCCATTTTTAAGTAATGACTAGACTGTAAATTTTTTTTTTTTAATTATTTAAAAAACTTTGTTTTACATTCGTAGAGTAATTAATAATTATAAAAGAAAAAATTAATTTCTTTTGGTATATTTTTACTCTATTAGCTGCACCCGTTTTTCACCACTACTGTGTACTCATATTTTTGATTTTGTTTGTGTGACAATATTTAAGATTAAAATTTATTAAAAAATTATTTACATTTTATGTTAAGATCATGTAAAAAATTGAACAAACTGAAAATTATTTTTAGTTGTATGCTTCATTGAATTTTAAAGATACAAATAAAAGAAAAAAAAATAGACACCATGCAATTTTATTTAGAAGCAATGATAAAATTAATTTAATTTAAAAAGATATTAGATACTCGAGATATAAAAGTATAAAGAGTGAATATGTGTGAATATTTTTAAACTAAATTATCAATTGAATTATTACACAGAATAGACAAAATGAAATCAAACGTTTAGACGATGATGAATCATTCAATTGGCTGAATAAAAGATTGTTATTAAAAACATTGAGTGATTTCAAATTTACTGAATTAACAGAGTAATTATTAATTGCACTCAAAAAGATGTCCAATTATTGATATCTACGTATTATGTGGCACTATAATGTCATTATGTAATGAACGTATTTAAGTGACGTATATAGTGACATCATACATAAAAAAAAAAAATTTTACAAGCTTACAACACTTAAGAATGAAAAATATTCTATCTAGTTAAATTCGAATTACTTGATCAGATTGATTAACCTTCAAGTATTTTAATATTTTAATAAGTATCAACCGTTACGTTAAAAAAAATTTTTTTTAGCATTTCAAAGCGTGCATATATTAAAAAAATAATTGTTCTGATATGTGCTGAGAAAATTTTCGGGGAAAAATAATCCCCAAATATTGCATAACATTTACCCTGCAGTCGAGTAAACATAGGACACAACGACTAATAGATTTTTTACTTTAGAGTAAAGCAATTTTTACTTTATGCCAGTGTAAAAATTTACACTGTTTGTAAATTTTACTTATGTAGGAATATTTTCCATAATTACAAAATAATTTTTTAGTTTAAGGTAATTTTTACCCCACATGAATGTAAAATAACTCCATAATGATGGTCAATATTACTACATAATTAATTTTACACTGGAGCCTTGTAATTTTTACACTCTTATGGGGTAAAAATTACTCTAAAGTAAAAAATTACTTAACTATCACGGTCATTGTCTCCCACGGTTACTTTACTGGATGATAAATTTTATACATACTTTGGGGTAATTTTTACTCAAAAATTTTACTCTGCGTTCTGATAATAATATATATATAAATATATGTATATATATTATCGTAATATACAATACAAATGAAACCGTGTCAACTATATACGCTTGTATGTATGTTTATACGTAATAATAAATGAATTATTTGAGTACAAATAGAGAGTACTTGCTTATAGTGAAAATTCTTGCAATTGTTGAAAGATATATAATTGTCTACAAACACAAAGTCTGGTCATGCAAATAAATGGCCCGGGAGAGGGTTTTTTATTTCAGTGCTTGGGTGATGAATGGTGCATAAACAATATGACCGATTAACAGAAATAATACTGTGTAAAAACAACAAAAAAAAAATAAAGGGTCATTTTATCAAAATTATCACCTTACATTCGGAATAATAAAGATTAAAATAATGTAATGTAGTGTATTATTTAAAGTTTTGTAGATTTATTTTTCTTTTTTAATATGATAAATGATCTATATATCCATAGTGATTTTATTTCGCACATGTCACCCAAGCATGTTTAGTTATCGCCAAGCGCCAACTACCGCCGATTGGTTCGTATGCGTAAATTTTCGATCGTAATACACACATTCACTCACTACTTTAGAGCAAAAATAATATATTTAGAAAATATTCATAATTTTCTACTATTGGTTTCGGTTAATTCTAGTGTATAATTATCTTTTAATTAGTTGATTATTCTCAAGTTAATTTCACTTAAATGTCACAACAATGATCAAGTTCATCTTGGATTAGAGTTAATTAAAAAGAATTATCCGAAACAATAGGATGTCTATGAGAGAAAACTAATACAAAAATCAAGTGCTTCACGCAACAAACCAATAGACAGAAAGAAGTTAACGAAATTTGGCATGTACAGAAGATGAGGGTAGTTGTAAGCTGTCAATATATTCTACTGCAAATAAGTTCAACACTCTATTTCAACTGCAATCTCCGCAACCATAACAGCCAAGTAAAAAAAAATTTTTCGTTACACTTTATTATATTACAATACATCATAATCATATTGTAATATCAATAAAGTTTTTAAGATAAAAAACAATTATATAGCATTAGAATGAAACATAATTATAAATAAATGCATATAAAATAAATAACTTAATGAATGCGTGAATACAATAATATAAAATATTTTGATGTCTCTGCTTCAAAATATAGATATTGTTTTTTACTTTTTAAATTACAATGTTGTTCTTTTATTAAAATTGAAATATAAATACTCTCGAAATGATTTGAATAATGTACTTTAATTTTAATTCTCACTTATGATATGTATATATGCAGATTTTAAATAAATTTGTCACATGGAGAGGAGAATCGAGTTCGAATTACTTTGCTAGAGGATCCTCAATAATTTTTTGGTAATTATACACTTTTACGGTCATCTGGTTTTTCGATTTCTAATAGTCTCATAGCTTTAAATCATGTTTTTATATTTTTTTTTGTATTTTACATGAAAGAATAAACAATTTAAAATCCTGAAAAGCTGTTTTTTAGCTTAAAATAATTTTCTTCAAATAAAAATTCTCCTTTACAAGGAGCTGTGAGCCATATAAATTTTTTTAATGACAGATAGCTTCTAAAATAATGAAAATAAAGTAAAAATGGTTGGAATAAAAGTTTTTCCTTTTGAAATGAAGAATATTTTTTGTTCAAACTATTTTTCTCTATCTATAATAGTTCAGCCTAAAAACATCTCGATATCACATGAACCTCGATAGCTGGTCCATGAATCTTGCAAGGTAAATTTTACTCAATCCTCCTTTCTGTGTATCGATAAATTATGTATAATTATATCAACTAATACATATAAATAAATATGTATATTATGTTAATAATAATAAAGTAACAATTACATTTGTAATAAACAAACACCAGAGATAATGCAGTGGTTATTTGTAGTTATAGTTGCGGTGTGCAGTTGCAGTGAGGGAAATACCCCCAAAAAGCTACGTGTTAGCTAAAGATAATAAAGGCAAAACATAGTAATGATTTGTTTTTTAAACTCGACAACTTAAATAATCAATTAACTTTCACAACTATCATTTAATACATTTTAATTTTATTTTGTTATTAAATTCAAACGAATCAAATTTACTCTGTTTACCTTTATTCATAAAAGTTAGCAGCAATTAACAAATCAGGCCTGTATTAAATAGCATTATATCTATTAAATAAATATTTATTCTACCATTTAATGATTAAATAATATTTTTTTTTTATCATGAAATTAGTTGATAAAATGTTTGAATGAATGTATGTATAATAAAGGCCTGATGTTAGGTAAAAATTGGTTACAATAATGAATCTACCTGTCCGCAGCTGTCTGTGTAGACGACACAGTGAGCATTTTGAGGGACCACATAGGCCCCGACAGTGGCTAAGGCTGCTATAAGGCGATCCACATGCAGCAAACGAGGCAGTGTTCGTATAATTTTTATTATTTATGGATTTATTTTTTATTTTATTTTGTTTTAATACCATTCGAAATAGCAAATTCAGTACAAAATGCACCGAATGAATGAAAACACGTTGAATATCCCTTTCCAGGCGCCCACCCAGGTACATGTTCCAAAATCATAGCAATTACAATAGCGTGTAGAATAAATACAATTGTTTACGATTTAAATATTCCAAGCGTTAAATATAAAAAATTTTTAATGAATATAGAAAGTTAATAAGTTGATAAAATGCATACACATATAATTGGTCATAATGACCGAGGCCAGTAATTTATAAACGGCCAAATTACAGTTTAATATAATTGTTATGACATGTTGTTGTTGTTGTTGGTGTTGATGTTGTTGTTGTTGTTGTTGTTCGTTGTTATTTATTTTTATTATTGTTGTTTATTTTTGAAGAAATAATTCCATTAAAAAAAAATAATAAGTTTATTAGTTGACATTTTTTGCATGTACCAAGGTATATTTGAAAGGAATTATTATATTGTTATATTAATTAAAATAATAAACAAAAAGTTGCGCAATAATTTGGCCATAGTGTATACAGACCAAGCCAACATTTCAAAATATCCAATTATAAATTTTATGAGTTATTTTTTATGTTGTATATTTTTTTTTCCAGTGTTGTATTTTAATTTAATAATAATATCAACATATATAATTCGATGATGGAAAATTTTAATTAATGCAAATAAAATTTATTATTTTATTGATTAATTTTATAAGATATAATTTATTATTGTCAAATTGAATTAATGACAATTATTAAATGCCAATAGTGAGCCAAGTTATTTGCAGATCCACAATAAAAATAATTTTATTTTCAATTTCATTTCATTATTAATATTATTTATTAATTGTTAACAAAAAAAAAATTAATTTAATCATGTATAAGTTTGAAGGAAAAACAAACCATGTGCAGATCATCAGTTAGGAAATCCAGCATAACACCGACGTGATAAAAGATATCATATCCAACACCAAATAATTTTTTACATAAAATAAAAACATTTATGTATTCAATGAAAATGATGCATTGTCAAATTGAATCATTGTTAATTGTAAATAATGAGTTTAATAATTGTGAATATAGCACATTATCAATTTTGTAGTGCAAGTTGATTTTTTTTTATCACAGATTTAATTTTTTTTTTTTTACATTTACCATAAAAATAATAATAATCGAATGATTGTTAGTGAAAGATATATATGTATAGATATATATATATATATTAGTAATAATAATAATAATAATAATAATAATAAAAATTGATATAGTGAATTACCGATTATTGAATTGATTATATGGAGATGGAAGAGGATTCAGTTATTTTTGATCAGACGAGTTTCAATATTAGGATTAGTTGAAGGATTAAAGCATTCCATGGTGTTTGTATTTTTAAGGTGTTTATTCAATTGATAAAAGACGTGCGGCAAATCCAGGCGAGGGCAAGCATGAAACAGAAATTGAAAAAAACAATCCTTTAACTCATTTAAAGTACATGCAATTTATGAAACATAATTGAATAAAAATATCACTATTTAACTGAAAAATAATCAACCAGTTAAAAGAATGATACACATCAGCTAAAAATTGTTTGAATAATTAACTTTGTTGGAGATTGTTGATAGCTGTTATGCACTCATATAAATATATAATTCAAAAAATAGTTGATAAAATCATTTTGACGTTCACTTTCAATAGAAATAAATTGAAAAAGGTATTTTTTTTGTTTTTAACAGTGCTTGTAAAATAATTTTAATTGTTAGTTATCATGAAACTTATTTCAATGACAATGTTATAAAAAGGCAAATTAGTATACACAAATAAGTATTGAATAGAATTAGAAAATAAATTATTCCATGCTCGTGCAAAAATGAAATAAAATTTAAAAAATACTATTTTATAGGTGATAAATAACACAACATAATTTTTAACAAAAAAAAAAAAAAACCATCCAAAAATGTATATATTTATGTTGAAAAAAAAATGAAAAAAAAAAAAACAGCAAATTCACTCGTTACTCGCTCACTTGGATATTTTGAAAGTAGCATAAGGTGATCTACACTTGATTCCGGGTGGAATCTCACTTTCGATTGTCCAGTCAGCATCCGATGTACCTTTAAAAGCCTGGATGCGGTAAAGCTGCAACAACTTACTTGCTATGCAGAGCTTACAATTGAAGAAAAAGAAATACTGTGCATTTAAACAAACATTGGATAGACTTATTGAGGCCATATAGCGATTAAATACATATTCTTTCTTTCGCCAACAATAGTTTACTTTACTACGCGAATTTTATATTAAACTAATGCGATTAATATAATACATTATAATAAAATGACGATTTAAGCGCAATGAAAGTTTTACGAATAAAGTAATGATGCACGTAACATATTTTTCGTGCATTAATTACTGTTGCACAATATATTTTTAAGCTAATTCAAAGGTTAAGGAAAATTTTGGTACCACCGTTGTTATTTTTTTTTTTTTTTTAATTTCTTTCAGTTTTTGATCTATCAAACTTTGTAACTATTTTTTATCATCTATTTTTTATTTTATTCCTTTGATTTTTTTTTTTCCGCTAATTGTGCTCCTATTATTACTTTATGATATTTTTCGTACTAGATTCGATTTCTCGTGTATTATAAAGTTTCGCATTTGAAGCGCTGAAAAGCTTTTGAATAGGACGCTAGGAGTGCAGGAGTTTTAGTGCACAATCACCAGCGAACTTGAAAGTTCGAGTAAGTTTACTTGAGCTTTGTCGGTGGTACTCGTGATACTAAAAGCAACTAATTATTATAGAGTAGAAAAGAGACTTTGTGCTTGAATTGATAATGAATTGTGATGCACAAATTTCACTAATTTTTCATTAATTCCAAAGAATACAGTCATCATTGTGAGAGTATTATTTAAAATTTTCCATTTACATTGATTAATAATTCATTCAATTGTACACTGAGAAAAAAATTCACTGTGAATAAGTAATTTTTTTCTTTCAAATGGTAGTGTTTTTTTTTAAATGCACTTAAAATGTTTTAAAATGATGTCACCAACTTGATTAGCATTTTAGTCATTCTTTAAACACATTTAAGTGCATTGAAATAAAACCCTACCATTTGCAGTGCAGAAAATTATTACTTTCTGCACTACGGAAAGTAATAATTTTCTGCACTGCATCATAATCTTAAACCAAACATCAAAATACATTTCATTAAATCCAATAAAATATTTTATTGCAAATATTTCCAATTTTTTTTGTTGAATAAATCAAGATTTTTTTGTGTTGCAAAAATTTTTTTCTCTGTGTACACTATCCAGAGTTTTTTTAAAATAATTATTTACTCTTGATAAATAATTTCTCATTAAATTACTTTATCTCTAAATTTTAGTAAAAAAAAAACACCGCTCTTTTTCAATTATTACTTTACCAAAAATGAAACTTAATAACACATTTATTTGTTATTATAACAATAGTAACAGAAATGAGAGTTTTAATAATCTCAGTCTTAACTTAAAAACAAGCATCAAAGTCTTATATTGCATTATTGTAAATTTTTTATGACAGGATTTTAAGGAAGCAGGAAGCGACAAGGTTATAAAAGGCAATAGCAATAGACGCAGTATTGATTACACGAGTATAATAATAAAAATAAACATTACAGAAATACACATATTTAGCTGTCAAGTATTTTTGTCATTAAATAGATAAATAGATGAAATAAGATAAAGCATTAATAAAACAAATATTCATGCAACTTTCAAGCATTATTATTACAAATATCGACTGATCCTGATGATGACGAAATTTCTACGAGCGTGCATGCGCAATAACACGTTCGACTGATAAAATTTCCTTTATACGTAACAGTCCATTACAATGATAAAACACTTTAATATCTTCTTAAATTATTTTTCGTATAATTATTTTCATCTTTTTTCATCTTAAAATAATTCATTAAATCACCTTTCAATTTTTTATTCAACTAAATAATAGGAATATAATTATGACGAACGCGTTAAAATTGCATTTGCATTCCCGACATCATGCGCAAATAGCGCATTTCGACAAATATATGTACTATACATAATGCGTGAATAAGTGTAAATGTTTATCCAATAATTTACATGAAGAATTGAAGACGGTACAGTAAATATCAATATATAGTACCTGAAGGTATAATACGTTATTATATTGTAAAACGATTGGTTTATATATTTATATATATATTTATTTCCTTATTTCTGTTATTATTTATTTATATTCGTATTACTAAATTGTTTATATATATATATATGTATGAATATATATATATATATATATATACGTCGGAATAATGTGGGTTAATTTTTCGTTGCATCTGAGTCATATGCAACAATAATATTGCGTAATAAGTTTATGCCTCGAGAATTGAAGATTTTCATTTCGGTAATCTAGAATCGCATGGTATTATGTTTATGACAATGTGTCGTGAATTACAAGTGCAGAGGAAGGCACTTTCGCTGTATTTTAATAAATTAGGGTCCAAGATCCTTGCCAAAGACAATTAACTAATTTTATAATTAATATAATTAATTTAATAAAAAGAAATAAAATATTTTCTATTATTATTAAAACTTTAATTTTGACAAGAATTTTTTCTAAAAATTTTTTTATCTAATTTATAATTAATTATTTTATTAATATAATTTTGCTAATTTGTTTTATATATAAATTAATTAAATTGTTCAGATCTTGGACTGTCATTTATATCAGCTTATCTATAAATAAGTTTTGGCTGTTGAAAATTTTACCAAATAACATTTGAAAAATCTTTTATTATTTTCATTTATCAAATATTCTTTCTATCCATATGATGGATGAAAGTAAAATATTTTAAGAAAAATTTTAATAATTCTATAATTATTATTCGTATGACGATATTGAAAATATTCTTGTGGTATTTATCATTCAGCCACTTTTAATAAGCTTTCACAAATCTGTTTTTTTTTTTGAAAGACTACTTTTTCTACATACATATTTTTATCGCCATTCTATAAGAAATTTTTTATTTTGTGTGCTTACGATTACATAGTAAAATCTATACTATCACAATGGACGGCCTTAGTACAAACCTTATCAAGAAAAAAAATGGTTCCTTTTATTATTTTTTTTTTTATTTTTAAAAAATATTTTTAAAAAAATTCTTATCAAAAACCTTCTTAATTATTTATTAGTTTTTCGGTGATAATTTAGTTAAATAGTTGGTGTAAAGTCATTTATTGTATTCATTTAAAACTGACAATAAGTTAAAGATGAATTTATAGTGGAAGACTTTAGACATGCCTTCAAATAAGGACATGTTCCATCATAAACGTATGAATATAAAAAAATAATATTTATTAGCTATTTAATTAGCAATGTCAATTCATTTTGTGCAAATAAAATTGACTTTATTTTCAAGTTGGGGAAGCCATTTTTAGTCTTGTGCTGAACCGAAACATTAAAAAAGGAATAAGAATAGACACAAGGTTTCTTTTCCATTCAATTTTTAATAAAAAAGATAATAAAAATAATATAAAAAAAATAAAATAAGTCTATTGATATTTAAAATATTAAAAAAAGTCTGTTAAATTAAATTAAAAAAGTGTAAGGTAACAAAGTGAATAAAATATTTAATTAATCTTATTAAAATTATGATTCCATCATTATTCCTTTAAAGAGTTTCGATTAAGATTTTTATGACCGTCTTGGATCTACTTTATACGATCGTACAATATTTACTGATATCTTCTACATACAATAAACATTATTTATTATAATTATCTGATGAGTACACATCACCTCTAATAATGGCTACGTTAATTTTTTTATTTTCTTGTAAATAAAACTCTAGAGAGGAAAAGATAATTTTCTAGATAACTTTGTGATTAATTATCTCAATTGTTAAGAAAGATAAAAAATAATGTTATTTATAATTTTGAATACAGAATGCCTAATAACATTAAATTGTTTTTATTATTTTATTCTATTTATTCATTTATTTTTTGAGAAATAATTTAATAGATAAATATTTGTCTCTAGAATTTTATCTATGTAATCCAATTTTAGCATAAATTTTTTTTAAATTTTCTCTCATGCGTTAATGGTAGCTTACTGTGTGTTTTAAACTACTTAAACCTTATTATATAAACATAATTTTCATTTTTACTATAACGCATGGAGTTTATTTACAAGTACCTATAGAACTTTTTTGTTATCACTTTTGTTAATTATATATATATATATATGTATATACTTTATCTATTGATTTTTATTTTTCCAATAATATATATCTACTTTATATATTCTCTTTATATTTTAATTTAAAAAGTATTCAAATCGCTGGCAAAATTATTTTCAAAACTACCTAACAAAGCACAGATGTACATGCGTATAGATGAAACGTATGAGTAGATTTTTTATTTTAATATCTGTTTCGGTATTTTACCATTTAAAATATTTTCTTTTGCATGCAATTGTTGTTTTTTTTAAATATATTTTAGAAATATTCATTATTGAAGTAATACATATTAACTAACAAAAATACAATATGTTTATGATTTTATCTACCTTCTCTTATTTGTTAAATGTTTATCTTATGTAAGATTCACAAATTATTATTCTTATTTTGTTTTTTATTCATTGTATATTAAAAACATTAAAAGTTTCAATATAATTCCTTTGTTTGATAGGCAGTAATTCTGACTTTCCTCTTATTTTTTCACCTCGATCTTTCTCGAAATATCTCTTTCAGTCATTCATGATCAATATTAATTATTTTAAAAATTTATTTTCTATTCAAAAATAAAATGAATTATTATTTCGACGCTCATGAAAATGCAATACTCTCCCAAATTAAAATATTCTTTGCTTCATAAGCATTCATAGAAAATAAACTAGTAAACTTGAATATAACAAACAACGATTAGAATAATAATAATAATAATAATAATTGGATGGATAAATAAATAATGAAGAAAAAATAAGAATTTTTTTTTTTTGATTAATAATAAATATAACTTATTACATCATTACAACATCAACAAGTATGATTGAAAAAGTTTAAAATTTTATTTTTGACATGCTAATTAGTTACTACATAGTACGATTTTTCAATTAATAAAAATTACTATTATAAAGAAAATTTTACAAAAAAAAATTCTATATTATTATCTATAAAATAACATAATGATTTTCACTAGAGTAAAAGTTAAAATATTGAAATAATAAGTGGTTTTTTATTTACCGATTAAAGTTTGTAAAATTCATAATATATTGATAAATTTCTTACTATCCATATAACAATTCTTAAACAGTAATAGTTATTTATCGATAAGTAACATGAAAATGACAATAAAGTCTTTATTTAAATTTAATAATATGTACTTGAACTGAAGTGTATCACACAATAATAAAAATTGTGAGTATCTGTTATTTATTATTTTAATGACATTTTAATTAAAATGATCAATAGCAATTAGTATGTTCGAGCTAAATTATTTGATTAATATTGAATAAATAAGGCACTGTTCGCTGACAATGTCTGACTAGAAAAGAAACTGTAATTTTGAAAAATTAATGTTAATATTGAGGTTTCATATTAATTTAATAATAAATATTATTTCTGTATTTTAATTTTGAAACAAATTTCAAATCAAATCACACGAAAATATTTCATTTTCAATTAAATATAAATTTCGTCACAATTGATTAAAAAAAAAAAAGAACTAATTTAAAAAATAGTTCAAAAATACAAAATTATTATTATATAATATATTAACAAAATTAATATCTTGTATTTTTAAAATTTTTGACATTTAAAAACAATAAATAATTTTTTTGTAAATTGTATAATTAATATTCGTTTAATGTAAAAATTGAATGAAAATATTTTTTTGTAATTTTTTTTACGTTTTACTAAGTGATTAAAATAAAATGGCATGCATGCATTTTTGTTTTTTTTTTGTTTTAATAGAAACAAGTAATTATTTATTAATTAGCCCTAGCTAAGAGTTGATAAATTATTTTCCCTATTTATGTAGTTTTCATTTTTTTATAAGGCTGCATAATGACACCAGTGCTAACAGGGATAGCAACTTGTGGCTGTGTGGCTATCGTTGCTTGATTAGCAGTTTGTAATTGAGGTATTCCTGGTACGCCAGGGGTAACACCAGACATTCCAGCGACACCATGAATAGCCGCTGCTGCTGCCATACCCGGAAGCATTGCATATGGATTCTGCATATAGGGATTCGTTGCTTGTTGGATGGTTGTGGCATTTTGCATGCCAGATAAAGAAGCTTGTACATATGGTGAAGGCAAGATTGTATGTTGTCTAATCAGTGAATAAGGATTGATTGTAGTCGTAGCACTAGGAGGTCTTGGATAATGAAGTAAACTAGCAGGTAGAGTAGAAGCTAAAGCAGTACCTGCTGGAATACCTGCAAGTCCAGGAGGAAGCATTTGCCTTGGAGCATTGCTTGATGCAGCAGCAGCAGCGGCAGCCGCAGCAACAGCAGCTGCACTTTGAGGACTCATTGATAAAGCTTGTTTATTTAAAGTAACACCAGTATAATTCAATGCAGATAAAGGATTTATTCCATATTGTTGTGATGTTTGTGATAATTTAATAGCTTTAGCATAATTTTTCTGAGCAACCTCTTTAGCAAGAATTGCTGGATCCATTGATGCAAAACTTGGTGCCATCCCAAGCGTATTAAGGACATTTAGATTAGCCATATTGGCCATAGTATAGTTGGCCATTGAATTAACTTGATGCATATTTGCTATTGATGCCATTGATGACATATTGGCCATAGATGTCATATTTGCCATTGAACAGAGATTTGTAACATTAGGGACTGATGTGAGATTAGCCATAGAACTCATAGTTGCTGTAGAAACTGGATGAGCCGTTAATTGGCTTACCTGTGGTGAACTGGTATGATTTAATTCGGGAGAGTTATGAGCATTTTCAATTTCATGATTACTTAATATTTTTTTAGCGTCATTACTGCCTCCTCCATTACCACCACCTGAACTATTATTTGTAGGCGGTGGAGGTGGATTATTAGGATCAACTAGGATACCGTTAGTCTCAGTCGTTGTATTCACACTAGCTTGAGAGACTATTAAATTTTGGGTATTTGTAACTGTTTGATTAGAGGTTTGAGGAAGGGATGGTGTTCCAGCGTACTCACATGACACAGGCACAAAAGGCTGCGGCAACTGCATTAATTGTTGATAGGTTGTTGCACCAGTTGCCTGATAAACTGGCATACCAGACTTGTCTCCAGCTGGACGTTTATAAGGTACCATTCCCGGAAAGGCCTGAAATCATTTAAAAATATCAACATTAAATTACTTTGTAAATTAAATATTTATTATCTTAACCACCCGTTAATTTAGTTGAGAAACATATCACGCATCACTGCTGCCTCTATCTTTCGCTCATATTATTTATCCAATTTAAGCTTTTAATTTGTTTCTTTTTTTTTACCCCAGCAAAGTCATTATTAGTATTGATACATTAAGGTATTATTACCAAAATAAAATATCTAAATAATCATACTAATAATGATATTATTAATGTTAATGCGCCGGTTGTTAAAGAAAAGGGATATTAATAAACAACATCAATTTTTATTCATCTAGATGATGATCTGAGTTGGCGCGAATTGAATACGGAGGTGTTATATTTTATTATTCTTCACTTACAAAATTTTCGTAGTAGAACGATCCAAACGATTTTGAATCCATCTGTAACAAAGATAGGATAGGTTTCAACTATTTTCGAGGATAAGGTGCAATACGAATTTTATCATTCGTTTAATATTTATTTTTAGGAACCGAAAGAAGAGGAATAATGGGTCTACTAGTGCATAAAACTTGTGCCGATGACGCAGCAGCTTGTGAAGACATATTCCCAAGAAATCACGTTACGTTGATCTGCCTTAACTGTGAAATTCACTCTAGCACGTAATAATAATGTGATGGTATGTATTTTTACGTCATTATTGTTTTATTGTATATAGATTTATATGTATATATATACGTATACTTTTGTATGTCTCTTATACATATATATGTACATATAAAAAATTTGTAACTCACGCCGATAACAAAAGTGCCAACGAAGCCGATATTTCTTCGAGCGATTTTTTAATAATACGATATGATAAAAGAAACATAAATATAATATTACTCATTGCACGTATGAAAAAGTTTAATTGTAAAATAAAATAATTAAACAAATAATTGTAGCTGTTAACACTAATTAAAAAGCGAAATAAAAAATTTATGAATCACAAATTAGAATGAAGACTCATGGAATTGATGATAATAAAAATGATGATAAATAAACGATAATATTAATAGATTATGATTAATGGTAATTTAAATTTAATTTAATATGCACAGCAAGAAAAAACTATTAAAATAGAGTAATCAACAGTTGTTAATAAATGCGAAAGCTTGAAAGCCAATTATCATAATCTTGGGAATTTTTATTTTTATATCACTGTGTTGGAGATGAATTTTGAATAATTACTTCTTTTTTTTTTAATGTTTTTTGCTAATTAATATTTTGATACACTGAAAAACATCTATAGTTGTAGGAATTATCTAAAGTATTGTTATAGATGAATCGCTAGATAGCTACAACAGCGCCATCTACAACGCTCCAGAGTGACTAGTGGCGTACATAACCTCATCTCTGATCATAACATTCTAATATTAACGTCATTTGATTAAAATATTATTTATTATTGTGAAAATATTCACTGCTAAAATTGTTTAATTTAATTAGGCTAATTTCTAATTAATATTTGAAATAGCTACGAAGAGTATCTTTCCAAAACAACTATTTTAGATAGCGTCACTCAATTATCTAGATAGCCCCCTACAACTATCTAATGAGATAATTAATCTAAGAAGTACAATAATGTTTCTACAACAATAAATTTTTTTCAGTGTAGTAAATTTATCAATTTTACAATTTTATAAAAGCTTAGATTGTAAAAACTATGATATTTAAATGAGTTATTATGTTTCTAACATCAAAAAAAAAATTTTAACAAGAAAATAATTTAACACTCATAAATACAACATGAAGCTTTAAAAGCTCTAAATAAATTTCATTACGCAATACAATAACGATGCTAAATAAATCTTATATTTTAAATAAAAGAAAGTATTTGAATTATTTTAAAAGTTTCTTTTTTCTTCAAATTAATTGAATTGAAAAATAAATGAAATCAGTTGAATCAGAACCAATCATGCTTCTCAATAATTTATCTTAGAATATTTTGAAAATTGACATTACGAAATGATGAGTAGTTGTTAGAGACGAGAGACAGAAGAGCTAGAGCTCTAAGCACGCAGTGTATTTACAATGCCATTATCTAAAATATATTTTCAACTTAAAAGTAGACTATGAGTACCGAGCAATAAATAAATTGACTTGAACAATAGAAATGCATTAATGTAAAAAATGTATAAATAAAACATAACCTCTAAAAAGCTACATTTAAAATCAATATAATAATTTCTCGATACTCATTTGAAATAAAGGAAAGTGTAGATCATGCAAAAGCCGTGGTACCATTAGCAGATCATCATTGGTGTCACGCATCCGCTTCTTCCCGAGCTCAATGCTTGCTGCCATACTCGCGTTCTGGAGTCCTCCAGGTACTGCTGATGTTGGTACACCTGACACACCGCCAGCGATTGCACCAATTCCGGGCACACTCCCGGTCGACAACTGTCCGGTCTGGATTATCCAAGATTATTTTGTATATTTTTTCCATTTCCATTGATTCCGAAGTCATCAAAATTTGTTTTGTTTTTGGTTTTTTTTTTTTTTTATTTAATTTAATATTTGATGTTATTTTAGGTGCAGCCATTGTATTGTAGCATTTATTTGGTTCATAATGTGATGAGCGGTGATTGGTCAGTCGTGCGTTTGAGATAATTTTCGTCGGCAGTTTTCACAGGCATTAATTGGCAGGTAGCGAAGCGTACGAAGATTTTGTTTCAGCAAGCATGAAGCATCGTCAGCAAGAGGGCAAGATAAAAATCAAAAAAAAGAAAAAAGAATAAGTTGAGGCTTTTAGGCAGAAAATATAGTTGTCGTTAACCGATTTTTTTTTTTTTTTCTTCAAATACTTAATAATAATTACATATAATACGTGGTTTTGATATTGAAATAAATTAATCAATAACATATGAGAATGAGAATAATCGTAATAATAATAATAATCAAACTAGAATATATATATATTATAAAAAAAAATTATCATTTTGCAATAAAAGCTCGATGATCATCGACATTCGTGGCAATGGAAAAAACTTATTTTTCATGTCTACCATTTCCTCTGTGAATAATTTAAAGAAAAATCTATCACTTATTTAGATAAATACATCTAATAAATCAATTTGATTTAAAATATAATTTTTTAAATTATTAATATTGATAATAAATAGTTTAAAAAATCATGAAAAATATTAATAACTCATCAAATTAAATGTATAAATAATATAAATGATAATCGATGGTGATATTGTTCATCCCATTATATATCTGAAATAAATTATCATATTGTAGTATGAATATATGTAATCAGCAAATTATTGTGTTGAGTTTTGAATCTCCATTAATTGCAGCATCTAATAATATTTGTATTAGTTTGTTTTTTTTTGTTTTTTTTTTTTGGTTATAGTGAGTTATTGTTAGTAATAAATATAAACTATTTGAATAAATTTTTTGTAATGGAGAATTAATTGATGAATAAATATAATTATAATATCTAAGTAATTTATATGATATCATACAGCTTTTCATGGATCCTGAAAATGAAATAAATTAATATGACGTTAATTTCTCTTGAGCATGTTTTTAAAATAATTTGTTTTATGTCATTGTCATTCAACTATTTAGTATCTAATTACGTCGTTTGTATTACTGTTGCTAAAAATTTTTATGTTGTATGTTGAATTAAAATTTCAATGGTACTGAAATATGTATAAATATATATATAATTTATTTATATATATATTTTTTTTAAAAATAAGATAAATATCAAGTCTACTAAATAATGTTTGGTGTTGATGTCAATAATAAAAATATATTTAATGGATTTGTTTAAAAATAACTATACTTTACGCGTAATTGAAATCCAATTATGTAATTCTCCAACACTTAAGAGTGCATTGTTGTGGAAAATATAAATATTCTTAGCTATTCATTAGGAGTATATTTTTTTAATGGCAATAAAATATTATACACTGATAAGAGAGATTTGTAATGGTGAAGGATGCTTCTTTACTGTTAAAAAATATTTTTTAATAGTTAGTAAATCTTCTTAACAATTAAGAAACATAATGTAACCAATACAATCCATATTTTATTATGGATTATATGATTTTTTTAATATAATGATATAATATTAAAATGAAGTTAGGATTTGGTTCCATTTTATGCATATTTCGTTTATAATACAAGATAAGGCCAATAAGGCAAAATAAATTATTTTTTAACAATCATAAATCTCTTCTATCAGTGTACCAAGCAAGTAATGAACAAAAAAAAAAATATTGTCCACGGTGATTATTTTTCAACTTTTATGCACTCTTGAGTTGTTAAAAACCATCCATAGAAAATGAGACTTCCCTGCCAACAAGCTGGTCTGCCAGAATCCGTTTGTAATTTCTTCTTATTTGTTCCGATGTGATGATGTTGTCATCTGTGTTGATCTGGCTGAAACTATGTTTTATCTTCCGGTTGTCAAGATCGAATAGAGAATTAATTGTTGAAAATCAGAGTAAATAAACATTAAAAAAAGGAATTAAAAAAAAATAAAGATTAAATACCGAGTTTCAAAAATGGTAGAAAATTAATTAAATTTCATTTAAAATAAATTTTTTTAACAAATATTTAAAATAACTCATAATTAAATCATATCACATGATTTTTTTTGTAATTAGAAATGTAAGTAATCAATTTAATTAAATAAATGATTTTACCCGTTTGAATGTGGTATTTGATAAGAATAAAATAAGTTAAAAATAATAGTATAGAATAAAAAATAATATCAAAGCTATTTTAGACTGTCAAGATGTTTTGAAAATGTGTAACAACACCGATTGATCAAATTTGATATTTTTACTGTTAAATCCACAATCGTATTTTTTTAAAATCAATTAATGATTTATTTAGTCTTTCTTTAAGATAATTTTGAAATATGTGTAGGCGTTTGTTTTTTCTTTTTTTAAATTTTGAGCAGCAAACAGCAGCGGGGTTGATAGCCAGGATTCGTGCAGCACAGCTTGTCAGCAAGGTTGTGTTTCAGATGTGTCATTCATGGTAATTTAACTACATTTATTTACAATTTCATATTGTTTGTCATTTTCACTTTATTTCAATAACAATTATTTTTTCTAATCCTCATTCTTTTAAAATAAAATTAAATTTTGATTATATCAATTGATAAATAATATTACCAATAAGATATTTAGACTTAATGAATTTTTATTTTGTGAAAATAAGTGAAAATGAAACGGTTGAATTATAACAGTAAAGTAATAATTTATTATAATCTAAATAATCAAACAGGTGATTGGTGTATTTATGCAACTAGGTATTTTGCACCTGGATAACTGCGAGAGGCTGCTAGAAAGACAGAAATAGAAATAGAAATAGTGGTATTTGTGATAACAGAGAGATAATTTTCGGGTTTTCTATCTACTCACTACATACTACTTTCATGACTAAACGTTAAACAAAAAAGACATCAGATGAACATACACTAAAGCAACAAACTAGAATATATCGAGATATGAGACTCTGTCAATTTTTATTTCATCACTAATTCTTTTTATCATCCATTTTATTCAATTCGATTAATTTTATTTTCAATTTAATTATCATTATAATTCTCGTATCTTGATCAAATTCGTTAACGTAACCACTGTATATCATTTTTGATCATCTTAAGTATTAATGATCAATATTTTTTATTAATATCTCTTGTAATATTAATTTTTATTTTTTTAATATAGATAAATATTTAATTTCTTATAATGGATGGGCAAATCTTATTAAAAAACACATAACATACTGAGTATTGATAAAATGCGACACAGTGGTTGAAGCTTTTTTATGCAAAATTTAGCAAATTAGGAAAGGATGAAAAGAAAAATAAAATAGATTTAATATAATATAATATAAATAATCAGAAATTAAGAAAAAATTTTTTAATTTTCATTAGAAATTTAATAAAAAAATTTTATTTTAAAGAAAAAAAAAAAATTAATATTTCAAATATTCATTATTACTTATAATTATTCAACTTATTATTAATTTATATAGTTGATTAAGAAATTATAAAATAAGTAAATATTATAATACAAAATAAATAATCAAAACAAAAATTTTTTTATATTTTATTTTTAAGATAAAATTTCAAATTTCAACAAAAAATAAATAGAATGAATGAAAGCAAAAAAAAAAAATAAAAAGAGAGAAAGAGAGAGAAAGAAAGAGTGTTTGAGAGAGAGAGAGAGAGAGAGAGAGAGAGAGAATGCATTACCGCAATGCTAGCCCGAGATTGTGCGGCCTTAATGTGGGCTTGAAGGTGCAGAGGGGGGTGGAAATAGCGGCAGGGGTCCCGATTGCATCGGCCCTTGACAGCGTCCATGCAGACCGTCACAGAACCGTCCTCGTTCGCCTGCACCGTCTCGAGGGGGTGCGCAAACCGGCACTCCGTCTCGCCGCGTTTGCACGCCCCACGTTGAAACTCGCGACATACCTACAGCAAGAGCGAACACGCATGGCATAGCACTCTATCTATGAGGGTCATTGTTGTGAGTAAAGGGCGTGTGAATTACTTTATGGCTTATTAGCTTCGGGATATAAAATGGAAAAAGGGTTCAAAAGGATTTTTAAATTAATCTATAAAAGTAATTTATGAATATTATGAACAAATTATCATCTAAAATGAACAAATTCTATCAATTTTGTATACGACTGTGAATTAAATTAACTTCATTTAAATCATTAATAATCATTATATCATTAATCTACATAAACTTTAGCTCTTTATCAAGTGGATATCATTTTAATTATCAACATTTTCAATATTATTCATCTATAAATAATAGAATATTCATGATAACATTTATTAAAAAATGAATCCGGGCTTACTATGTATCCTGACGACGAACTTCCCTTTAATTGAAATCCGTAATTTTGTCATCTTTCAATTTTTTTGTTTATAATAAATAGTTATTGTTATAAATAATATAGAATTGTTTACATTCATGTGAAGTCATTAGCAATTTTATTGTCCGTACGTATCATACGTATGTATGTCCAATAAAATAAATTTGGGGTCGATATCTTCAGTAGTTCTCGAGATATCGAAAATGAAAAAAAGCCGGACATACGTGCGTACAATTATACGTATGGACAATTTTACGTACGTATATAAATTTATATTTAAACCTTCAAACATGCTTTCAAATGTCTGAAAACATAAAAATATGATAAAATTACGAATTTCAAAAATCGACCTCAATACACTTTCTAATGGGAAGTTAATAAATTAAATAATATCCACAATAAGAACTTAATTGCTAATGTTACTAATTCTATACGAGTGCTCGGTGGTAGCAGTAATAATGAATTCATATCATTTTAAATAAGTTCACTGAGCATTTAGGGAGACTATATTGTCCGGTTATTATGTGTCATAATATTACAGAGTGATGTAAATACATTGTGAATGAAAATATTGAACGATGGATAAATTAAAAGAAAAGAAAATACGAATACATAGTTAAATATGATAAAAACAAAATGTTTAACTGATTTTCTTTAGTAACTATAATATTATTCTCAGCTTATTAACAGATAAATATTTATCAGATATTACCTTTCAGTTATTATACTAAATAATTTATATTTTTAAATATCTTAATTGGAATTAAATAAAATTAATAATATACTTCTAGCTATTTTGAATCAATTATTAATGAGTGATTACCTCTCTAGATGTATCGTATTATTTTTTTATACAATTTTCAATTTAACGACAATGATAAATTGAATTTATTATCAGAACTCGTTAATAAGTTCATAAAAAGCACATACTAATAATCATTCTATTAAATCTCATAATCATATCTAGATTGAAGCATTTATTCTATTTAAAGAAAAATAATAATTAGATAATCTGTAGTGCAATAACTAATAATAAAAATATTATTCTGATATTATTTGACAGATTGAGAATATAATAGCAATTTTAGAAAGAGTTTAAACACATGTTTTATATAATTATTTCACAATAAAAATAATAACGATCGAAATTTGACTCTTTGAGATATTTTTAATATAATAATCATTACTCTATGTATAAAATAACATCATTGTCAGTGTAATACAATACACAAAAGGTAATAAAAAATATTACAGAACATATATACACACAAACACTTACGAAATAAACTAATTATATGTGCTACTGTTACAATTGATTAATGGATAATAATATTTTTTATAAACAAATATTATAATTGTTTGTGTGTGCATAATAGATACGAAAAATACGAACGTATATATGTCATATATAGATGGAATTATAAAGCAAGATATAAATAAACACGTGCGTTAAAGCAGACAATAAAAAATCAATTTAATTAATTAATCGATTGATCTTTAATAAGATACATTCATGTTCCTTTAATATTGATACTCATATTCAAACAAGAAAAATTTTTTCATTTTAAAAAATGGAGAAAATTAAGTAATTAACCGCTAAAAATATTATTTAATATATATAAATAAAATAAATAATTTATTGAATTAAATATTTAAATGTATATTAATTAATTTCCAGATCTTTTTCAATTATTTTTAATATGGTTATGAATTACCGTTGTAACATAATTAAATGAGTACGTGTGTTGAATTCACGTTAATATGATGTTGGAATTTATATTCAATTATTTTCTATATGATATGCGAATCATGTCTTATGACATCAAGTTATGTCTATGAATGTCCGAATGTACAAAACGTTAATCAGTGTTATCGTCTTGTTTTATAATGGCGTGAATTAAATAATACATTATTACACGGTTGAATAAAAATTATTTAACGAATGTAATTAAATGTAAAGTATAAAAATAAATAAGCAACTAATCTACGAATATAATAAAATGTCATTCGAGTACTTTAGCTGATCAATCATATCGAAATATCGTTAATTGACATTACGAGCATGATTATAAATTGTAAATGACACTGTGCGTACTAATATAGAGATGTAACACGTATTAGCAATGCGTGACGTGAGTATTTTAGAGCAAAAGTCAATTTATATGTATGCAATCAGAGTGTATAAAAATGTATACAAGCTCCGTTACTGTAATGTATATTTTAAGTTACATGCATTCATTTGGCTGTAATGTGTAAATTAAGTTTTTTTTTTTTTTTTAATTGATTATAAAATTACTTAGATACCATATTTATAGTAAATGCAGTAGACATAGAGTCTTATTAGTCGATTGATTAGTACTAAATAATGTAAATTAAATATTTAAATAATTGACATTCAATTCAAAATAAATTACGTTGTCATGAGTTTAGAAACACTGATAGAAGAGATTTATAATGGTGAAGAAGGCTTCTTTACTGTTAAAAAATGTTTGTTAATATTAAAATAAGGTTAGAATTTGGTTCCATTTTATGCATATTTCGATTAATAAACGATAAGGCCCTCAAACAATTGGATGGAATAAAGGATAAAAGCTAAGAATTAGGACTACGCATGCGCACAAACCAATTTTTTTGCGTTACGATGCTTCTGCGCATGTGTAGACCTAATTTTTAGTTTTTATTCCTTATTCCATTCAATTGTATGAATAAATCATTTTTTAACAGTCATAAATCTCTTCTATCAATGCAGAAATTCTGTTCTTACAATAATCTCGATTTTTTTATATCACTTTTATAATACACTATGTATATATTACAATAAAATAAAAATAATAAAAATAACACTTGGTAATATAACAAGATTTTATCCATTACTACAACTAAAATTATCATTCATAATTGCAATAAATTTTTTCCATCGACACTAAAAATTATATCGACCTTAAAATTATTGTAAAAACAAAATATATTTAATATCAATCATTTAAAATAATATTTGCGGCTATAATGTTTGAAAAAAAGACAGCTATAATTATTAGCAAAATCTGAAGATTCCGAATGTCATGTAGAATTGGATATGATACATTAAAAAAGCTAGAAAAAATATGTTTTTGTAAAAGAAGATACAGAGCATTGTATTATTAGGAAATATAAATATTATCAATTGTTCTACGACAGCTCAAAGTATGTATATATAGACAGAGATGAATAGATAGACAGAAAGATACCAAAAGTGAAAATAACAACAGCAAATTGCGCATGTCTACTTGGTGTACATTCTATCACCACTTAAATCAGCATTGCATCCGTTCTTTTTTTTATATATATATATATTTCAATTAATATTTATTGCTATTCATCATTTGTTTTTTTTTCTTTTTTTTTAAATTTGTATTCTATTATTATATATAAATTAATCATCTGTTTTGCTTTTTAAATAGAATATAATTAGTAATATTTTTATTTAATTGATATGAATTTGATGTAAAGTATAAGTGATTTTAAATTTTGCAGTGATTAAGCAATCAATTGTGATTTTTTTTTTTCTTCGTTGTAAAAAGGACTTAACAAATGTATTTTATACGTGGGGTATTAAATTATAATTGTTTTTTAAACCAATAAATTTCTCATTAAACTTAAATTTGTTGTTAAGTTAATATTTAAATTTTATAGAACAAAATTACTATGAAAGCATACTAAAAAATGCATTCAAAAATTGTTATAATTAATTCTAGCAAAGCTTTTTCAAATTTCATCACGGTTGATAAAATTGAATATTAACATAATATTAACAATTTATGTTGAAGAGAGAAAAAACATAAATATAATTAAATAAAATAATGATTAATAAAGTAAAATATTATTTAACGTATAAAATATAATGAATAAAAAAATGTAATTAATAAAATAATTGAATTTGATGTATAATAAACAATTTAAGCAAGTAATTTTAGTTGAATTACATTTGTTTTTATTTGAATTCCATCATTAAAAGATTTCGCGTGACCCGGACTTAGTGCAAGTCATCGCAATACATGATCACAATTAGGTATGAATATGATTATTGTTTTCCAATCATAATTAATTTTATTAAATTATTTAATAGTATAATAAATGTTATTGTTAAACCAATTGTGATTAGTTAAACAATCGATCATTCCGATAGTTTCATTTTTTATTATTTTTTTTTATCTTAACTTAATAAATGAGTAATAATGTAGTTAATATCATCCAATTAACAATATCACATTGTGTATATTTTTTTCTTTTAGTTTATTTTTTGTTTTTATTGCATTTTTTTTATTTTTTAAAATTATTTGTTAATTTTTTTCTTTTTTCAATGTTTAATAATATTTATGACGTATGGCCCGCTGTATTATTTATTAATTATTGTTATTAATTATCGATCAAATTTACTACAAGTAATTCTAATGGGCTTGTTTGCATTCTCATGTCAGATATTAAACAAAAAAATATCCAAATATAACATAGGGAATTGTTATTATTATCATTATTATTAGTACATGAATTATTTTTTTTTTTTTTTTAAATATAAAATAAATAATTATAATGCACAAACTATATGAGGAATGTTTAATTATCACGGCAAGTAATAAACACTTTAATCATGTCACTTCCGGAAGCAAATTTCGAAAATTTGTTTTAGAGTATTGACACGTTCTAATCGTCTAGTTATATTTATTATATATATAAATATATTTTTTATCACAATACAATTCTACCAAAATTTTATTACTAATAATCAATTATTGAAAATAAAAAAAATTTTTATAATAAACAAAGACAATTATTATGAACATAATTTTTTTCAACTGATTTTATTTCAATAGCTAAGGGTAAAAAATTTTCCTTTCGTTCTTTTTAAATTTTTTTCGATTTTTGCTACCGGTTTAATTATTAATACAAAATATAATTGATTAATTTGTTATCCTACCTAACTATATACATATGAAATATGTTTTATTTCAATGTGCGTATGCATATAGTAACACATTTCACATGACTTTTATAGCCATAACATTTGTTTTTAGCATTTTACATTAAATGTAATACACTTAGTTATTAAATTGCATACGTACATGTACATTTTTGTGGATTTTATAATTTAATATTTTATCAAACGTGCACTCATGAATTATATAAATAATTATTCATAGTTTTTGTCTTTGAATACAATTCAATATGTATTAAGACAACTAAAGCATAGAAAATTGATTGAATAAAACAAGTACAGAGTAAACGACAGGCCTATTTTCCGTATATTTCAATTTTAAACATCCAGATTTAACTTCATTCTGCTTACACATAATTAATTTAAAATGATATTTAATATTTAATATTTATAAAAATTCGTCCATAATATTCGTTTTTATTCAATTGTATTGCATGATAAGTCATCAAATTCATTATTCTTTCTATTTAATTAATTAATTAATTAAATTACTTCGGCGTTGTTTTAAGAAATATTATATTGAATATTATATTTTATTAGCATTTATTCTTATTTATTTTTTTTTTATTGTTATAGTAATAAGGAGGAAATGTGAATGAAATGAAAATAATCTCAACTCGGAAAAACGTCGAATTAAAAATGAAATAAATAAATGTAATTATATTAATTGTATTACGAATTATTATTTTCTTATTATAGTTATACTTATTTCTCATGACTTTTATATAATCTATCGATTGGAATTTATTTATGAAAAGGTACCTAAAACATCGTTGATATTTTCCTTTAAAATTATAATTTATTTACGTAAATTCTAGTTGTGTTCAATCAAAGTCAACGTTTTGTTTCAATTGTAAGAAAGTATGAAGATGCTTCATTTTTATATAACATTGTCACAGTTGACTCAGTTTACACGATGTATAGATCAATTATTTTTTTCACGCGTGTTCTTTAGTTTCGTTTCAAAACATCAAATACAAAATATGTTACTTTATTATATTTTATATAGTAGCTATCGAACCATTGTCAGGTTTTTAAAATTTTCATGTAGCAAAAATGTCAGTTTTTTTTATTATTTTTTTTTTCTTATTTTGACGTATTAGTGAATGTAAAAATTTTATGTGTTTACAAGAATATATAAAAAATTGCCATTATATTAATATTTAGAATCACGCAATATGTTTATATATTCTAATTAATCTCCTCTGACATTTATGTTAGGCATGATATTTCGAATTATACTAGCAATCAATTTTTCAATATTTTTAAATTATTTTTAGAATGAATTTTCATTAGTTAACTCAATTATTTATAGAGAACAAATGATTATTCAAATTATACAATAATTTTAATTTTTTAAAAAAAATTGTATGAAAAAAAAAAACTTTTTTATGTCTGATGTAAGTTTATGTACACTGAGAAAAAAATGTACTGTGAACAAGTAATATTTTTTTTCAAGTAATTACACTTTAACACTTAAGTGCAGAAAACGATTACTTTCCGCACTGCAGAAATTTAGAGTTTTCCGCACTGAAATACAATATTTAACTAAATATTAAAATACATCTCGTTAAATTGAATAAAATATTTTATTACGAATACTTCCAATTTTTTCTATTGATTAAATCAGCATTTTTTTGAATAGCAAAAATTTTTTTCTCAGTATATTTTTTAATTTATTATTTGTTGTTTCATGTGTAATTTAAACTCATTAAAAACTGTATAAAAAATTATTAAACTATTACAATACTCTGGTAAAACAATAAACAAATATAAGAATAAAATAAAGAAAAAAATTATGTTTTCAATTCAACTTATCAGCCTTTGATTCACTCATACGTTTCCCATTTTCGTGGATAATTTTATAATCCGCATATAGTAACTATCTTTGCACAATTATAATTTTTGTTATATTTGTTAAATTGATTTTGAAAACCGTTTGTAAAATTAACTTTTTCCTTCAATATGTTATTCTTAAAAATTATTTCTTATTATGTCCAGGCTCTTATACTTGGTGTATTAAACTTTTAAATTATTGTAATATCTATCCTTTTTCCGTCCATAATTTACCCTTAATATTTTTTTTTTCAATATTATTCATCGGGAGTAAATTAAGGCTTATATCTGACTTGTTAATGAATTTCTAAAAATTATTTACTCACGTCATCATCATTGTTCTCTACTTAAAATTATTAATTAAAATTCTATGAGAAAATTTGAGTTTATCTATCGTCGTTGACAAGTACTTACGTCGAGTGAAATATTATTTATCATGATATATATATATATACATGTACAGCTGATTATGCATATTATTTTTTACTGTTTAATATTTCGTATTCTAAATTGATTTGAAAATTGAATATCTAAAATATAGTAAAGTATAAAGTAGAATAATTATCGAATAAAGATAAATTTTTTGACTCTTTTGTTTTATAACATTATAAAAAATCAATATCAATCCATCATAAAATTTTCAAATAACGATAAATTCAATTTTTTTTTTTTGTATTTTAACAAAATAGTTTAATGAATTCAATAATTTTTTTTTTAATAATAAATTAAAAAATCATCATTTCCTACCACATACTCTAACTATCAGATTGTTTTACAAAACTAATAAATCAATACGGTATTTCTAAATATATATATATATTTATGCATATATATAATAAATTTTTGTATTTATAGTATATGTATAATCCTATGTATGTTAAAGGATGAAAAAGTGTTCGATGACACTAAAAGAGGCCGTTACGTATTCTTCTGATCCAATCTATTTAATTATATCCATTATTTAACCTTCTAAATTCATAAGAGTCTATTTATTTTAGTGAAATCTAAAAAGTAGATCATTTAAGAAATAAAAATAATTAAGCCATAATAAACGTTCGATCTCCGAGCATTCACTAATTTGATTGCAAGTTGGAATAATAATGAAAAAACAACTAAATATATTATATGAAAATGATAAAGAAATAATTTTCGTAGTAATGACAATAATATTAAAAATAAAAAAAAATAAAATGTCACGTTTTAGTAGTACGCATGGACATAAACAAGATTATGAATAGGATGATGATGTGGATGAGGATTGTGTAGGGGTGTACATACAGTACTTGTGATAGTGGGCGATGGGGATTGATTGACTGATTGCATCGTGGATACAGGCGAGACCTGATTAGGAGGACCTGTTGGGACCTGGTAAACGGCGTTAGGCCCTGTCATCGAGCACTGGGCTGCACCGGCGCCGTGTTGGCTGCCGTGCTGAATGTAGTTTGGTGGTAGACATACCTCGAGACGATCTGTTCGTGCCAATTTCTGCGGCATCGCTACTGTCTGCGGCACCACTCCGAGCGGGCTACCAACCCCCGTGGGGTCAGCTGGCCCCATTATAGCTGGCATTATTGGACTTGGTGTGAAATATGGCGTGTACGTGTTATTTACTTGCGGCATTCCAGTCAGGTACGGATTGGTAGCCTGTGAAACAAAGAAATGCTCCAGATAATTTTCAGGAGCGTCAAAATTAGTTACAATTATTTTATATATACATTTATATCAGTCTATTGTATTTAAATATTCTTTTTATTTCTCCTGATTTGATTTCAAAATTATACCGATAAAAATTTATTATTGTAGGAACAATCAAGGTACAGCCGAGGTAGAATCTTTATGTCTATTTTGATTATTTAGATAATTATTATAATTATCTAGATCACGTTAAATTAAAAAGAATATCATACAGGCATAAAATAATTTTTTTTTCTAATTAGAAAATATTGTTCCTACAGCTGTAAATTTTTTTCAAGTGTCGATGAAATTAATCTCACAATTTTAATTATTTTTTTTTTTTTTCAATCATTCTTCCCTTCTTTATTGTTGTCATTTAATTATTTAAAATATGTATTATTGAATTAAAGTAAACTCATCAAATAAGGAGGAAAATATTCACTTTTAGAATAAAATTCAAAAAAAGAATAATTATAAAGTTGTTTTTTTGTAGATATTTTTTTTAAAAAAAGAAAAAAACAATAGTTCATTAAGTTGTTAAGGTAGTTCTAGCACTTGACGAGTGTCTGCAAAAAAGCACAATTTTTAAGTATAATGTATTCATTTGCAAATATTAATTGCTTTAATTGATTTCTGCGAGATAAATTTATTTGTTGTCTTTTTTTATTCAATTTTCAAGATTTATATACTGCAGATAATTTTAAAACACCGATAAAAAAATATTAAAATGATTATTAAATAAATTTTAAGCAAAGTTAAAAATAAATGGTAATAAAATTGAAGAATTGACATTAATGATTATAACTAAAAGTCATTTTTGGAGTTTTGCTAAGATTTATTTAAAACAGAAGAGTGATAAAAATTTCAAAAATCGAAGATCCTTTCTTCTTTGTCGATTGGTCGAAAAGCTAGGACTAAAAAAAGTATTTAAATTCTTCGAGGTTAAGCATATGATTCACATATCGTATCAACACAGTAATTATTCAATTAAAAATTTTTTTAAATATTATAATCCTTTTTTAGTCCTGTTTTAACTCATTTTAGAGACCCTTGTCAAAGCTAGAACTACCTTAAAAAATTTGAGAAATATTTTTAATCTATTACACTATAATTACTTTTTATATTAATACATATATATGTTAAATATATTAATTGTTGTATCATAAAATATCTAGTACTTGCAAGCATGCGTGAACACATTTATTTATGATTTTACGTATACAAATATACTTTACGTTCGTAGAAAAGCTTTAACTACGTAACAGAATAAACTTTAGAAACTGCTTGATAACGAGTTACTCATATATTATATTATAATTTTAATAATCATCTAAATTTTCATTTACATTAATTCATTTTAAAATAACATTTAATAATAAAAAAGATTATGCCACACTAAATTTATTACTAAAGCTTTCTGCAGTTGTTAAATAAAATTTATTCCTATTTACGTAGACTACATTTATTTATTTATATATTTATATTGTTTCTATAAATTTTATTTTTATCTTTATTATGGATTTATTTATTTATTTTCAGTGAAAGCCAAACCAAAAACCAAAAGTTACCATAAAGGCGTGGGTAGCGAGAAGTTGTTGCTGGATTTGCTGTTGGAGGTGATGGTGCGTAGATGACGGAGGAGGTTGACCCTCCTGTTCGCCATTTGTAGCGATCGGAGAATACACCAACAATCAACCACAACCACGAGCACCACAGCAGCAAACATAAGGGACAGACAGCCGGTCATACGTGTAATATAATAATCGAACAAAAATATTTTCTACATTAATTTCGAATTTGTGCGACATAGTGAAATTATGCAACGAGTAGTTGATTTATTGGTTAAAACGTTGTCAATATATTCGCGACTCGACAATCATTTCAATAATTCACTTTTATTCACTAATATGAAATTGATTTTGAAGTAAATAAGCCTTTATCCACATGCACCTTTCAATATTTCTAGTTATTTCATTACTTTATTCAAAATAATTTTAAAAATCTTGTTGAAAGGAAACTTTAACCATGATAATAAATATTATTTAATTGTCTGTGTTTAAATATTTCAAACAATAGTGGAGATTAATTAAATGCAAATTCAATTCGTTAGTTTAACACAAAAATAATAATACAGTAGACTCTTGACAGGTGTACACGATTGGGACTGAAACACGAGTAGGTTCTTAGAAATATACAACCTATCGATTAATTCTAAGAAATTTGAATGGACATCTACTTTCTTTAAATTTATATTAGTTTAAATACATGTGCAAAAGTCATTTGGAAATTGAAGATACAGATTAGGGGGAGGTGTAAGTAGCAGAGTGGGAGGTGAAATTGGAGACCGAAAAAAGGATTAGTGGAAAAATGAAACATCTATCGAGAGTCTACTGTTAAAGTGCTAATGGTTGTATGCTTAGTAGTTGATAAAATGATTAAAAGAAAAACTATTCTAATGAAGTGCATAAAATGCTAAATATTTAACAATAAATTCATGCAACACAATATTCAAAAATGATTAAATAGATATTAAGTCAAGCATATAAGCTTCAGCAAAGAAAGGAAAAATGTCTGAAAGGCTTCACGTTATATTCAACGGTTACTAAAAAATAATTGTCATATACTTGAAATATATCATTAACATTATATGATAATAATTATTTAGTGAAAATAATAACTACTAAAGATGTAAATAAATTAGTAAATTAAATATAATTATTTTAGTTTCATTGAATTAACATACCACTGTCGGCACCTGACCAGGTACAAGTGCTTGTCCTGGTGTAAGACCCATTTGTTGCATAAGTGCATTTTTTAATGCTAAATGATTACGGCCATTGATAAGTAATTGATCCTTTAAATGCTGGGGAGGATGAAAGTATTTGCAGGGTGGTTTCTCTCGGTTGCATCGCCCCTGGAAACAGAAGAGTAATTAAACGTAAGATAAATATAAACAACAATTAATTAAATTGTTTTCAAAAATAATACACAGTATTTATTCCATTGATTTCTTTTTGTAAGCACACTATTTTTTTTCAATGAGTAAAAAATATAATAATAATAATAATAATAATAATAATAATAATAATAATAATAATAATAATAATAATAATAAACAGAAAGTTGATAATGCCTCTATTTAGTACTGCTTATATATATATCAAAGTATCTAGTATTCTAGAGAGGGCTTTTTATCGTTGAACGTGCTAAAAGTTTTTTGAAACATCAAAGATCCACCACCTATAACAACAGCAAAATGGAGTCACGTATATTGCTGAGACTCACCACTAGATGTGAGTGACTCAGTCCCTTTATGCTAAGAAAGTAGAACGAAAGAGGTGTCAGGTAGAATAGAAACAGAAAAAGAAAACTATCGTTACGTGGGTTTAGTAAATGCATGGCAAAACTCAAAAGGATTTGTACTTAGAAATGTCAAAGAATATGTATAAATGTTACATTTAAAAGTGTAGTCAATATTTTATTTCATTTTCAATTAATGAAAGTATTTTGGTATCGAAACACTGGCAAAAAGAAATAATTATATTATTTTTTTTAATGAATAAAAATATTATTATATTACATTACATTGAAAAAGATTATAGTTTTAGGAATAAAACTGTATCCCTTAGATTAATTATCTCATTAGATTGTTGTAGGAAATTATCTAGATAGTTGAGTGACAGTATCTAAAATAGTTGTTTCGAAAAGATGATTTTCGTAGATAGTTGTAATATTGTCTTTCTAGTATTGTTTAAAAATTAGCCTAAAAATATTATACAATGCTAGAAGTAAGAATTATTTGAGTGTTGTTCATATTGAAAGTTTCTAATTGTTCATGCGTAGAAGAATATTTGAAAATAATTGATTAAAAAAACTCAAAGGATAAAAATTGAGTAAAAGTTTTAAATGAGAACAAATAAGAGTACCTGTTAAGAAAAGGAGAGTCAAAGAGAGATGGAGAGCAACAGGTTGCAAGCAGAATGCACAACTAACAGTCATACGAAAAATTACTTTTTTTTTCAAAGCAATCAATTTAGTCCAGCTGAAATTCATTACAATTATTAGTAACTTCCTAGAAGGAAGTTATTGTAGTCCGTTCAATTTTGCGAATCCCGAATTTCGACACATCTTCACATTTCAAGGCCTCTAGAGTCGAATACAACAGCTTTCCAATAGAAGTCTCTGTGTGTGTATGCATATGTGTACGTACGTATATTTTTACGTGCGTTAGGAATTATATTTCGTCTCAATTATCTTGAGAATAAGATATGATATTGACGTGGGACCAATTGCATTCGATGCATAATAATGCTACTTAAGACTGATTAGGCTTTCAGAAAATTTTGGTCGAGCCATTTTTCGTGCAGAATCCAAAAACTAAAAAAAAATGGTAACCTAACTGAATTTTGCAGTTTATGCAAAACTTTCACCTAGTGAAATGTTGCCTGGTGTATTAATGGATTAAAAAAGAATTAATTAAATATCTTGAATGATTATTTTTTTTTATTTACCAAAATTATTGAGGTTAAAAAATTATTTGAGGAAATGGAAAATATGAAATAAAATAAGAAGAAGAGTAATAATGTATATATATATACTAGATGAAAAAGTTATTCGAGGCAAAAGATAGATGAAAATTTGTGGCTTTAAAACGTAGTAGAATCAAGGATTTGCGAATAATTTTCTGTAGCACAGCATTTATCTGAACTAGGGCTTTGTTGCTGACTCCCTTTGGTAGAGGCTTGGCTCTACGAACCCTTAAAAAAATAAGCCCTGAAGGGAAAACAAAAGGAGTAAGTGCATGCTGGAGCTTTGTTCCAAATCCAACCCGACGATATAAATAGGTCAATCTCCAATTTGTAACTGCTGGATATAAATACTTTAGCTTAGATCATCTGAAAACAAGTTGGAAATGTTATAAAAATTATCTAACTCAGGATCAAGGTAATTCCTAAAAAGAGTGATAATGACTTTCAATTGATCTAATTTTGTTGTTTTGAGAAAAAATTGTTAGATCTAGTTTCTTGATAATTAATTAATAAAAACTAATTATAGTTTTATAAAACTCTGAAAGTTGGTTGTATCTTTAGAGGCTAAAATGTGGCTTGCACAGATTAGTTAATAATCACAGATTGATTATTTTTATTTTTATAGTCTAGCAGTATCTGAGGAGAAGCTTCAATACTTGAAAATTATTTGCAAATCTTAGATTTATCTGCATCTTAAATAAGTTACTTTTCTCAAACTTGGACCACAGATAACTTTTTTATTGGAGGGAGGAGATTACTCTTATTACCTCTTAGCTAATTTTTTTACTTCTATGTCAAGGATATCTTTTTCTTTCTTTTTTTAAAGGATTTCAAACAATTTTGCAATAACGAAAACTATTTTTTTTCCACTTCATTTATTTCTAAAGTAAAGCTAGAAGTTTTTTTCTTGATAAAAATGAGCAAACTAATATGAAAATGTAAGAGAAGAGTAATATAAGAGAGCTCAAAGTTAGTACGAGGTACCAATATATCCCAAGGGAGTGATAACATTACAACGTATGGTTATTGGCTAGAAACATCGATTTTCGTAACTAGGGAGCCACACATCCCTAACTAACGCCAACTATTTCCTCTTACTCACTATGTCTCTCCTTATCTTTGCTGTTTTGTATATTTTATTGCATCATTTGCTTTATATTGATTTTTTTTTTGAATAAATTTACCAGCGATGAATCATTTTATAATTTTAAAAGAAATATTTCAAATAAATAAATTGTTTTTAGGAAATTCTGCATTTAAATCTGTCCAGTGGTTCTCAAAATTAGTGTAAATGCAGATTATATATAACCAGACAAACAGATGCAAGAGAAAACTTTGTCTTAATTTATACAATAATTACAATGTACTGAAAGCGAATCATCATTCCACGTATTTTAAATAAAATTTCATAGGAGAGATGAGAAAGTATATTTTTAGATAATGAATTGAATTTTTATATTAATTTTAACAATAGATTTTGTGTATATATATCTTGTTCCACCTTACTCTATTTTCATGTTATAAAATTTACTAGATAGATAGAATACCATGCTATAGATGTTGAAGAATAACAACGTTATGATTGGAAAGTCAAAAAATAGAAAAAGAAAATAATAGAAACGACAATGATATTTGCAGTAAGTAGATAAAGAAAAATAGAATAAAACAAATGTGACATAAGGGTAATGAAAGAAAAAACATTATTACTATACTACTAGGAATCTGACAAGCTGAAAGGATTTCTATGAGATTTTCTACTTTCCATCAATGATCATGAAAAATGAGTATCTCGTATGTCAATGAATAAATAAATAAATTTATTTATAACTCAAATCTAACGATTCTATAAAAAGTCAAAAATTAAATCAAATTATTACAAATCCAAATCTTTAAAAACCAAACACTTAAAATGTTTACAATTTTAAATGCCACAAAAAAATTATACTATAGTAATTTTGTAGACAAAGTTTAAACGCTTCTTTCCGTTTACTAAAATGCTTTAGTTCGTTTATGGTGTTTTTTACATTATAAACACTCGGGTGTTACATTATTAAACACTTTAAGCGTGTTATAACTAAAAATTAAAATTTCTCTGGATTTGCAATTGATATTTTTTTCCAACCGAATAGTAATTTTATTTATGAGTTAACATGGAGACATGAAGTTAGCCGATAATCGAAATATATCGAAAAGTGAGTGACTTTGCCCTTATTGGTTAGAAAATTCATATTATCATCCAATTATCGACCCGCATTTTGTGCGTGCAAAATATACTTTAGGGTTATATAAAAATAGATTTCCAAGATATGTAGATCATCATTTGTCAGCCATAAAATTACACATACATAATTTTGAAGATTAAAGAGGATTATATTTGTATGAAGATGAAACATTACACACGTAAGCGACTATAATAGCAGTAAAGAAAAAAAACAAGAAACGACAAATAAGGGTTAAAACGGTTTATTGGACGAAGGAAAAGTAGTCAAGAGTGAGGCTAGACGGTGGTGTATAAGGGTGCTGTTGGAGATGGCAGTAGTCATAGTGGCGCCACGACTCCCGTGACGTCTGTCGGCGCGTTGGCCAATCAATAGCATCCCCATGGCAACCACAGATAACATCGGACACACGCCGTACCACACACCGACGCATCAACTTGTATTTACTTCTCACTCTGTTCAAGATCAACTATTAAGCATTTAAATCATACGACTCTTTACCCTGCAGAAAACATCGCTTGTATATACCAATTAATCTTGCTATCAATTTCGTAGCTTTTGTTAATTTAATTACGAATAAAACAAAAATTAACAGTAGTTAAAAAAAGCTAAACTTTTTAAATAATTAACATGTAAACAATAATCCTTGCATTGATTTTTAATTTAGAGTACGAATATATTGTATAACAAAAAAAGCAAACTATTTTCCATATTGAAACATACTGACAGTAAAATAGTGATAAATGTAATATCAATAATGAACTAATTGAATCAAGTTAGATGACAATGGATGTGATATCGAGATACTGAAAGTAATAAATTAATTTCTTTTTATTTAGTACATACGATGGAATTAAACTTGTTTTCACAAATTGACAGTAACGATTTTTAATGTTGACTTGATGAAAAGCAAAAAAAGAGTGAATGTGCAAAGTGTGTTAGAAAATAAGAAATAAGATGAACGAATTAAATGAATGCCGAATCGACAAGGCAAGCGGATGGCTGATCGACTACTAAGAATATAAAGTAGGTAGAAGATTGGATTTGAAAATGTCGGCGTGTGAAACGTGGTTGTGCTTCTTTACGATTGCAATCGAGGTCGGGAAATCGATTGATTGAGAGAAGGGTGGCACTAAGTATTTTTCTTTTTTTTCATACATGTGACT